CCCCCGGCGCTCCTGGTGCAGAGCGTGAGCCCTAGATAGTATCTGACTTATCCAGGCCAGGTCTCTGTTTTGTTGAGCCGGTGACATAGCAGGTACATGGGAAGAGGGCGAAAAATCTCCAGCATCTGTGCCATGTTCATCGGACTCTGCCTCTCGCTTCGTGTAACTTACACATAAGCACACCCAAGCCAGCACAAGCCCGTACCGATTGTACATGGAGGGAACAGCAGTGCTACGCCTCTGCTTGTAAATAGGACTCCAGATATAAGAATCCAGATAAAAGGCCGACGTTTCTGCTGCAATTTTCTTTCCTCCGTCCATCCCTTCTAGCCCTATCGCGGGCACACTTGGCTGCAGCAGCAAGGTTTAATCGACCGACCGCCTAAATCTCCTCGGCGTGTGCCAATCAGCAAGACAGAAGCCGCCTAGCTCGCTCGCGCTACAGCAGACTGGTACTTTCCCCACAGTGGGCGGCACTGTACACGGAGCTACTTCAACCGCTGGCCAGACCGCAGCCCCCGGAGCGCTTCCTCCCCATGTCGCCAAGTACCAGCCCGTACACGCCCGTTTCTCGGTTTTGCAAGCCCTTCCATCGTATTCCCACACCCTTCCATACCTTCCTCCTCCTGGCTCTAGCGCGGCCCTGAGCAAAGTCCCACCATCTTGGCCGTCAACCTGATTGATTGATTGATTGTGTCATCCTTGTTTCCGCCCAGCGTCCCCATCTCAGGCCCGTCATCCTCTCTCCCCGGCTGGAAACAAATATTCACCTTTTTTTTTCTGCCATTCTGCTTGTGCGTCCAAACACCCTCCCTAGACTGCTGGCCCCGTCAGCTGCGACACGCCGCTCGAGCTCCGCCAAAGCTCGCCAGACTCCAGCCATTGGCTCGCCGCCGCCAGCCATTCTCGCAGCCTCTGCGTCGTCGCACTCGCTCGCCAGGGCTCATCCAGCAAGACAAGACGTTGGGCATCGCGCGCCCATCCGATCCTCCCGCAGCCTCTCGACGGCCTGCACCGCTCCTGTATCCGCGAGCCAACCACAATGATCTGGGCCTAAGACCCGTGCCCACTCGCCATCGGACCCTGTATTCGTACACACACCTCGCAGTACCTCCAGAGGCCTGCCCCGTTGGCATGCATGCTCATGCTCTGCGAACACCCCACGACGACTCTCGCTATCCACCACAGCCATGAACAGGCCACCGGCCGCTGCTACTGACGGTGGTGAAGGCGCCACACAGCCTGCCGGCCCCGACATGGCGAATCATCAGCCCACACCTGGTGCGCCTGCGTCCGGTACGACGTCCAGCGCCAGTGCCACCGCGGGCCAGACGTCGAGACAATCATCCGCCAGCAACTCCGTCACTTATTCACCCATGGGCTCCCGAGACCCCTCTCCGACCCGTCATCCCCGGAGAGCAACTTCGTCGTCGGGCAGGATCAACCGTTCCAGCTCACGGAACAGCAGCCAGCTGGATCAGAGCCCGTCTCGCCAGCTCAAGTCGTCTCTTGGCGGTCCTGCCTCCGGCATCCGAAGCCTCTCCGCGACCACCACGCCGGTCCTCGTGCCCGTCACCGCCAACCAAGACTCCCAGCCCGTCCAGGCACCAGAGCCGCAGAAGCCTGCACAGCTGTCCGAGTTGAGAGACAGCACGAAATGGCCCGTGTCGCCGCGTGTACGCTCCCCTCCGCTGCAACTGCTTAGAAACGGCAGCACTACGCCTCGCTCGAGCGAGCAGGACCCTCCTCCTCCTCTTATCAGCGTCCAGCACCCCAGTCCGTCTGCCCAGCCGGCAGATTCATACCAGTACTTAACCGCCAGCGAGAGCGAAGCCGAGGATTTGCAGATGGCTTCCGGCCTCCGAACACCGGCCCGCGGGCCTCTGGAAACTGTTCAAGAGGTTAGCCAGCCCAACTCGCCAGCCCGCCGTCGCCAGCAGCAGGATTCGTCCCTTCTGGAGCACGTAAGGGAAAAATTCTCATACGACAATCAGTCAGATATTGATGGCGGTCGAACGCTGCGAGCCAGGCCCATGATTCCCAGCCACGAGAATGGCGGTGATAGCACCGGTGCCAGGAGGACAACCTCGGTTCCTCCGCCCCTCCTTTCGAGACAATCGAGTACGATAATGCTATCCAAGCAAGCAAAAGCCCGGCCTGAAGGATCTACGCAGACCATGACGGTTGAAACTGAGACCGTATCCAGCATTCCCCAGGTGGCACTCGCAGTAGGCCCAAAAACAGACGGCATGAACGGCACTCTGAGAACGAAACAAAGCACGGAGACTATTAAGCCTAAAAAAGAAAAGAAGAGATCTCGCAAACAACCGGTCACCAGCGGAAATGGTGAGTTTTTCCCTCTAGCTTGCTTTTTACTCGTATGATGGATAGCTGTGCTAAAACTTCTTTCAATGCTAGGATCATCCAAAGCGGATATCTTTGAAGCCAAGATCGCCAACGCTGTTGATGAAGCTAACACCTCTGATTCAGAAGAGACGTTTGTGTATGATTCCAACCCCCCAGATGTGGGAGATAGGGCTACCCGCCGCTTCCACTCTCGCACTCCCAGTGCAACATCTATAGTTAGCCAGGGAGATCGCCCCAATTTGCGATCCATATATGGTATCATGGACAACCATGTTCCTGCGCCTAAGAAGAGCATGAAATTCTCCAATACTTACGGCAATGGTGCCATCGATGGCGGCGTGTTGACTGGCGACGAAGACGGCAGAGGAACGGGCCGCAGCGCCGGTGGCTCCGGTCGTGGCACTGTTCGGCAGCATCACCACATAGGACGCTGGGGTCGACAGCCCGGCAACGGCCATGCCTCACTCTTTGACAACGAATCGCCTTTTCAGAATAACCCAAGGCCCAAGATAGCCAACTCGCGTCATTCTTCTGGGCCGCCCAGCCCAAGGAACCACCCCTCCATGCGAGGACCGCTGAGCTCTAAACGCTCAGCAATACACATGTCTTCGAGTTATGATATGGATGACACCACTGGTGCAGATGATGAACGCACGCCTCTGATCGACAACGACCGCAGAGGGGGACGATTTAGGCGTGGTCCGCACAACCTCCGGCAGGCGGAGGCGCAGACATACACTAGGAGGTCTACGTATCTGAACCGATTTGCCGCTTGCTTGGTTCTAACAATGATGTTCCTCCTGGTCATTACTGGTGCCATTGGCTTCATGTTTGCGACTTCCCAGCCTCTGAGCGACATTGAAATTGTTTCCATCCACAATGTCGTCACTAGTGAACAGGTTCTCATGTTTGACGTCACTGTCAAGGCGCACAACCCCAATGTCGTGGTTGTCACAATCGATCATGCAAACCTGGAGATTTTTGCCAAATCGGAGTATGGAGGCGCCGACTCAGATTGGTGGGAAAGTCCGGATGGACCACAAGACAACTTGGTGCGTCCATACGACGACCCCCCGAACGATCCCACTACTCCCGGAGGAGAGGACGAGACGAAGCCAAACATCTTGCTTGGACGCATCTCCGAATTCGACAGCCCCTTGACATTTGAGGGCTCGTTGTTCCACCAAGGCCTGTCTTCATCGACTGGCGAGATGCAGCTACCGTACCCCGGCAATGCTACTGCCGGCGGTTCCAAGCGCTGGGAGCGAATCTATCAAAACGAATTTGATCTTATTGTAAAGGGAGTTGTCAAGTACAGCCTTCCCCTGAGCGCACATATCCGAAGCGCCACGGTTTCCGGACGAACGACGGTCAAACCCAACTCGGCGAATAATCCTCCTGCGAAACCCAATGTTACGGCAGTAAATTTCGAAGCATAAGACGGCACAGATTCATACTCTTCTCTTTTCTTTCAATACCTGCTACGTCGCCATTACCCTTATCTTTCCATTTCCTCTATTTTCGTACCCCCCTTCTACTTTCTACAGCTTTTCTCTTTTGGCTTGTGTACATTCAGCGCGCATAGCGAGGTTTTCTTTTTCATTTTCCAATTTTTTTTTTTTGCCCCTTCTCTTATGGAGCAGAGGCGTTGGATCAAATCTTTTCCAACTACAGCATGGCTTGTTCGGTTACTGGTAAAGACAAAGTTGGCCCTGCCAATAGGTGTTTTTTTTTTTTTATCTTTGTATGTGTGTATGTGTCCAGACGCGAAAAAGAAGTTGGGCGAAGAAACGAATATTTCACCCCCTTTTTTTCTTTTTACGTGCTTTCGTTCTTCTTTTTCTTACTCTCTCACTCTTTCTTTTTCATTGGTTTTTTTGAAGGGCTTACTTGTGGTAATGAGATCTCCCTGGCTTGAGAAGCATTCCACACTCTCTTTTAAAAACACAGAAATGTACAAGAATGAAAAGCAAAAAAACAGGGAGCACGAAAGGCATTTTCTCTTTTTATACCTTTGGATGGAGTTTATTTTATACGCGATATAGATGAGAAAAAGTGGCAACTACCTTTTTTTGTAATTATAAGGACATTATTTCTTTATGACAAGTAGGTCGAGGTCTCATTCAACAGGAGAGTAGTTATTTTACCCATCTCGTCTTGATTTTTTTACTCTGAGAAGCAACGAGGAGGCTATGGGAAAGAAGCATTTTTAAGGGATATATTTGCGTTAGAATTGAAAAAGGCCAGTTGATTATGTAGAGGAAAGATAGTTTACAGCATAAGAAACAAGATAAATACAATGAAAGTAAAATGATTCAATGATGCTTTTTGCATGGCTGTGTCTCGTGTTCTTGAACTGTATTGGTATTTTCTTTTCTAACTCAGGAACTATGTAAGGCTGCAGGCGTGCAACAAAAATATGATGCTTCTTCGATGCCTATTGCATGATGGATGTAAAGAACTCCTGTAACGCCCACCCCTCCGGCTTTTATTGCGAACCATGACAGAAACATTAGGGAAAAAAAATATTGTCTTCGACAAAGAAATAATCCTTCATAAATTCATATCCCTCCTAGATTTACCACGTTGGTAACCTCAGTCAACAAATAGAAGTATAAAGTAAAAGACACAGTTTATGAAAAGTGGATGCCCTCCTCATTAAAGGCAAAGAGCAGACGCAAAAAGTCGTTTTCGTCGCACTTGCCGGATCGCTTATCTGCGAGCTCGGTCACGTCTTCGAGGACTTTGCGGATTTTCTCGCGCACGAGCTCTGCGACCTTTGTCTTCTTGCGCTTGCTCTTTGTCTTGGGGACGTTTGCGCTGGCGGTCTTGAGGTCTTGGAAGAAGCTGGGGGTATCGTCGCCGAGGTCATCGACATCCATGCCGGCATCTTCGCCGTCGTTGGCAGCGGCGCCACCGTCGTCCATTTCCATGTCATCCTCCTCCTCCTCTGCGCCCTCGACGACGCTCTCGTCGATGGGCACGCCGTTCATGGCGCACCAGGTGCGGTAGTTGCGCTCGACCATGGCGAGGACCTCCTTGGTGCCCAGCCAGCTCGCGCGGAGCGTCTTGTTCTTGCGGACAAAGCACACGCGCAAGAGGCCGTCCCACTCGTCCCAGCTGACGTTGGGCCGGTCCTTGCCCAGCTTGGGCTCGATGCGCACGACGGAGGACTCGACCTGTGGCGGGGGCCGGAAGTTGTTCTTGCCGACCTTCATGATGTGGGTGATTTTGGCCCAGAACTGAGCGTTGACGGACAGGCGGCAGTAGAGGGCGTCGCCGGGGCGAGCGGTAAGGCGGAGGGCGAATTCACGCTGGAACATGAGAACGGAGCATCGAGGAGGGTTGGGTAGAGAGAGGAGCTTGAAGACGAGGGGACTTGAAATCTGTTCGACAAAGATTAGTCAGATGTAGTAAGGATGGAAACCGATGATTGAACATACCTGATAAGGGGTATTTGAAATGCAAACGTCAAACGCTGGTAGCTCAGTCTTGATCACGTCTCCCAGCAAAACCTCCAGCTTTCGCTGCTCCGGCTTTCCCTGCACACGCTTGGTGACTTCGGCCGCCATTCGAGGATCCAGCTCGACGCAGATGCATTTCTTTGCCTTTTCCAGGATGCGGACCGTCAAGTTACCGGTACCGGGACCGACTTCGAGGACGGTGTCTGTGGGCTTGAGAAAGGCCTTGTCGACAATGGCGTCTGAGACACCGGGGTTCTTGAGAATGTGCTGGCCAAAGTTTGTGTTGAATTTGAAGACATTGTTGGTTTTTGAGTTTTTCTCGCTGGGCTTCTCGTACGGGCCGCTGGCAGCGTTGTTGCGCTTTGATCTGTCGGCTTTGGCCATTGTGTAATAAAAACCACCGGTTGGCGCAATTTGGGTATATCTGCAGGCGTTGCGATATCGTGGAGACGAGGGGCGATGGTGGTGGGAAACTTTTTTTTTGGTCTGGGTGGAATTATCGATAAGAGTTCTGGGGAGTGCCAGAATATTCAAGGCGCGTGCGAACATCCGGCTGAGATCCACTCTACAAGCTTATAAATTCACACCCGTTACGAGCTTCCTTTTCACACCTCAGGCTGGCTAAGTCTAAGTATTGCCTTTGACTCGCGACAAGGGCTTTTGCCTTGACCAACCTTCATCTTGAATTCGCACCATCCACTCAGGATCCGGCCGAAACGATGTCAACCCGACGCGACTTTCTGAGCCAGCCGGCTCCAGAAAACTACGTCGCTGGTCTGGGTCGAGGTGCCACCGGTTTCACAACCCGATCCGATCTTGGCCCTGCTCGTGACGGCCCTAGCGAAGACCAGATCAAAGAGGCGATTGCGAAGCGTGCTGCACAGCTTGGACTCGTGCCCGATGGCAAGAAGGGTAAGGATAAGGAGGAGGAGGAAGACGACGAACGATTCCAGGATCCCGATAATGAGGTTGGACTTTTCGCGGGCGGAGTCTACGACAAGGACGATGAGGAGGCAGACAAGATCTGGGAGTGGGTTGATGAGCGAATGGACCGACGGAGACGGCAGAGAGAGGCCCGTGAAAATGCTGAGCGAGATGAATACGAACGGAACAACCCCAAGATTCAGCAACAGTTTTCAGATCTGAAGCGCGCTCTTGCTTCGGTCTCGGACGACGACTGGGCGAATTTGCCAGAAGTGGGAGATTTGACTGGCAAGAACCGGCGGAGCAAGCAGGCTCTGCGGCAGCGGTTCTATGCGGTACCAGACAGCGTGCTTGCGGCAGCAGGGTCCTCGGGCGAGATGGGCACAACGGTTATGGATGACGGCGCAGCGTCGTCAAATTCAACGGATGCATCCGACGGCACCATGACCAACTTTGCCAAGATTGGTGCTGCCCGTGACAGAGTATTGAAGTCAAGGCTGGAACAGGCCTCGCAAAGCGCTGGTGGCGACTCGGTCGTTGGAACTTCAAGTAGCATCGATGCGCAGGGATACATTACGAGCTTGAACAAGATGCAGATGAACGAATCTCAGGCGCAAGTCGGCGACATCAACCGAGTGCGAGAGCTGCTTCAATCTGTAGTGAAGACGAACCCGAATAATGCTCTGGGCTGGATTGCGGCTGCCCGATTGGAGGAGTTGGCGGGCAAGATTGTGGCTGCGCGGAAAACAATTGATCAGGGATGTACCAGGTGTCCCAAGAGCGAGGACGCATGGCTGGAAAACATTCGACTTAATCATGACTCACCAAATACAAAGATTATTGCACGACGAGCTATAGAGGCGAACAACCGCTCGGTTAGACTCTGGGTGGAGGCGATGAGACTGGAGACTATACCAAGCAACAAGAAGCGAGTCATCAGACAGGCGCTGGACCATATCCCGGAGTCAGAGGCGCTTTGGAAAGAGGCGGTTAACTTGGAGGACGACCCTGAAGATGCGAAGCTCATGCTGGCAAAGGCTACAGAGCTCATTCCGCTTTCTGTCGACTTGTGGCTTGCGTTGGCACGACTCGAAACCCCTGAAAATGCACAAAAGGTTCTGAACAAAGCACGAAAGGCCGTACCAACTTCTCATGAGATTTGGATTGCGGCCGCTCGTTTGCAAGAACAGCTAGGCCAGGGACAGAAGATTCCCGTTCTCAAGCGAGCTGTCCAAGTTTTGGCTAAAGAATCAGCCATGCCAAAACGTGAAGAGTGGATTGGAGAGGCGGAGAAGTGTGAGGAAGAAGGCGCTATCATCACCTGCCAGAACATTATCCAGGAAACTCTGGGCTGGGGCTTGGATGAGGACGATGACCGCAAGGACACATGGGCGGAGGATGCAAAGGCAAGCATCAACAGAGGCAAATACGAGACGGCGAGGGCCATCTACGCCTACGCTCTGCGCGTCTTTGTCAATAGCCGGACGATGTGGATGGCTGCCGCAGACCTTGAGCGGAATCACGGAACACGCGAGTCTCTGTGGCAGGTCTTGGAGAAGGCGGTCGAAGCCTGTCCCAAGAGCGAGGATCTGTGGATGATGCTGGCCAAGGAGAAGTGGCAGTCGGGAGATGTGGACAATGCGAGATTGGTGCTCAAGCGAGCATTTAACCAGAATGCCAACAACGAAGACATCTGGCTGGCTGCCGTGAAGCTAGAATCTGAGAATGGCAACGAGGACCAGGCTCGGAAACTGCTGGCGATTGCAAGAGAACAGGCCCCTACTGATCGTGTCTGGATGAAGAGCGTCGTCTTTGAGCGTGTCTTGGGCAATGTTGAGACTGCGCTGGACTTGGTTCTACAGGCATTGCAATTCTTCCCCACTGCAGCCAAACTATGGATGCTAAAGGGCCAAATATACGAAGACCTTGGCAAGACGGACCAGGCTCGAGAGACATTCGCCACAGGAGTCAAGGCCGTTCCCAGATCTGTGCCTCTGTGGCTGCTTTACTCTCGGCTGGAAGAAAAGGCCGGTCTTACTGTCAAGGCCCGTTCAGTGCTTGACCGAGCGCGTCTGGCTGTACCCAAGAATGGAGAGCTCTGGTGCGAGTCCGTTCGCCTCGAGCGTCGTGCCGGCAATCTCCCTCAAGCCAAGTCGCTCATGGCCAAGGCGCTCCAAGAAGTCCCCAAGTGCGGCATCCTTTGGGTCGAGCAAATCTGGAACCTGGAGCCTCGCACGCAGCGAAAGCCCCGCAGTCTCGAGGCCATCAAGAAGGTGGACAACGACCCAATCCTCTTTGTGGCCGTCGCGCGCATCTTCTGGGGCGACCGCAAGCTGGAGAAGGCGCAGAGCTGGTTCGAGAAGGCGCTCGTGCTGGATGCGGACCAGGGCGACAGCTGGGCGTGGTACTATCGGTTCTTGGTGCAGCACGGCACGGAGGAGAAGAGGGCGGATATGGTGACCAAGTGTGTGCTCAATGAGCCGAGGCATGGCGAGGTGTGGCAGGCTGTGGCGAAGGATCCGAAGAATGCGAAGAAGAGCGTGGAGGAGATTTTGAAGCTTGTTGCGGCGGAACTAGAGCAGTGATGATGCGAGCGGATGCTTGCGCGCGGATTGGGCGTATAATACTGAATTTAGAAATGGCAAAGGAGTTTGAAGACGGAGGTTAAGAGTCATAAATTGGTCAATGTCACTTTCTTTAACGGTGTATGGGTGGTTTGGAATATTTTCGATTGTACATTTGTTTTTATTTATCGAAGAGAGTATAATAGACTCTGTCAATGAACTCAAGACTTTAAATCATATCTCTTCTCATAATGATATACTGGTATTAGGTTTTGAATAAACACGACGCAGTCTTGCTCATGTCCCCTCCATCCTCCATCGACTGCTGTAGCTTCAATGCTTTTCTTCCGAGCTCCCCTTCACACACAATCTGAAAATTACTAGTTACAATTGGGAAAGGGGGTTTCTTATTTGCTGCTTCCTCCAAACCAGCCGGAGACGCCGCTCTTGGCCTTTGCGGCACCGTCCTCGACCTTGCGGTCAAACTTGTCAATGGCTTTCAGGGTTTCGCTCTTGGCGTCCTTGGCGTAGGATTCTGCGTTGCTCTTGAGCTTGCCGGCTTCTCGGTCGGCCTCGGCCCACTAAGGACGAATGGTCAGCCTATTTGTTCAAATTTGGTAGGTTTGACTTTTTCAATAAGAGGGAACGTACAGCCTTGTCGAGCTTGGCGCCAGCTTCCTCGCCGTATTTCTTGAACTCCTTTTCGGCATTGGGGGAGTTGCCGGGGAGCTTGCCCTTGATCTTGGCAGCTACTCTGTCGGCGTCGCCTGAGGAAGATGAGTGTTAGTAAATTGGTTGAATATGTATAATTGATATAAAAGAGCTTGAGGTAGCCATACTCTCAAACTTGGCCTCTGCTGCTTTGGCGTTGCCGCCCGCGCTGTAGAGATAGTAGCCGATACCACCGGCGGCACCGAGGCCGAGAACGAGGGGCATTCGTGATCGAGACATGATGATTGGATTTGTATGGATGTGATGTGTATATGCGTTTTCTGATGCGCTGTGTTACGATGCGCGAGGGAGAGGAATTGGCGATGGTGTTGTTTGGTGGCGAATGTGCGAAGATTTGGGAGTGTTTGTTTTACTCTCGATTGTAAAAAAAAGAAATGGAAAGCTGTTTAAGGCTTGGAGAATGGATGGGTGACGAGAGGAATGAATTAATTGGAGGAAAAGCTGTGTCTAGCTGGAAAACGTTCTGGCACCAGATTTGCGGTAACAAGCCGTGCTTTATTATTTAAGTCGTGCTCGAACTATCTACTTCATTATGACGCATTCAATTTTTGGTACCTTGGACTTGGTGTACTGAGGCGGCCTGCTAAAAGAACTTCGTGATGGTGATGCAAATATGGTGAGAATACATGACGTAGTGCGGTCGTGAGAGGCGGGGCAGCTTGTAGCGAGCACAGTACCCCAGATTTTTACAGTGAATTTAGCGTTATGAATGGCAGAGCCTTGGTTAATCCTGCACCTTGGTTAATCCTGCACGTGTATAAATGGCTATATGAGTTTTACGGCGTGAAAATAAAAATCTGTATGTGATGAAACATGATGAAGCCCGTGGAACAAGCGTTCTAGAGAGTGACAGGGGCTCTATCTTAACACAACAATGCAGCATTAATGGGACGAATCTGCGATCTGCGGGAGAAAAAAAAAGAAGAGTCCCATGCATGCAGGATGATCGATCGCTAGGAAGAAAATCGACTCCACTGAAGAAAATCGCTGAAGCAACATGGCTCTTATGGTGCCTGTTGCTGTGATTTAGCGGCTTTAGCGTGCGGCCTGGAGCCTGCTAGGAGCTCTTGGTGCTGCCATTACATCATACACAGCTACCCGTCCTTTTAGCTTGCAAGGTACCGAGTTAACGATGCCTTCATCGGCGAGCGCTGAGATAAGAACGATCTCCAGTACCTGTACAACACAAGATACCGAGTCAAATACTGTGCATATAATTTTAGACTTGATAGCACCATGTGACAGCCACGTTTAGAACTCATGTAAGAGTGAGCTCCAGTCGCATGTAGGGCACGTCGGCGCATCGACTCTCCCCACTAGCGGGTCATTTGGCCTTGCAAGTCGCGCTATCGCCTGGCCGGAAGCAGTAAAACAAGCTTGGAGCTCCGCCTGCTTCATCCTTCTTTTTGCTCTCTACTCCTTTTACACGGGCCAACTTGCTGCTTCTTGTGCGCGTGTAGCGTTCCTGGCTCTTTCACGTTGAGACTTTCCTCTTCTCTGAATTCTTTTTGTTAATTTGCTATAAGCCTTTTAATGATACATGCTATAGCGAAAGCCTCTCGTCTGGTACATCGAAGCTGCTATAATCGATGACGTGGGTTCGAAGATAAGATACTTGCTCGAATCTCTGTATAAATCTCCAATCCTAGCGGTAGTGCCATACACACTCCTTATCCTGCGACTATAATCGACTCGGAATCAACATCCTCATGATCTGTTGACAACTATAATCAACATGCACGGCTCACGCCGCGTTGGGACTTTACAGCCGGGGGATTACGATCACGAGATTACAATTCTGGACGATGAGGACGGAAGCGGGTCGCAGCGAGCTGTAAGCTCTGAAGGCAGAGAGCTCGCCGCCACAGATACAATTTCACGCGTACAATCTGAACAGGAGGCAGAGACAGAAGACGAGGAACGGCCATCGCATAGCGGCGAGAGACAAGGCCAAGACGAAGGGCATCTGCAACCAAGCAGTGCGCTGAAAGGGAAAAATGCTGAGGCTCATATTTATCAGCTCGCTACTGCAGAGACGACCAACTCCTTGCGTCCTTCGGTTTCTGGCGAGGGGCGCTCAATCGACATTCGAGGTGGGTATTGTGCCTTTCATTTCCTTCTGATCCATGCTAAATTGTATTTTCTTCTGAAACAGTAGGTCCAAGTCTCGACACCGTTTCGGAACGCACTTCACGATGGGATACCCGTTCACGGCCAAGATCAAGAGACAAGCGGGAGACAGCCATAGATATTCTATATGAGAATGAAAGAGGAGGATTCTTTTGCGGCGTTGGATTGTTTTCTAGCGCAGCTCTCGGCGGGCTTGATCCCACACCTTGGAGTGAGTAATACCTGCGAAACGTGATATTGTCCACAGGTCTTCGACTAACCAAGTATTTTGCAGCCAATGCTTACCACAACCCATCTCCTACCGATATTCATACTGCGCAAGTTCCCGATCCATCGTGGGAGTGGGTATGGCCTGAATGGCGGATTAATGAGCAAGATGGCTTAGATGAGGGTGGCTGGGAATATTCCTTTGCCTTTCAGAAGGCATTCTCGTGGCACGGGCCAAGGTGGTGGAACTCGTTTGTTAGACGACGTGCGTGGATTCGGAAGAGGGCAAGAAAGCGACCTGAAGAAGCAGCTATCGGCTCAAATCCCCTTAACAATCTCGACTATTTCCATACTCACTCGCCGTCCGTTCTCAGCCCGCAAGTCAGCCGAGTCGGAAGCAGAGATCCAAGCAGGGCTCGAAGCCGAACTCCAAGCCGATATAGTATGACGCAGGCATCGTCTGCTGAGCCGGAGCAAGATCGACCGGATATCGAAGATATACATATGCTTCTTCATGTTCTCCGCTCGGCCAGAATTGACCGAGAGAGGCGGGAAGCTATCGAGAATTATATCGAACATGCAACAGATCTGTCAGAACTACAGCATGAGATGCATGAAATCATGTCTCTGTTCATATTCCAGCAATCGCGCAGACAGCTGCTTTCATACTTACTGCATAAACATGAAGAGGCAGCAAAAGCATGGGAGGAAGACCAAAGCCTGAAATTGAAGCTTCGCAAAGAGGCCCTTGACGCCGCCGTAAAGCATGCTGAAGAAGAGGTTTGCAAACTGGTTTACTGGAGCGATATGAAGCAGATGGCTGAGAGCGGAGAATTGCGAGACGCTGTTGACACTTGTGAGGGATTGGGCGACGATCCATGGCAAGGCTTAGACAAGAGCGCTCCTGAGCCCCCTAGGAATGGCAAGATGCCAAAACCCTAAGGCGTTCTTTGGAATCTACGTCCTTTTTGACTTGAGAGTAACTGGACAAGTTAATGCATATACCCCTTTGTGCTTGGAGGAGTTGGTCGAACATGATTTGAAAAATGGCGGGCCCTACAATCCATCTGGCCGTGGAACTGGCGCTACTTTGGGAACACTAAGGGGCGATTCGATTGTTGACTGTTTTTGGCATCTATCTATATGAGAGCACAGCATCTGGCGAATGGGTTTTGAGCTGGACTTTTAGGATTTGATAGTAGAGTTATGAGACCAGATCTCTGGCTATGAATAAAGAGCTCTTATTTTCGTTCAATGCGAGCATCAATCCAGTCTGTAAGAAACGCCGTGTAAGTAGTTGCACGTGACGATGCTAAAATGCTGCAGAGGCACCAGAAATCCCTTATCGGGGCTTATCGGCAGCGCATTTCCTATTGCGAACTCTGCCTCTTCACTGTCATATAAAGCAGCAACATGTGCACCTCATGACCAATGTTCCGAGGGATCAAGTCGATCTGGAGGACTCGGTCCCAGTTCATCGGCACGCCTGGATCTCGTCCGACTCTTGCGCTCTCATGGCGCACCGCAGCGTCTCTTAGGCCCGCACTGGCCCTGGACTCGACCTCGCGCTTTACATCTTCAGCCACTTCGACGAACAAGTCTGCGGTTGCGGAAATACAAGATGCCTCGCCTGTAGAGGCTGAGACGACCTTAAATGGCACAGAATCTCCCCCTTCGAGGGCCACACGCCCAAACAATGCTCGAAACCGCATGTTCAGAGAGACTTTTCGAGAAAAGAGCGCGGCACAATCAAAAGATGTACAACGGAAGCTCGCTTCGCCGTATGTCCCCACGGTGAGGGGCTATCCGCTGGTGCATGCGGCGGAAGAGAGCAAAGTGCATGCGTTACAGGTGGCCAAGGTGCAGGTGGCGTTCGACCTAATATGGCGAGATTTTGGCCAGGAGATGCCGGACTGGTCGGAGACGTATAACTTGCTGAAGAGGATGATGACCAAGAGGAGTGAGCCGTTGAGCATGGCTGCGATGAGGATTGTTCTGCCCAAGTCGTGGGAACTGGAGCTGGACAACAAGAAGGTCGAGTTTGTGGATTCGACAACGGGATTGCTCGCGAAGCTTCGTGTTTCCTCGGATCATCAGAACCCGTCGGCGATTATTCTGCGTGGCAAGAGCTCAGTGTTGGCGAGCGCGGCGGAAGAATTGGTAGCCGCGTGCAAGGACGTGGAAGTATACAGGCTTGGAGAAGTTGCGGCATTTGGCTACGAGGTGAAGCGACTTTGGCCTGCCATCGAGGATGCCGCGGATGGTGGCACGTTTATCCCCGAAGATAAGCTCGACAATATCTGGGTGCATCAGGAGCATCAGACGCATTGGATCGATACGCCGTACGAGCAGACGCCCAAGCCGGAACAGTGGACGATTGAGAATCTCGAATCATACATCACGACGCTTGTTTGTGGCCGGCTGCGTCCGCATCTTGCGTTACGCTACTACGTAAAGCCTGAAAAGGACGGCAAGTTTGTCGACACGGACGGTATCAGAATTCGCATGATTATGGATGCCCTCACAAATCCCGAGGCGAAAGCCTGCATTACGCCGTCGATACTGAAGATGGCCATGTCATTCATGGCTCACAAAGGAGGCCATCGGGCGGATGCAGACCGACTGCTGGCTCTAGCAGAAGAATGGGGGATTCCCCTAGATACAGAAGTTTTCAACATCATGCTCGAAGGCTATGTCACTAAACGTGACGTCGGATTCTTCCATTGGCTGCTTCGAAAGATGGAGCAGCGATACTTTCACCCCAATGCGCGGACGTGGCTACTGTTCCTCGAGCTGGTCGAAAAAGAGACGGAAAGAAGACAGATTATCGTGGCCATGTATGACTTGGGCTTATTCAAGGATCCTGCTACGCGCAGGGGAATTGCGCGGATCATGGCCGCCCATGACGCCTACGTTGCCTTCAAGTCTGGGAAAAGGCTCCCCGTCTTTATGGCGGAACAGAAGTCGCGGTATGGCGATGACTGGTTCACGACTGATGCTATAAAGAGCATATTAACAGAGTTCTTCCGGTTCCACGAGCGGGACAATCGCCGCTATGACGAGTTCAAGAGCCTCATCGAAATGCAGTCTGAAGACGGCCGCAAGGTTGGCGTCGATACGATCAATCTAGTTCTAGACAAATGTCTGTTCTACAAGGACTGGGCCACGGCCATTTGGGCGCTTACCAAACTGAAGGAGTCTGGAAATGAGGCAGATGCAACGACGTATCAATACATTATCCGGCTGGCTATTAGGCTACAGCTGCCGCATTCCCTCGGCGTGGCTGTCTTTTACGGAGCGCTAGAGTATAAACTGCAGTATCTCACGAGAATCATTCTGCGCCGCCATCTCGCGAATCACGTCAAAGATACATTCTGGTTGCAGCACAAGCCCAAGATGCTCTCCAAGGAGATGGGCCGCCTCCTCCGAGACAACCCGACCAGGGGGATATCCAGGATGCTTTCCCGCGTGGAATGGGCCATCAACCAAGTCTGCGAGGGATACAAGCCCGCAAAACCGCTAGTGGAGATGCTCGACCTCGCTCAGCGGACAAAAGACAAGCCGCTGCTTCTGCGGCATAGACATCCCAGAGACTTCCAATACGACGGCGCTAATACTCCTAGTGATGATTTGGCGATTAAGATGGTGGGCAGCGAGGTGGAAGGCAAGAAAGCAATGTACGTGCATTTGAACTGGCATTTTGATCCAAGGACGATGGTAAAGGGCTGGAACGAAGAAAAGGCAAAGAAATCACAGCAATGGTTTGATGAACATAAAAGGGTACCGGATGGTTTAGAAAGGAGTTCTTGAGGAGGGGGAAAAAGGAAGCTTTTTATTTTATATCATTTTGACAAAGATCAATGAATCTGTGTAATTTATAGAGAACTCGGGGGGGGGATATTTTGGGTAGCATGGTATGTATGGCACAGATGAGCAGTACTTCAGGTACTGCTTTTTAACGGACATTTATGAATATCACAACTGTATACTAGCAGAATAAGCATATATAAAAATCTCATGTATATTATATTGAAAAAGTGGTGTGTGCTGAAAGTATCTCTGGGCCGTCTATCGCCTTATCCAGTCGTATTGTGCAACCCAAAGCGCCATCCTACCTCGGTATATTCCCACCCTTGACTATATTTGTAGCACCTTTGCTTTTCGTTCTTCTTTGATCACCTAACAAGCGAAGCCTAGAATAAGTTCACATCACCACAACTCAGGTCCTCTCCAAAAAGAAAAGAAAAAAAGATGAAAATCTATTCGAGAGAAACTGGGGCAGAAAGGTGATGTGTACATACCTAGGCAGCATGAGAAAAAACCAGTCATCCTAGGCATCCGAGTATCAAACCCATAAAGTCTCCCATATTTATAATGCGAGCAGTACCTCATTTCACCAATTGTTTCACAACATCACCCGAGCCTGAATAATATGAAAAGCGGACATCTGTGGACAAGGTTGGTTGGGTATCAGAAATGATAATAAATGGGTCTGGAGCAATGCGAGAAGAAAAGAAATTATAATAGAAACAAAAGGATCAAGCTCTGAGATGGCGGTTTTCCTGTTCCAAGACGTAGGACAGAGTGATAAAAAAAAAAGAAGATGCGCGTCAAGGGGGGGGGGAAACCGTGTGTATGCTGCAAGAGACCCAAATCTCCTTGATCCAAATATTATACCACCGGTACACCAAATATCAACAACGATATAAAGAACCGTATAAGAGGGCACACTCAGAATGTCTAACCGCCCCCTGATCCTCTGCCCTCTCCCTCGCGACGTTTGCTAATAGCCCTTTCCTGTCTTTCTTCCTAACTTACCTAGGTAAAGGTAACACATTCCTCCACGCCTTGGTTCGAGATCGAGATTACGCCTGGTTCGAGCGACAGCCAAAAAAGTAGAAGAAAATAATGACACATATTCATCGATAACACAAGGGCGGGGGGCTTCAAGGCGAGCTACCTGGGTAGGGCGAAAGGACCACCTAATCCTTCTTCTCCTCGGATGCCTTATCGTCTTGTTTCGTCTCCACCGGTGCAGATGCTGACTCGGGTGCTGGCTTGGACGCTGAATCTTCCTTAGCCTCGGATTCTTTAGGGTTCTTTGAAATCTGGCTGGGAAGATCCTTGTCCTCGTCAGCGTTGTCAAACATCTCGGTATCGTCAGCTCCGGTCAAGACCTCTGTGCCGTCGCCGAGGAAGATAATGCGACCACGGTTTCCGGCAAGGCTAAACTTGCCGCCGCTCTCCTGGTCAAGGTCATAGCCGCTGTCGCTGTCCTCGTAGTTGTGGTGGACTCCTGGGCCGCGGAACTCGGCTGATAGTCATATTGTGGTCAGTCTTCAAGGTTCCGCCTCTGGGCTTGTATATGGGAAGCTGGGGAATGGTTCGCTCGTACCATATTCCGGGGGGGCACAAGGGCCATCTCCATCAGCCACTCGCTTAGCGATCTCATCGTACCACTGCTCCTTGGTCTTGCCGTGCAAGAAGCCAATGATGATCATGGTCATGTTGTCGCAGCCAACACCGCCGGTTTCTGAGTTTGATGCCAGGCAGTTGTCCATCATATTCTCGCAAATCTTGTCAAGGTCTTGTCTGGCAGCAATGCCTCGTCGCACAAATTCAACGACAGCCTGGGAAGACTGGCAATCCCAAATACCTAGCAAAAAAGGTATGTAAGCCTGGCGTTTCCTCAAACCTATAGCCAACTCTTTTTGGTATCATTCCAACTCACCATCACAAGCAATCACCAAGAATTCATCCTCCTCTGTAAGATCGTGCTCCTCGACATCGGGGAAAGCAGTAACGATTTGGTTCTCGGGGGAGAGCTCGGCGCTCTTCTTGAATTCGAAATCGCCAATGGCACGCGACAGTGCTAGGTTACCGTTGACACGGCCAAAGTCGACAAAGCCGCCAGCTGCTGTGATTCGGTTCTTCTCCGCTGTAAATCGCAAGGAATTGGCAATCAGTATTCCAAATCTTCAAATACTGATTGAACGGGTGTACAAACTTTCAAGCTGAGGCTTGTGGTCGTTGGATAGGGGCTTTGCTCGACCCTTGATGCCCAGCACACTTCGAGAGTCACCGGCGTTTGCCTGTGGAAAGTTTTCAGTAAATTTGAGTACGATTCCACTTGTATTGGCAAGGTAAACGTACGACATAAATCTTGTTTCCGGCAATCAAAGAAACACAAGCGGTGCAGCCAGAAACTTCTTCTTCGTACTTGGGGTCTGTGAATAATGTCGCACAAGGCGAGTTAGCACGAGCTGATTCTTCTTTCGTGAAGGGTTATAATTGTAGACATATGCACTAGAGATGCGGAAGATATGGGCGTGGTCCATATTTATCCTTCCTCTCTCCTGCTTCTTCTTCGTGCCTATGCTCTGCGCACAGCCTGGCAAATACATATAAAATGGGGATCATCATATTCGTACCGTTGAGAATGGCCCGATCCGTGGCGAGGAAGCCGTCTTTGAGACCCTGAGCATAGTTGCCGGCCTTGAAAGAATCTTGTTTGAATACAATGTTGTGGATATTTTCGCCTGCGAACAATGCGACTTTGTCTCCTCCGTGTCCATCATAGACGCCGAAAAAGGCCAACCTGTCGGGGTGCGTCTTGGTGTCGTTATCGGGTGCGGGGAGGTTCAGCTCAGCCGTGTGGGCATCTTCCATGCTAATGCGCCAGCCTTGCATGGCCGAGACACCGAAGAGGAGTCGGTCATCCTCGCCTTTTTCGGAAGTCTAAATGGCGGAGAGAAGAGTGGTTAGCAACTGTGAGGGCAGCTTGAAAAAGAGTCCCGAGATGGCAAGTAGAGGCAGCAACGCAAGGCAAAGAGGAGAGAGAGAGATAAGCAGCCATGCGCGGCGGGGTTGTGCATGCGCTCGACGGCCGGTTTTCTGCTCTCCGATGCCCAATGGCGGGATACACGAGGCAGGGGAAGAGGCAGAGCAGAAGCGATACGAGGTGGCACAAGACCACGCACGTATGGATTTCTATAGCCCGTGGAAGCTATCGAGTCGCGGGGCCTCCAGCCGCGGCTGAGGCATATGAAGCGAGCATCACGGTGCGCTCAAGGCATGAACGGGACGGACAGCGGGCACTTCACAGACGAGGCGCCCAACGCAACGCAACGCAACACACCTTTTCGACGACGGGCTCCGAGAGGGTCTGACCCATGGCTGCGGAGAGGAGTTCTGGCTCACGAGGGCCAGCGACGGATTATATCGATATAGGCGAGAAACGAGTTGAGGGGTGCGGGCGATCGTCGACGGTGCTTTGCGTGCGGCACGAAACAAGGTGAGAGACGAAGAAAGAAAAAGGCTGCGGGCTCTAGGAGTCCGTGAAGCAAGGCTGGATACCTCGCAAAGTGCCTTTGTTTGGCTTTAGATTCCAGGAAGTGGAAAGGGCGTGTCAAGGAAAAAAAACTAGAGGTCAGGTGGATGGAGATTTGTTTGTGTGTGGTGGTTTTGCCAGCGACGCAAAAGTCGGATTCGCAGGAAGCGGGGTACCAGAATACCTACATCAGCCAAATCGAACGCCACACTTTTTTTTTTCGTTCACATCACCGCTGCACTGCAAACGGGCTCCCCGGGCGCTATGCTACAGGCTGCCTGATAGCGCTAGAGCTCATCAATCCCGCCTAGCAGGCTCTGCTCAAGTTTCCAGTCTCTTCCATTCTTTGTTTCTTGGGTAGCAGATAGGCAGATACAGGCAGGCAGCCAGATGTGGCGAAGCAAGCTACTGCAAGCTTGCCTAGCGAGAAAAGCCCGCCCATCTGTGCGTTTTCTCCAAGAGGCAAAGGGCTTTAATTTCCTTTGCGTCCCCATGTTCTTTAGCACGATGCGGAGCAGTTCTATTTTATGTTTAGTTTAGTGCTTGTGCCCCGTAGCGGAGATTTGATATTTGTTTGCTCTTCTTTAATGATCTCTGATAACGAAGGCGAGGCTTAAAATAGAAGCAGGCCTGTATGTAGGTATGGCCATTAGAAAGCAGCGTGGCATTGAGATGCTTCACTGCAACCAGCCCCTCCATCCATCTTCTGCGGACGGAGGGGTGCTGTGGCTGGAGAAAAGGGCGATCCAATGCTAGATGCGCATGTACCTTGCACCCGCGATTACTAGGGCCAGGTACTCGGCACTTAACTGCGGTACCTTGCCTGTTATGCCGCGCGGCAATCTCTGTGATAAAATCGATGATGCGCATCGGCGACTCAATTGGCCAACGGGCTCTTTTTACCCTAAAGTCCAACGCGAAAAGCAAAAACAGGAACCGCAATGAAAATACACACACAACGAAGAATACGAACACTCGGATTTCTAACGAGCCCTTTCGTTTTACATGTGTGTGTGGAAGGAAGTAGTGGAAGAAACATCATTGTAGAGGTGTAGTTATGATTGGAAGATGGTCTACTTTTATGGTTGTCCATCTTTACACAATGCCATGGTATCGAACAGGAAAAGGTTACATAGCGTAAACAAAAGGGAAACAACCACAGCTACTCCATGAGATGAGGAAAAGAAAACGTCATATCAACATAAAGCACTTGTACAATCCAGCCCCCGTTTCATTTGTTATATAAACATTTTGAAGCTCCTCTCCGACACTTTAGCAGCCGAATCCTCTCTCCTCCAATCCGTCACAGCCTTCGCCTTCGCCGCCGCCGCTTCTCTCTCCCCAAACACAGACGACTTGCCCCCTTCGCTCGTCAGTGATATCGCACTCATCGACCGCATGGGCCGTATCACAGTGCTCTTCCTCTCGTCCTCACCCCATTTGCTCGGCGATATGAGCTCCAAGCTCCGTCGCTCTTCCAGCTGTGACACGTTATTGTTCTTCGATGCCGATCTGGACGGGAGAAAGGGCGTCTCGTCCAGGAGCTCTAGGTATCCTACGCTGGGATCTTTTCGGCCGAGCGCGCGCCAGTTTTCGTTTGACCCGAATGATGGCTCTGTTCGAAAGCTCTTGGCTCTGTTTGATATGGAGGTCTTGTTGGTCCAGGAAGAGCCGCGGCGGCTGAACCATTTGTGACTTGATATCCGTGCTTGGCTGGGCTGTTTTAACTCCGAGATGCGTTCGGCTGCTTCGCCATCTGCTTTTGCTTCTGCGACAGGCTCCTTTCCTTTCGCGGTAGCCTCAGTGACTGATTGTTTTGCCCGACTGACAAGGCTGGGGTCGAATGGTTCTTGAAGGTCTTGAACGGTCGAAAGGACTGACGGCAATGCGGCAGAGCTGGATGTTATATCTGAAAACATCGCTGAGATGGTTCGCTCATTCGAAACGTTGTTAGCCGCAACGGGCATGGGTTGTATGTTGGCCAAATTCTCCAAGGATGGCAGCGTGAGATCTAGTCCGCTCCTGAATGCACTCTCTCCAGCCTCTGTGAGGAAACTTGATGTAGGCAAATACAACTGAGCGGCTTCCGGCAAGGTGATGTCTGAGTGGCAGCTATTTCTCGCCTTATGGCTTCGTCCGCTCACTGTGGTTCTTTCTACGGTGAACCACGAGGCCTGATCTTCGTCATCTAGCGGACTGACGCTCCTAGCCGTGGCAGGTTGAGCTCCCGAAGCCATTGGGCCTGTAAGGGTTCGCCGTAGTATGGAACCACCTCGCAAAGTACCCGATCTTTTTGACATTGACGACATTTGTGATGCTACCCCTGCAAAGATACCGTTGCCTTTCTTGAACAGCTGTAGCTGCGCATTGGACGTTTTGGAGCTTTTGGAGCCAATAGTCTTCTCTACATGGTAGATTGTCTCCTCATCTGACTCGTTATTGCGCATTGTAAAGGAACGTATCGGGTCTGATATCTTGGGCCGATGCCTTGCGGACGAGATGTAAGTTCGACGATGCCGCCTTCTGCGCATGACGCATACAATGAGCATTATGGTAAAGGTCAGAAACAGAACTGGCAGAATAGTAGCCAGGAGAATATCGGTGGTATTCATACGGCGCGAGGGGGCATCTTCAGAACTCATGCTGGCCGGCCTCGTGGAATTTGATGTATGAGAGGTAGGGGACGACTTTGCTTCGTCTGGCGAGAGAAACGCAGCTTGCAATACCTCTGATTCGCTGAGACCAGTGCTTTTCGAGGTGGCTTTGATTGACATTTTGAACTTGCCTTTTGCCGTTTTCGGGGCGTTGCCTGATATTTCGAGGCCGTCAACATGTAGCCAGCCTGGTTCGGGGTCCAAGTCGACTTTTAAGTCTATGTCCTTAGGGTCGCGGAGATATGACGAGAGGTCAAGGCTGAACTCATCCCCAGGCTGAATTTCAATATCCCGCTGGAAGTTTGAGTGGAATAAGCCTGTACCTACATCCGCTCGGACGTGAATATTCAAAACATCCGCAAATGAATCACAAATGATGATTTTAAAATTGGCAGACTCATCGTTGCTTGCCGGTGTTCCCTCCAAGAGTAGTGTTGCTGGATCGAAAGACAACCAAGATGGCATATTCTCCGTCGACACATCAAGAGAGCTGGGGTTCGCATCCTTGTTGTCCAGCTGGATCCCATTCGCCAATCCATCAAAGCTAATCTTGGAGCCTCTCGTAGCATTAAGTTGAATGACGGGGTGATCCGTGGTGAGTTTGTGGCTGCCGACCACAATAGCAAACGAGAGCGCAGTTCCCGCGAAGCCGACGACATCAGAGGCGACGAGACTGAAATCGAACTTTTGAGGAGGCTGGATCAAAGACTCAAACGCTGGAGTCCTGCCGGAGAAGGTCAATGTCTGCTGATCGAAAGTGATCCATGCCGGTAAAGGGGTGCTATCATTCGTTGAAGCGTAGTAGGTGAAATTGTGTCCAGTTCCAAACGTATTCGGGTCAAAAGTATAGCGGAAATCTGTCGACGGATAGGACAAGAGCGAAGACGGGGCTGAAAATGCTCCGAGGCCGTCTATCTGCTGCGAAACAGGTATCTTTATTGAAGGCGGAGGATTGCGTGATATTACAACAGTAGCATTCATAGCGGTCGAGCCGATACCATCTGTCGCAATCAGATCAAACTGCTGGCCTATGACGTCTCCCGCAGGGATATCTTCATCTTTTGGCGTCCCATACAGACGTCGGCTGCCTTTCTCGATGGATAACCAACTAGGATGATGGCCCAGAGAGTAGGTGATGTTGGAGCTGGATGTGAAGGTATTCGGAGAGAAGGAGTACGAGAAGAGCCGGTCTATTCTGGCGACAGGAGGGAGTTGCGCGTTGAAAGGATATGAAGGCGCAGGCTCAGCACACGCGGTCTCTATGAGGCGAAGAGTAACGAGAACCGCAAAGAGCGACGCCATTATGGCACGATGTTGCGCCAGACAGCGCTGGATAGCTTCAAGAACGCAGCACAAAAGCCATGCGGTATGGGAGAGAGAGCTTTAGTTGAAGATACGGCCTTGGAGAATGAATATCAACAAGGTAAACACGAAGCAGATGAGAAGGAGAAAGTTTGAAACTGGAGACTGGAAACCCCAGCAAGAAGAAGTCATATTGAATTCGCCTGGCAGATGGCTGGGTACAGACTTGGATGCAAGCCCCCTTCATTCCACCACAGCCGGCTCACGAAGCCTTCATGGGCTCGGCCTACCAATAATGCCGAGGGAATCACGAGAACGCACAGCTGGTCCATTACGATGAGAGGTAGATTGTCTCAGAGACCAGCTCTCAGAGATCAGACGGAAGAAAAGTCCTCCAATAGACGGGATTGCACCGTCGACAGAAGTGTCAAGTAGGCTGGCCAGAGAGGCTGTGGCATTCCAGAGGCGGCGTTGAAGACTGAGACATGGGATGCCACTCTGAAGAATGGCCACAGACTAGTTAGCAACTGGAGAATGAGGGGTGATCGGCACTTGATCTGAGAAACGCGTAACGCGATATTGCTCCCTTGAGAATGCTGCAGGCACTCTAATAGATCAGAAGTGATCCTCGAGCATTCGAGCATAGATCCTTGGTAGTCTCCGAGCTGGTGGACGATTAGACCCACAGCCGGCAAGCTGTCAAGCTTTACTCAATGATCCCTGCCGCGCATCTATATGGGCATGGAGTAGTTCAATTAATTCATCGCTGCAGCGATCATCACCGCGGCAAAAGGTGGTCCACGATGATGTATTCAAAGTGCTTTGTAGGAGTAAACATCCATGGCCCTCTGCGGCAGGTCAAGTGCGGCAAGCCGGATCAATTGAGGGTCTTTCCCTCGGGATCACTATCGTGGCCAGGAAAATCATCACTCTAGGGCCATCACAGATAAGGTATCGCAAAAAAAAGAGGGACAGGCTGCTGCGGGGGATTTTGACAGTGCCATGTGCTCGTGACGCCCTGCAAGATCTTAAACTTTATCACAACAGCCTCTTGTTTCGTCTTTCTCGCCGTCCTGCCAATAGCATCCTCTCCTCTTAATTCATCAAACCAGTACAGCGTAAGGCCATGGAGAGCCGCAGTCCTTCACCTCCCTTGGACCCCGTTGCGGGCGTCACGGAGGATCTCGTTTCACTACCAAACTCAAAGACGGCCGGCGACACAAACATCGACTTTGACGGACTGCTCGCACAGTCTATCAAGCTCCACGAGGACGTGCGGACAGGCTGCGGCGGCCAGACGTGGCCTGCGGGTATGGTGCTGGGGAAGCATATGCTGCGCTACCACAGAGCCAAGCTGGAGACTGCCCGGATGTGAGTGGTTTTTTTTTTCTTCCTCTTTTTCTGTGCTGTTCTACACGGCACTCGGCGCTTTTTCTTCGGGTTCTTGAAATATTTTTCTCAGCCAAGATGCCCACCTCAGTGCATGACTAAAGCCACTCCCAAAGAATGAACCGCTGACTCAGGCCTAATAACGCAGACTGGAATTGGGCGCTGGTGGTGGACTAGTTGGATTGGCTGTGGCGGCTGGTTGTGACCTCCAGGCGCCACTCATCTTAACCGACCAGGATGTGATGCTGGAGCTGATGAAGCATAATATTCAGCTGAACGAGCTGGAGGGCAAAGCCACGGCCTCAATATTGGACTGGTACGTTGTGACTTGTGATTTTCTCCGCTTCCGCATCTTGGTATCAGCCTAGCAGACACCGCTGCTTAGAAGACATGTTCTTGGCGGTGCTACTTTGTCATACCATACCTCAAGCGGCTCTATTTCCAGCGCCGAAGCCAATATTTGACTGACCTAACACTATGTGTGCAAATTTCCAGGGGCGAGACACTTCCAGAGGCCGTTGTGGCGCACAAGCCGGACGTGATATTGGCAGCTGAATGTGTCTACTTTGAGCCGGCCTTCCCGTTACTCATGCAGACGCTCAAGGACCTGTTTGAGCTCAATTCGGATGCTGTGGTGTATTTCTGCTTCAAGAAGAGGAGAAGAGCCGACATGCAGTTTGTCAAAGCAGCCAAGAAGGCGTTTGTGGTTGAGGAAATCTTCGACGAGGACAGGCCCGTGTTTCAGCGAGAGTCACTGTTCCTTTTCACATTTAGAAAGCGGGCAGCCGGTGGCACCATTGCGAGCAAAAAGAAGAGCGGCATGATGGCAGCCAACCTCAATGGCCAAATCGAAACCGCTAGATGAGGCCACACAGCAGCAGACAGAAGAACCTTCCCCGTGATTGGGCTTGACTCCTCTTTTTTCTTCCGTGGTATTGCACGACATTGGCAGCACGAGTCCCGTCAGCGGTTGCACCAAGCAGAGAATCAGGATCCAGAGAAGAGAGACCGGAGGGAGCCTGCATGCATGCGTGCACCTCCTCCCATGTCAAGCGAACACGGAATAGCATACGACGGGGGAAATAAAGGTGCGGGGGGACAGGGCCGTGGAACAGATGCGGCTATGAGCCTGACTGCTGAGCGAGATTAATGATTCAGCATGTCTTTGTTCCCTCTTTGCTGCCATCGCGCCCTGGGATCGCGATTCGGGAAAGCGGCAGGAAACAAGAACTAGCATACGCAAGCCTTTGACGATGAACTGAAAATTTTTCTTCTGACGCGTGGCGATTGCATTGCTTCTTTTTGTTCCTTTTTTTTCGTTTCGGTGCTGTTCAGAGGCAATGGCGCTGCGACCTGAGCTGCTGGCTACTAACGTCGCAACGGTTCCATATTTGTCGTCCACCCGGCTTCTGACTGTGCCCATCCGGTTGGTACAGAGCAGAACTCGTGGTGGAGACAAGTCGGTGAAGTTAAACGACAGGCCATGACAAGCAGGGAGTCAACCGCCACACGTTTTAGATCGAATGAGCGTGCCTTGGGTCGGCGTCTTCGGAGACACGCAACCGCAGCTTGGTCGGAAAAAGCCCAACTTCCGTCTAGTTCAATTAACACCATACTGTGCGCTGCCCCTGCCGCATATTGAACACATTAATCACATTAAACTGCCCTCCACATCGGCACAGTAGCATTCGGAACAAAAGAGGGGCGGATCATCTCTGACTCGCCTCATCTCCGGCTGGGCTTTGGAATGAAAGAGGCATTGACGGCCAGCACGTGGAGGCGCACTCCATTGCACGAGATGGCGTTGAATAGCGTTGGTCCCCTCCCCGGAGCACCCACAGCGGCACAATGGACGGATGGGCTCAGTTCTTTGGAGAAGAAGAGGGTCACAAAAGAAAAGAAAAAAAAAAAAAAAAGCGCACCGTTGTCAGCGTCTCCACGGCAGGCAGCATCTCGATAGCCGGACGGCAACAAGAAAAATGTCAAGATCCAAGTGGATGGGATGGCAGACGAAGCGGGTCTGCGAAGAAAGAATTTCCCTCAAGTGTCGGTCGGCAAAATGCAAACATGGGGGGGTAGAGCTAAAAAAGAAGCGTGAACAGGATCAGGGCAAAAAAAGAAAAAACTTGCATGACAAGGCGCATTTTCTTTTCTCTTCGTCTCTCAATCTCTTGCCCGTGCGTGCGGATCCACCGAGATGGCGAGTGAGTTTTTGCAAAGCGGCGCTCCACCGCACATGTTTCGGGTTTTGCGAGTCCTGCCAATCTGCGTGCGAGGGCCCGCAGCGCCTCAGGCACCGGCCAGCGCCCATTGGCTGGCCTGCCGGGTACCTGGTTGGCGCTGCGACGCTGCGATGGGACCGGATGGCGGCCCCTGCAGAGCCCGCGAAGGCTATTCGCCCCTGTAATACAGGCGCTACAGCAGCCCGGGGGCCAATGACAGCCCGCAGCGGCGACGTGGCAGCGCCGTCTGGCTAGCTCGGCGCGGCTGTGATCCGTTAGGGGTTGCCGTTCGCTCTCTTTTGGTGAACAGTGCACGCACGCTGCTTTTTTGTCTCAGGCTTCCATCCACTCATCCCTCTTTTCCGCCGCCAGCGCCCTTGCAGCACGTAAGCAGCGCAGCGAATTGACACTGGCTGCGTTGCGCGGCGCTTGGCTCCAGCAGCTCCAAAAGGGCTCCAGCAGGGGCTCCAGCAGCAGCGTGGACGGCGCCAGGCTAATTGAACAGACGCCCACAATGGCCACCACCACGCCGACTGAGGCCCCCCCGGCTAGCGCTCCGTATTAATCCTGGGAGCCCATGTAAGCTGCAATCCCATTAATAAATCCAGCCTCCTCCCCCCTGGCCGAATGTTTCGTCTCTCTTCTTCTCAAACGAAACAGACTTACTTCATAGTTGATCTATTTCCCACATCCGGAGCAGGACTCTCCCTTCCTCTTGCAACCCACACTCCTTCAAAAAGTCTTTGCACTTCTCGCCTCTACGGCACTTTTGCTACATCAGCTGTCCTGTTGAACAGAACAACATCGCGACAACCACCGCTCCTTTCCAACTACAGTTATCCAAGATGAAGACCTTTACCGTTGCTTCTGCCTTCCTCGTTGCGGCCGCTGCCGCCAAGCCTCACCACGGCCACCACGCTCACCACCACGTTGCTCGTGACAACGTCGTGACCGAGATCGAGTGGCACACCGAGTATGTCACCCAGACTGAGGTGATCGATTCCACCACCACCTACCTGGTCCAGGACGGCAAGACCACTCCCGTGGCTGCTCCCACCAGCAGCGGCCTTGCTGCCTCTGCCGGCGAGTTCGTTGAGCCTTCGTCTTCCACCGTTGCTCCCAGCTCCAGCACCGCTGCGGTTCCCACCACCAGCACCCAGGCGCCTCCTCCTCCTCCGACCACCACTGCTGAGGCCTCGACTTCGTCTGTCTTCACGCCTCCTCCTCCTCCTCCTCAGACCACCTCTTCTCAGGTCTCGATCCAGGCTGTTGAGCCTCCTGCGCCCTCCAGCTCTTCCGTGGCTCCTCCTCCTCCTCCCCCGGTCTCGATTCATATCCCCTCCCCCTCTCCCTCTCCCTCTCCCTCTCCTTCTCCCTCTCCTAGCCCCAGCCAGCCTGCTGCTGGTGGCAGCAGCGGAAGCAGCAGCGGCGGCACCTTCCAGGGAGACATCACCTACTACACCGTCGGCCTCGGCTCCTGCGGCGTCGACAACTCCGGCGACGACACCACCCAGAACCTGGTCGCCATCAACTGGGAGCAGATGGGCACTCAGTCCAACGGCAACCCCATGTGCGGCAAGACCATCACCATCAGCGCTGGCGGCAAGACCACCACCGCCCTCGTCGTCGACAAGTGCATGGGCTGTGCCTCCGGCTCCATCGACGTCAGCGAGAAGGTCTTCACTGAGCTGTTCGGCGGCCTCGGCCAGGGCCGTGCTTCTTGCAGCTGGTCCTTCAACTAAGCGGCTGTCTCCAAGACAATCTGTGCATGACGGGTATATGGATCCTATTGTCATACTACGCCTCAAAAGAAAGAAGAAATCTCAAGGCGTACATATACCCTAGATCATTTTATGGACAAATTTCTCACGTTATACCCTACATTCGTTGATTTTTATTTTTTTGGATTCACCGTCCCTGGCGTGGATGGGAATGCGATATGGAATAGGAAAATGATTAACTTTTTATTATTTTTTATTTATTCTTTACAAACACATTTCTTTGAAATTTGTCCCGGGACAAAGGGAACAGGAATTGAAAAAAACTTTTTTCTATTGTACATATAGACAAAAACCTTTATAGACATGTCCTCTCATATTGGAGACAACGTGGAATGACATACCCTTTTAGATGCCATCAATACTCTGATACTTCAAACAGTTTCTTCGTGATTGTGCGTGAATGATGAGCTGTGATTGTTGTTCCGATGGCTGCTACTCAGGTACATGTTGTGCAAATTACGGTGGATAGGTACATTGTATCAATGGATCTACTACTAGTATCCATCATTAAATCGGGCACTGAAAAGCTCATTTGCGCTACGCCTAATTACTCTATGCCATTCAATGCTTCCAAGTTGCGCCATTGCATCGCTAAACACTTTACCATGCAATTTTGGGTAATTGTGATAGCCATTGTCACCTCGTATCAACCAGCGCTGAAATTTCTATCCCACTCGCCAGTAAAAAGAGACAGGGCCTCCCCATACGGATACGCCGCTAGCTGCAAATCGTCATATCCTTCTTTTCCTTGATTCTTTTTGGGTTTCTCTTCACAACAGGGTCAACAGCTCTTCGATATATCGCCTCGTATCGACGCCGATCCCCTGCGCCAACCGACCCATACCCTCTCCACCCCCGGAAGCTCCCTCGTCGGAGGCAATACGAAAGCCAATGTGGTCACTTGCGCGGCGGATGAGGAATATTTCCTTGTCGACGATGGGGGGAGGTGAATCAGAGGGTGTAGTAGAAGAAGAGGACGAGTGGTGAGATGCAGCGGTTTTGTTTTCGAGACCAGCTTCTTCTTCTTTCTCTTCATGGTTGCTTGTCTGTGAAGTCGAGTTCAGGGATGAAGATGAGCGGGACTCGTGGATGGTGGAGAGCGGCAGTGCCGCCGTGGCAGTGTGGGTTGTGGAAGGGGTGGCGGCGGTGCGCTGGAGGACCCTCGTCCAGACGATCCACCATCCGCGATTCGTCTTCTGCGTGCGCTCGAGGTCGGTGATGCGGGAGCGCGTCGCGGCGTAGACGTTGAGCAGATGGAGGTGTGTACTTACGGCGTCCGCTCGGGACCACGCTGGTGAAGGAGTCGATGAAGCTGCAGCGGCCGGGTCGGGGAAGAAGTCGGGAATGTTGGGGATGGAGCAGTGCACGGTGAGCGAGGGCGGATCCCATACGAGGTCTTGGATGTGGGATGATACAGGGCCGGCGTCTGGGCGCTCGGGACGGTATTTGGTTGATGCCAAGAGTGGCTTCCTCAGTGGAGAGAGCTGGTAGTGCAGGGAGCGGTAAAGGGAATCCCAGGCCAGGGAGTCGGTGCGGAGGCGGAAGAGAAAGGCAAAGATGAAGGGCTTGTTGACGTAGACGACAACGCGGAGCTTTTCCGCCATGTTAGCGTCGTGAGAAGCATAATTGGGAAACAAGTTTCCAAACTCTTGTGATGAAGTCAACGGGTTGGCGGGATGCTCGAAATCTCTAACCATGGCGCTGTCAAGGCGATTCACCGTAGCGGATGAGCTTTCCAGCTCGACATGGAGAGTGCGAAGAACGGTACGGGAGTTGTTTTCGTCGCCGTCAGGATCGTCTGAGCCTGGAGTCCCGTCCACATCATTCTCAGCCGTGTCCTCGTCTTCAATGTCTCCTCTAAGGCCAATCAGGTAGTGGCCTGAAGCCATAGAAGAGGACAATTCCGATGCATCTGTGGCATTTGACTTGCCATCAGCGGCGGCTTGTTGTTGATTGGCCGCTTCTGACGAATTGCCTCCTGCTCCCGGAAAAGACCAGTATGATCCGTAACCCAGCGTGAGATAGCTGACCATCTTGTCAAGTCTTCCAGCCTCAGGCTCTTGAGCTGCTAGACTCTCTTCGTCTTCCGATGCTTTTGGATGAGCATCTTGTACGTCACTCGTAGATGGGCTGGCTTCTTCTGCGTGCCCTGTTGCCTTGGTCCCCGCATCATCTTTTGGGTGCTGGACATCATGCGGAGCGGCCGCCTTGGAAGACGACTTCTTGCCTCGAGCACGCCGTGTTGAGGTTGGGCTTTCAATGATACCATATGCATGCTCCCCCCAGGTATAAAGGTCTTCCATCCAGCTTGCCACGTCTCGTAGAGACTTTCGCGATAACGCCCCCGTCCCGAGAAATATGACACCGTCTTCAGCTCTGGGCTCTTTGCCGCTACCAAGCCATGGCTCTGCCTCGGTCTTATTCGACTTGCCAGGTTCCGGTTCGACATCGTCAGGCCCGAACCTCGAGACGACAAGGTCAACAAGACCCTCCACTCTGGTAACCAAGCCTTCGAGCACCTCTCTTTCGCCGCTTCCTCTGTCTTCCTCACCGACTCCTACCCCAAGCTCGCCAGACGCAGCAACGTTGATGCCGCCAAAGATGTCCCTTGCAGGGTTTCCGTGCAGCATAACGTTCCAGGTGGATAGAAACAGGTCCCAGTAGCGGCTGAGCAGCGCGATGAACTTGCCTCGGCGATTTCGAACAAACAAGGCGCTTAGTGATGATCCATGATGCAAGAGAAAGATACTGTGCGCACGCAACAGGTCCCTCAGCAACAACGCCGCCGGCTTAATCTCTCGACTCGAATACTCATACCTCTCCTCCTGTTGCTCTCCAGTCTTCATAGGTAGTCTTGGAGGAAGGGGCACTTTATTCAGGTCGATGCTCTATGAGTACCCAAGGTCAGCAGTCGGGTCATCTTCAATTTGGCACCTCCTACGCAGGGTCAACGCAAAAATATCACTCGTGAGACTCACGGCAAGAATCCACCATCCCGGCTCCAGCTCATGCGCAATGACCCTCGACTTCTCTGTGTCAATAGTGTCTACCGCAGCTCCATCAGAGAAGCCGCGGCCAAAATTGACCATGCCTTGGGCAAGGCCAATCTGCCGCAGCCGCTCGTGGCGCTCCTCTTGAGAGATGCCATCGGTCGGCCTTGCGCGCGCGCGCCTCCGTCGGCGGCTGGAGCTTTGCGTAGAGACAGAGGCGTAGTAAACGATCTGATCATCAATCGTTTCATCCGTCTGGCCCAGCGAAGGATTGAACAGGGCGAGGAAGCCCAACTGCGCGGGCACAATGCCGCTCGTGGAGGCATAAGCAGCCATAAGGCCGACGCTGGATGGCCCAACCGATCGAGCGAATGAACAGCTATGAAGCTGTGGAAATAGGCATCATCAGCTAAATTTGGAGATTGACGGGTAAAAGATGTGCCTTTTTGACTGTAGCGTAACGTTTATGGAAAATGATTGCCGCGCGGCAAAGCACACGTTAAAGGTGAACTGTAGGTCTGAGTTAAGAGATGGAGGGGAAGTTTTGCTTTGGGTGAGCTCGAGCTCTCCAAGTGCCAGCGTTAGCAGCAGCCCCTCCAAAAGTGCGCTGCGTCATTGCTGGAGTGTGATAAGATTCAAGCCGCTTAATGACTTTTCTACCAATTTAAAAATATGAGGCATGTTAGTAGACCAAGGAAAAAAAGCAAAGGAAAAAAAATCTAATTTTTTAAAACTATTTGACATACGCTATAACAGCTATTTAGCATACCCAGACAGATATAATGCATTTCGATAATGGTAATTGATACATTCCATCTATCAAGGACATCTAGCAATTGTGAAATTTCCAATCAACAAATCGGGGAATCATATTTAATTTATCAAACAAAAAGACAGATGGAATAAATGTTGAGAATTCATGGAGAAAAGGTGAGATTCTCTCATAAGCGCCATGCTTATTGTGTGAACGTTGAATCGTTTCGTCTTGCTATTTGTGTCAAATTCAGCTCTGCTTTTTCTTCCTCCGAAATGCGGTCAAAATAACTTTGTTTCAGCTCATCTCCCTGCCTCTTCTGAGTATCGTGTCGCAGTTTTGTTACCCAGAGCCACAAGAAGAAGAGCATGAAGGTGATGATGGTGAGCGGGATGGTAATGACCCAGTACAGCCCAAACTGAGGCAGCGGCCGCACCCCGATACTACCTGATGAGGAATTGACGCTGTCCCAGTCGAACATTGATGATGAGAATAAGGCGGAAACAAAGCTTCCCGGGAGAAAAAACATGGTGACAATGGCAAGCGTCTTCATTGAGAGTGAATCGCGATGCTGCGACTCTGCCAACATCAGAGTCGCTTGAAAGTCGCTTCTAGAGATGATGCCGGCGAGCTTTGAGATGTTAGTTCATCTCTCATAACGAATACACACAATAAGGGGCAATGAAGGCACTTACAATGCTAATCTGAAGCTGGACGCGCTTCAAGGTGTATTCTATATCCACAAGTTGCATTTCCAACCTGTCCTGCAAAAGCAGCGCATGACTCTTCAACAACTGACAGGCTTCGGCCGACACAGATTTGGGCGAGGCTGCATAGCCATCTTGTTCCGATATATTCTTCAATATGAATTTCAAGGCTTTTTCCACCATTTTGCTTTTTCTGCTCAAGCTGCTCAGCTTCACAGCACATCTATCTGCTTCGGAAGCCAGGCTGATGAACAAGCTCATGACGCCTTTGTCGTATCCCTGGTGAGGCATCTGAAGCGAGGCACACCTTTCGCTCGCACGTATCTTGAGCTTGACCTTCTCCTCCCCTTGATGAATCTGCGTGCTGAGGATGAGGCTGAGGAGAAAGGCGGGGAACATTGGGCTTTCGTATAGAAGCGGGCTCCAGGGTGTGCGGAAGACTTCGGAGAGGAACAGCATGTTGGATTCATCGAGAAATATCACGCCTTGCGTTAGATATGACCGATCGGTTGGGCTCTCAGCGTGGAAGCGGCGATGTTCCCACATTGCCGCAAGTTTTGGCATGTAGCAGAAGGAATACGCCTGGTGCTCGCTTGACTGCGGCGGAATGGCGGCTACATTGGTGATGCAGCTCTGCGAGTATTTATAGGCCAGCTCGAGGTTGAAGGCCTTGAGCAGGGCTTTCATCGCTTCGCTGGAGAGCTTCAGTATTCTGTGTTTGATGTCGCAGCCTATCAGGGCTATTCGCAAAACGAGAGACTTTTTCGTGTCGCCATCACCATCGGTTTCATCGGTTAGCCAGTTGTCCAGCTCTTTGACCGAGACAGGCTTGCGGCTCATGTGGATGTGCCCAGAGCTGTGATGAAGCCATGCCTCGATGACCTCAAATGATGCTTCGTCCGTGTTTCCAAAGCCTTGCCAGAGATTCACCACGCTAAGTTTCTGGTATATTTCCTCCATGGGTACAAACCGCCAAATAAGCGATGGATATTAATACAGGGCCGATAAATGTCGATGCTGGGCAGCAACTGACTCGGTAGCGACAGACGTATCCACGATGTACGTATTTGAGAAATGATGTGGGTTCACTGGGCATTTTTAATGTTACGCGCGTGCGGATCTATATGGCGCCCTCTTAGATACAGCCAGAGCCTGATGAGTGCAACAAACATTCTGAGAGGGTGGCCAGCCGCGACCAGGGTCCTTCAAGCCTAAGCGCCGGCCATGCTGAAGGATTGCGCACCAAGACGAATGCTGAAACTAATAGTAATCAGAATGAGGCTACGACCGATCACTGAAGGCCTCCATGGAGACTCCGATGGTTGATTGCTGCTCAGTTCCTGCACGTTTCCGTACACGTAGCGGGTTGTGCAGCATCAAGATGGCCAAGATACACGTACTAACAGGTAGTTGCCTGTAGGAAAGTGGCTGAAGACAACTGGACAGAATGTTGCATGATCTCGTGGGGACTAAATGAACTAGGCCAGAAGAAATCAAAGCGCTATTGCCTTGATCCGGGATGGATGCATGCATATTTTGATTCATCCTTCAGCTAAACGTCTTAATTTAGAAACCATTGCGTTGGGCAAGTTCACCATCATCTGCTGCACTTGCGACGGTGGTGTGGCTTAGTTGCCCATCTTCACAAGCTTGTGGATGACCAGCAGCAGCTTGCATGATGCGCATGCAAGGGTACTGACGGAAAAGCTATGGTGACGGAGAAGCTTTGGCGCTCTGGAGAGTTGTTAGAATACATGTAGCTGCGGCATGTAATGTCTGGACGGAGAAGACGAAAAGATAAGTTAAAGTCTTAGGTGGAACGCTCTGTAAGATGGACAGAAAAATATAGCCCTTTAGTTTCGTAGTCCTATCTGATTCAGTGGCTGATGAGATAGTCGTCCAGCTACTATGAAGAAATGGAGCGTGTTCATTCTCTAGGTAGGTGGACATGTGCCTCACTTACAAGGATCATGAATGCAATACTCCGCAGGCTGCCTCTTGGCGTCCTTCAACTTGATCTTCCTTGCCCCCACTACCCAGCATCTTCCATATAGAGAAATCATGCGGAGCTATTGCTATGAATATTTTTTGGCATATAGAAAGATTCGGTCTAAGGGAGTAAAATACTATATACCTCCTCTAGCATTGCAAGTATATATGTTCTATTAGTCGGTTGTCTATTCTATTCTATTCCCTCAAGTCATTTTCACCGAAGATAGGTACATGTAATGTTCCCGAGTTCAAAGTTTGTTCTCCAGATAACAAATGTATGAACACAAAGTATTAGCAATATACCGTGTGGTATATTGTTAATGACTTGCCAACATTCTAAATCAATTATCTACTGCTGTAGTCTATTAGCATGTGCCCATTGTTTGTCTCCTCAAACACTGCCTAGTGTTTTCCAACACCAGAGGCGCTCTTATTCCCCCAGAATCGCCAACAGTCATCCAGCAGCGTATCGGGCGTCTGGTAAGCGGCGAAATGGCCCCCAAAGTCATGCACGTATATCGCGGTGACGTTGCCTATCCTGCGCGCCCAATCTAATGGAACACCCCATCCGGCGTCCTGCGGGCGTTGTGTAACACCGACTGGAACATTAACAAACAATGCGGGCCCAAACATATCCGCGCCAACAATCTGGTCGGCATTTCGGAACTCCTTATAGAAGCGTGTAGCGGGATAAGGACCCTGAATGATGTACATCATGGCCCAGGTAATGATCTCGCTAAGTGACCAGTGGTAAAAGGTTCCGAGCTCTTGCATCAGCTGGAAAATGTAGAGGGAAAATCCTAGAGGAGAGTCTGTCAAAGCATGGCCCGCCATCAAGGGTTGCGTGGACTGCAGAAACAGGTATCCCGCGCCTCCTGTCTGGTAGGCAGTTATGTTGCGGATATACGCCGTCTCTCCCGGAGTCGTCTCATTTGCTTCCAAACGAGCGATATCCGTGGCGTTGAGGGCAGGGACCCAAAGATTGGAGAGCACAGAGATGACGCTCTCAGGGTGGAGAGCGGCCTGATAGGTAGTGACAAAGGCTCCGAGATCCCCGGCCTGCATCACATATCGTGGGTAAGATAGTTGGTGCATCAAGGCATTATAAGCATGCGCCGCTTCGATCGGACCCAACCCGGCATGCACCGGGGCAGGAGTGAATCCAAAGCCGGGCAGAGACGGGGCTACGACGTGGAAAGCCGGGACAGACGAGTTGGGCGGATGAGTCAAGGACGAGATGATTCGGCCTACTTCCAAGAAAGAACCCGGGAAACCGTGAAGGAAGAGAAGGGGGATTGCATCGTGACGAGGTGAGCGGTGGTGCACGAAGTGGAGCGGGATCGGTTCTGTATAGTTCTTGTCATCAATTTTCACAGTTGTGGTAAACATTGTAAAACTGCCATCCCATGTTAGCTGCGTTTCTCAAGTCTCGTTAGGATGAAACGAAAACCGACTTTTTGTTGATTTGCTCCTGTACAGATGTCCAGTTAAACTCATCAACCCAGTAGTTTTGAAGAGTTTGTGCCATCTCAGTCGAGACACCGTCCGTAAAGGGAGGAACTCCCATATCATTGGCTATTCTGCCCAGCTGCACCTTGAGCCGCGTTGTCTCGATGAAAGAAGGATTCACTTTGAGAGTGAATGGCTTGGGGGTAGAGGCATATGTTGCATCAATTTCTGGGATAAATTGGCCATGAACACACGACAAGAGTAATTTGGAGATGGATGCAATGAGCGTTGCTTTACGCCTTGCGGCGGTTGTAATCGAGAAAAAAGACATGACGGATATTTGAGAAGTGAGTGTTTTTTTAGATTATCTATTTCCTATACATATAAAAAATGATTATGGCAAAGCTCGTATATATAAGTAATCGCATCTTTGTTTTCATAGTCGAACCTATAGTCTACTATCTTTCTAAATGCCGATGTTCGTCCTCTGTATGTGTAAGAACTACCATTCTGAGATGCATTAGTAAATTTCCTAATCTCTAGTGTTTACTTTGCTAACTGAATTTGGAAACTGCATGGGCCCCACTTAATTCTAGGAGAGCAGAAATATCGTGATAGTATCATCTTATTTTTACCGTGATTTCAAATCTCTACTCAATTCTATGCTGTTCTCATCCCTTTCTGCTTCCTGTAAGAAGCATTTTTATTTGTCATAGATTATACTCATTTACAATGAATAGCACAAAAAATTCTTAAAGGCAAAACCCTGGTTCAGCCACATGCATGTATCAGCAAATGAAACACAAGGGCGACGAAATAGTGATATAGTGAGGCTTTGTAGCCTAACTTCTGAAGAGGAGCAAGCTAGTATTGCTACATGGCTAATCAGGACCTGGCGGGCACCTTGGCATATAAAAAGCATGATCCTCTCTTCAAACAAAAGATGGGATAATTCAACAACGCAAGTTCGCTTCGCAAAATGGCCTTTAGCTCCATTGACAGCTTCCTTCTCAGAGAGAACAAAGACGAGCCAGCCAATCCGAATGATTCTATAGCTTCACTCACTTCGTGGTTGAATAATGTCAAAAGGCTGGGTTTTTTGCGCATGTAGTTATATGTATGTAGGCACGTAAGTTGACCCAATTGGTACCTGCACCTAGCAGCCACCAATGGCCATTGGTAACGGTCATCAGATGGCACTTGTGAGCTGTTAGTACCTCAACCGTATTACCGAAAGCAGGGAGTGGTGACTACAGCCATATTATGGCGATTGTACCCTAATTTGACTAGGTACTTTGTAACTTCAATGGTAACGGTCACCAACCCCCCTACCCGACTGTAGGTACATAACATACATTGCCGCTGCAGCAAAGCCTCCTTATGAAAATCTCCAATACCTACTACGTGGCTACCGCAAGTATCCCTGGGGTGACCTGTTAAGGAAGTTCACTGCTAAAAAGTTAAGCTTAACATAGTGCCAGAATACATATAAGAGGATGTACGGGGTCTACTTGGCAACTTGTATCCTTAGTTTTCGAGCAACAAACATTATTGCACAGAACCAGAAAAAGACTAGTCAACTCCGTAGATCATCGTAATAGGTAATTCCCTGCGCATATCCGGATCATAGTAAGAGAGTTGCTGGAGGCGCACATCAAGCGTATCTGCACATCAAGCGTATTCGCATGTCGAGCTGATTTGCAGTTGAAGCTGCTCCTCGGGGATGAAGGATGAAGGATTTGCTTATATAGCTGAAGACGTTGCTTTCGATATGACTTTTTGTATCTGTTTTCGTACTTGCCGTTGTTGAATCCTGACGAGTCGGCCGACATAAATAAATACATGTATATAAGCTTGCCATAATCCATCCCATACCACATTCTCATTCTCATCGCAGCATCTACAAGCACAACAAGAATAAAACACTCCGCCACGTCAAAGCGACATAGCTACATATTTTATCACTATGAAGTTTACCTCATTCGTCACGGCTATGACCACCCTGGCCTCCTTCGCTCAAGCAAGAAGCGTTTGGTGTAGATCTCTTCCACGATGGAAATTGCCAGGACCAATTCAAAGCTATTACCGTTTATGGCGAAACTTGCTACATTGGGTCTTCTGTTGGATGGTCTTCCATGAGGGTGAATAAGTATGACACGCTTGGTGGTGAACTTACCGCGTACACCAAAAACAACTGCGGCGACTCCCTTGCTGGGTCCTATGGATACACTGTCTCTCTGGGTGCTTGCCTTAAGGACTTTGGATTTGTCGCGAATGCAGTTGGACTGCAGGATTAAAGCCTGTAAGTAAGGAAGATACGTGATGCTTTGGTATTGCCTGTGCTAATGGAGGAAGCAGCTCTAATCCCCACATGAATTTGGTTGGCTTCCTGTTGTATTGCCATTGCATCATTATATAAACGGCCTCCGTCCTGGTCTGGACGATGAAACCAAGTGTAGACGCCTTGCATGTCATTCAAGGACCTTCGAAACATGGATAGCTACAAGAGATATTGTTCCTTTCTTACGATACAATTCATATACGCATTTGTGTTCTCAAGAATACCGCTCGATCAATATAGCTTCTTTTATTTGAACTCGGCATTTGAGCTCTTCACCGCTGACGATAGATCTATCGCGATACGTGAACCATGGCACCGGTGCATTATCTGTTGCACATACCGTTGCCTTACACAGACATTCGGGAAACAGAATTGGGAATAATCGAATGCTCAGTTGTAAAAATGGGTTTCCCATTAACGGGATAGCGGTTGTTTCTATGAGGCCGCCGACTAAGTAGTGTTCTTTTTACCTAGTAAGTATGGTATGTTGGTAGTTACCTTGGCACCTAAGGTATATAATATAAAAAAAAGTACTAAAGTTATCATTTATATGCATAATCTTCTAAACCTAAACTCCTCATGATTCAAGATTTCTCCAAATTTCTGTTGTTGTTTTATTACTCTTACGTTACATGAATTCTTTTGCTGCAAAACTTCAGCTCAAGTGTGCATAGCAATGAACTCATCCATGGAAGTAGCCATGTTACTTTTTTCCGAATGTAATCAAGATCATCACTACATCATAACCTAAACATGAGAACAACCGTTGAGATGTTGTTCAGGACTACGTTACACGGTATGCTCGTTGAATCTTTCTTCATTCCTTTGACATTCTATCGACAGGGTAAGTGGGCGCACTTGTAGAGCTTCAATTCCTTGTGACAGAGCTTGAGAGCCTAAAGGCCCCGCCATCCGTGAAACGGCACGCTAAGCCCCGCTAGCGATCGCTGTCAGCTCACCTCCAGCTCTCACAGCTCTTAGCGAACGACGGTTGAACCAGACAAAACTGCACCAATTGCTGCTCTGCTTGATGCTGACTTGCATGCACCACGATAAAAAGCTGCACCATGGCAGAGCAGAGGCAGCCAGCAGTGCCATTTGACAGCCCACACCTCTCGATTGGGCCAATGTGCTTCGCCTCACGCTGACTGACACGGGCTCCACTCTCAATTGAAGGATCACAGCCCCCGAGACCCGCACCATCGAGACTCGGCCGCGGTCGCTACGGCACGGCGTGAAAGCCCTGGAGCTCCCTGGACTGTCATTTGGCGTCCATTACAGACCAGGTAGTACTGAAATAGGTGCTCGTACGTCATCTGCCCGGCTCTCTCTTCCATCCATCCACCACAATCCAGACAGCGTCAGCAGCCAACCGTCTTGCATCTCACTAACCCGTCCCAAGCTCCTCTTCTTGGGCTGCTGGCTCCCTTGCTGTTGCCTGCCTGTATCCTTCGACGTTCCATCACCACCTCAGCTCTCCAAGATACCCTGACTCTACCGCCATCCCGGCGAAGCCATCCATCACCACCATGGAGAACATCGGTGGCACCATCAAGCGCCGTTCCACAGAGGCATGGAACGCCGCGCAGAGCAACATGCCCTCTATGCCGGCCATGCCCTCAATGCCTGCTCTGCCCTCGCTACCGGCGCTGCCCGTCATGCGGCAGTTCACACTAGATGCCTTCCGGAGACAGCCCAACCAGGAGGGCATGAGAGGCACCTGGGAGCGCATCGATCTCCCTCCCGTGCCTCGCTCCTCGCATTCTCTTGACATCATCTCGGGCTGCGCTTACATCTTTGGTGGCGAAGTCACTCCCCGCGAACCCGTTGATAATGATATGCTCGTCATCCGCCTTCCCTTCAGTAGCGCCGGCGCCGACTACTTTAAGATCAAAGCGAAGCCAGACACAACCATCCCCGCGCCGACGTCAATTCAGGACAAGGGTAAAAAGGGCAAATCAGATGATGATGTTGTTGAGAGCCCCAAGGCCAAGGCCAAGGCTGAAGACCTTGGCGAGGAAGTCCCAGAAGAAGACGAGAGTGACAGTGGTGAAAGCCGCAACACGGAGCAGACTGATGAGACCAAGAGCGACACCAAAGCGGCATCTGTTGACAAGGGCAAGGGACGAGCTGCACAAGATCTCGGTGACGTCCCCCCACCACGAATTGGGCATGCAACTGCCGTCATTGGCTCGCGGATATTCGTCTTCGGCGGCTACGCTGGACAGGACATGAGGCCCCTTGATGAAAATGGCCGAGTATGGATCTTTGACACTCGCACCCGTCTCTGGACCTACCTCGACCCTGTCCCTGCTGTCAAGGGCGGATCAATCATCCCGCACCCAGCGCCACGAAGCTATCACTGTGCTACGGCGACAGACCGACCCCGCGACTTTGCCCCTCCCCCGCGAACCCAGGCTCAGAGCTGGCAGGAGTGGGCGCTTGGTGATACCTCCAAGACGGGCATCCCGCAGGACCCCATTGTCGGCCACGTCGCCGAAAACGCGAGTGATGAGGAGACTGATGGTTATGGTACCTTTTTCGTGCACGCCGGTATTAATGCCAGTGGCGATCGCACCAGCGACCTCTGGGCTTTTGACGTCCACTCGCGCACTTGGACTGAGCTGCCCGCGGCACCGGGCCCTTCTCGCTCGGGCACATCAATCTGCATCAGCAAGAGCCGAATTTTCCGTTTCGGTGGATTCGATGGGCAGAGGGAGATTGGAGGCCAGGTCGATTTCCTGAACCTTGAAGTGGAAATTTTTGATGACCGGGTTACTCGTGGCGAGGTGTCGGTTCGGGCACGTGGCGGATGGCAATCCATATACGAAAACGCACCAGAAGCTTCGTCGAAAGACATTACTTTTGAGAATAACCAGATATGGCCTGGACCGCGAAGCGTGTCTTCTCTCGAGGCCATCACCATTGGTGGTGGTACCGAGTATCTCGTCCTGACTATGGGTGAGGCAACCTCAAGCTCGGAAAGCCATACCGGCATTGGCAAGTCCCACAATGACGTGTGGGTGTTCCAAGTACCGCCGGTGGGCATGACTGCTGCGAGCATTACGGCAGCCATGTTCCAGGCTGTGGGACGCAAGACTGGCGAAGGCAAGTGGACAAAGGTGACCATGGGCCCTTATGACGAGGAAGTTTTGGAAATGCCGCGGGGCCGGGGCTGGTTGGCGAGTGCGCCCATGTCTGATCTGGAAGAAACTGGAATTGTGATTTGGGGTGGAACGGATGATAACAATAGGAGACGTGGAGAGGGATGGATCTTGAGGCTTGTTTAAACCATTTCCTCTTGTTGTTGAATTGTTCCTTTTGGATATGTTTGGATATGAGTAAAGATTGCGAAACAAAAACTTGGGCATTTGTAGCCTTGAAATAAGCGTCTTGGATTACATGTTTTCCCAAGAAAAATAAATAGCGAATGCCAACGTTTCTCGTTTAAGAGGATACACCTGCATTACTGAATTCGCTTCCCTTGTACACGCCCACCATTTGCACAATGTTCTATACTTTTCTTTTTTTTGTCTTCTTGGCATTCAACATGGCGTTATGTACATTTAAAAACCCGCCTACCACCACCTCTTATACCTTCCTCCCTCAAATCTTTAAATAAGTAGTAGTTTTACAAATCCGACCTCGTCTTCTCCGTTCCCCACGGCTCTGCTGTCAGGTTCGTCAGGCCAGCGCTGTTCTCGCACGACTCTCTGGAGGAAAGGGGACCCGCGACGGGGGCCTTCTTGCTGCTGGTGGTGCTGGCGCCGGTAGCCTTGAGGTCCTCGAGCAGCTTGACGACGGTCTCCGGGGTGAGGTCCTCGTAGTAGTCGTCGTTGATCTGAATCATGGGGGCGTTGACGCAGGCGCCGAGGCACTCGACCTCGATGAAGGTGAAGAGGCCGTCCTTTGTCGTCTCGCCCTGGTTGATGCCGAGGTGGTTCTTGATGGCCTTGACGATGACGTCGGAGCCGCAGCCGCCGAGCTGGCAGGGGGTCTGTAGAAATGGAGGGGTTAGTGGTATGTTTCTTCTTACTTTTTTTTTTTCTTTATCTAAAGTAGGCCTCGTTTCTCTTGGTTTGTAGTAGCAATATGGTTATGAGATTGGAATATTTCAAGCGTACCGTTGTGCAGGCCTGGACAAAGAATTTGCCGACGGGAGTGCGGTTGTACATGGTGTAGAAGGAGGCGACCTCATAGACTCGCATGGGGGGCATCTCGAGCAGGCGGGCGACCTCGTTCATGACGCTGATGCTGGTGAAGCCGTGCTGGCGCTGGCCGAGGTCCAGCAGGGGCATGACGGCGGCCTTTTTGTACTGGGCGGGGTATCGCTTGAGGATCTCGGCGATGAGCTTCTCGTTCTGGGCGTTGAACTTGAAGGGGATGTCGGGGTTGTTGTCGGGTGTGTTTCGGTGCTGCAGGCAAATTGAAGTCAGCGTTGGACTTGAACAAGGATTTTTTTCTGTTGGTGCATTGGGAGAGCTATCCGGTTCCGTTGTGAAGTACAGAAGCACCACCATGGCAGGATGTGCGAATTGTCATAACGGAAATCGACCGCCTTGGAGTGGTGGCTTTTCTACTTACCACCTGGAGGGTATCGCTGGGCCGGCTGGCTGTGATGGAGAATGCGCGGATCTGAGGACGGGCAACGCGCGAGGCGCAGCGGACGCCGGAGCGGAGGAGAAAGGGAGTGATTTTGCTCGCCATTGTGAAGAAGAGAATTGACAGCGTTGCGCGGGCGGCGGCGGGCGGAGGAGGAGGAGAGGCTGCGCGGGTTGGTTGGTGGCAGATTTGAAGCTTTGAAATGGCATATAGCGTTCGGGAGTTGGAGCGTCCAATGCGATTGGAGCTTGCTTGTAAAATGGGCGATGGTGATTGGCTGGGACGGCTGAAGTCCGGGAGGTGGGATGATTGTGTATATTTCCCTCATTGCTGGAAACACTGCCGATTTCATTCTTGACTACCTCGAATACAAATAAATATTATTCTGGTTCATTGATTTGACAATTGACTCTCCTCAATATTTGTATATGTATTCTTCTTTTGCTCTCTTATCAGAGGCCTAATTGCCAGCTTATGATGTGCAAATTTTCTCCGGGTCCTGTAATTCACTACGAGCGAGTAAGGCTACAAGCTAATTGAGTGCAATATATCCTTTAACGATGAAGTTCCATCTTTCTCAATTCTATTCAATATATAAATCTCAATTAAAATCTAGCTGAAAAATGCTCAAATTCGTCATTAACAATGGCTATCAATTCCTCGCTATGGTCCGAATGTCTGCCCCTTTTGGACTGTCTTATATGTACAGCTGTCCCAGTCGCAAGTATCCTGTTGAAACGCCATTAGCTGATGCTTCACATTCATCAATCGGTGGGAGATGACTCACTTGATATACGGTCGTCCCCCACCAAGAGAACTTATCGGATGCTCCTGTGTAGAATATGGCGAAAAAGATGATGATGCCTGCAATGGCCGTGGCACAGTCCAGCGCTGAGCTGAGCACGAAGTTGTATCGGCGCCACCAGCCTCTGCTATTCTTCTTGATCCAGAGGCCAAAGACCAAGCCAACAATGACCCAGCTGCCGTAATTGGTCCCAGAGGCGGGAGGGATGTAGTTCAGCCCACCAAGAAAGAGGGGAACGTGAATCTTTTCCAGCCACCGCTGCTTCGGCCATGCTTTCTTCATGGCGTAGACGATGATGGGCAATATAGCCCCCACCAGAAAGAACCACAGTAGACCACGATATAGAGTCCCGTCAGCGAAGAATCGGCGAGGCCCCAAAGCGCCCCAGACCATGCTGGTGTTGAAGTGAGTTCGTGAATAGGGGCATGTAAAACCGTTCTTTGCAGTCAGGGAACAAATGTTGGGGACGTGGCCCAGCGCCCAGTTGAGAACGGCGACTTGGCCCATGGTTCCCATGATGAGGCCTACGATTTGGACGACGAATAAGTGTCTCGGTGAGATCTTCATGTAGAATTAGAGTTATGCTAGGTGCAGTCGATGGATATGAGCGATGTCAACTTACGTTACAGTATATTCCGAGCTTGAGATCTTGGGCGAACGCGAGGGCCTTGATGCCGGAAATGTAGCCCAGGTCAAAGAACCAGATGTTGGCGAGGACCTTGCCTTCCCATACATAGCCGGCGATTATACGGCAAAAGATGTCAATTTGGACTCTCATGTTGGTCGTGGCATAGACCCAAGATAGCTAATAGAGGCAACATCGTTACCATCACTATTCAGATTGTAAGCAAAAAGGATGCGCTTACCGGAAGATAAAAGACTGCAGACACAAACATGGCAAAGATGACTCCGTACCAGCGCAGCTGCACAGGATAGAATTCACAGGCATAGATGCCGAGCCCCATGGATACGAGAAGCGCAATTGCGTACCACCATATGGGAACATTGCTGTACTGGGGCTGAAGGCTTGGTCTGGCATCCTTTTTGCGTCCAAACAGCGTGGAAAACTGAGATTCTCGGAACACCTTTGCGATTTCGTGTCGTTTCTCGAGGAACATCCAGACAAATAGCGATGAGATGCAAGCGAAGCATAGACCAAAAGAATTGAGAGCGTAAGTGACTGGAAGATAAATCTATGTAATTGTTAATGAAGGGCTGAGGATGAGGAGCGAAGAATCTTCTTTTTCTTTTCGTACATGTGAGTATTCTTCATATTTTTCAGGTTCAAAAACGAAGCCGTCTTTTTTGTTGATGACACGGCTGACGTTGTATGCTAAGCCCCTATTATCGAAGATGGAGTTGCTCTGGATAGGAAGATATGCTGAAAGCCAAGTATTCGTGTAGTATATCGCAGGAGTGACGATGTAGATCCAGAAGACGACGGACGCAAGAGTGTTGAGGATGGCCCACGTTGGGACAATGAGGGGGCTGCCAATGTACGAAATCTGCGACCCTTTTATGTATGTGAGCTGTCTTTGCATGGGCATATCAAGTAAATGTTGTTGCTCACAGTCAAAGGTGAATGGCAAAAGGCCAATGCCGCTCTTCATGCCAAAAAGCTGGTTCACTACCGGGTTGCGAGGCGCTGTCCAGCATACCCAGGTGAAGTAACTCAGTGCCGGGAAGATGAAGTCGGGGAACCAGTACCAGATAAATGCAGCCGAGAAGGCAATCAGAAAGAATTTGTAACGAGAAGATCTCCATTTGGCCCTGGATGCTTTGTTTAGAAGGAATGCTTGCGCAATGAATTGTATAAGAGACTCACTCGGTCTCATCCTCTTTGCCTGCGGGATGCAAAGCTGCATTTAACGCCGTGTTGGCAAGCACGCCGGGCCATACCAAACTCTTTGGCTCGACGACAAGCGATCGGCCAAAGCCAGCGAGGGAGAATCCAAAGAGAATTGTGGCAAGCGTAATGGTGATTTCGAAGCCCCAGTCGGTGTCGGCACCGTAGAATACGCGCTGCTCGGTTAAGACGTCGGCACTTAGACGGGTCAGGTAGCTTAGGTTGGCTAGGATGTATATGAGGATGTTTTCCTGCAACATAATTTGATTAGATTTTATTTCATACTCTTGCCTGAATTTGGCTCAATACATACTTTGTAGTTGAATGGGCCAGGATTGAGGCTGTGGCGAACCCCAAAAAGAGTCACGCCCCAATCTGGGACGATAACCTCCCAAGCTTTACCTATTGGATATGCCAGAAACTGGATGGCAGACTGGGACAAAGTGACGGATGGGAACCGGAAAGTGTATAGCGTGTTAACGCCGCTGCCTATGAGACAGAATCCAATGCCAATCACCCACATGCGGAGAGTGAGGCATGGCAGAGTAGGATCATCGGCCCTGAGTCCGACACCAGCGGCCAAGAGGACCTCTTCTGTCGGCGTTCTAGATATCCTCTGGAGGAGAGTCCGTTATTACGAGAAATCAGCTGAAGATATTGATGATAGGAATTGTATACCTGATGGTCGCTTGTCCTCGGAGATGCTGGACCTTTTGCTCTGACCAATCTCTCCAACCTCAGCAGCCTCTGGCGTCTTAGACTCCATCTTAGACCTGGAGATGGCAAAGGAGCCAAAAGACCATGTGTAAAGATTATCAGATCAGATAAGATTAGATGAGAACTCTGGGAAATCTGATTATATATGAGTGACTGGCATACGGGATATGTCGGCCATCTTGATCGGAGCATGAGGCCATTCTAACATGGTGTAAGACCCACGCTCAGCCCTAGTAGCCGGCCTGGATTGAGCCGCTCAAACGACCGCCCAGAAGTTGAGCCGATTGTTATTACGATGAGATTGATAATAGCGCTACATGAGAAAATTTTGATGGTCTTACGATCCGGTTTACCTTTGCGTTCGCTGTTGAAGCACCCCCCGGTGGAAAATCTACTGGTAGAGGGGATACCCTCCTCGAGATAAATACATGTATCTATTCGAAACCTCTCGATGCACATTTTTCCGAAATAAATTGCCGTTCTACAGTTCGCCTGAAGGTTTATATCAACCCAACTCATTGCTCTTAGTTCAACCTTCCGCAATACCCGGCCCTTTTCGATATTGGGTACCCAAGTATGTAGTGTATAGCGTCAAAGAGCCACTTATAAGAAAACAAAGTGCCCAGCCGGAGACCAGATTTCGCCTCCGGAGTTCAATAGCACCAGTATTTTTTTTTCCATCACGGCTAGACTGCTGGCCCGTCGGGCAAGTCAATGGCGGCTGTGCAAAAGTTCAGAAGAGACCATTGATGGAGTTTGACTCCGTAAAGTGGACTCTTTGAGGGCTGGAGACGCCGTGCCGAGTACCGTCTTGTCCATTTGGTGGCGCGCGATGCCGAGTTTGGGGCGACGGGGGGAAGATATAGAGGGCATCCATTGGCTGGATTAGCTATAGATTTTGATTTGATTGAATCGTGTCTTGTTTCCATGGATCCGGGCGGCTGAAGTTTGATTGATTGATTAGTGAATCCTATCTTATCAATCAGGCCGATCTCTTGTGCCCGAGATTCAGTGGCTCGAGTCCGCTGTGGAGCCGCAGAGTCACTCGTCCTGCTATGTCAGTAAGCCGCCGACGCCTTACATACCTAGCTCACTACCTGTACAAAAGACAACTCTTCTCCTCTACACACGGTCTGTGTGAATTGTAACAGATATTATAGAGATCAGTTTAACTATGAGATTAAGATGTGGCTGCCTAACGATCCATGCCGCATCGAGGTACATGGCGCATGTATCGTCGCAGCACTAAAGCCAAGCACGGCTTTTTTGAATCCTTCTCGGCACTACTTACACGTACTAAAGCATCTCCTCCATTGATTCCGGCATGATCCAACATATTCACCGCCTCTACTCGGGAGGATAGGAGGAAACTGGGAAACTGGGGAACTGGGAAACGCAGCAGAAACACAGCAGAAACACAGCTGTGCTCTTTACAAAACTCGCAGTCTCTCGATCTGCCCAAGATGCTGTCTCGACAGATGCTGGGGCTGCTCTCGACGCTCTGGTTGATCGCCGCAACCAAGACTCCAGACGTGGCGACGTCCGAGGCCGGAAATCCGTTTGTCGACGGCTGGTATGCCGACCCGGACACGCAGTTCTACAATGGCGCGTACTGGGTGTATCCGACCTCATCGCTGCCCTACGACGACCAGACCTACCTGGACGCCTTCTCATCAGACGATCTGGTGCACTGGACCAAGCACTCATCAATCCTGACAATCGCCGACTTTCCCTGGGCTCATCGGGCTGTCTGGGCCCCGGCGCCCATTGAACGCAACGGCACATACTATCTCTACTTTGGCGCCAACGACATCCAGACAGACTCGGAGCTGGGCGGCATCGGCGTTGGCGTGGCAGACAAGCCAGAGGGCCCGTACACAGATCCGCTGGGCAAGCCGCTGATTGGCGCGTATCACAATGGCGCCCAGCCAATTGATCAGGATGTCTTCATCGACGATGATGGACAGGCCTACATCTACTACGGCGGACACTCTCATGCCAACGTGGCCAAGTTGAACGATGACATGATAAGCCTGGGTACCTTGGACGATGGGACCACGTTCAAGGAGATCACGCCAGAGAACTACGTTGAAGGGCCGCAGATGCTCAAGCGGAACGGCGTGTACTATCTCTTCTGGAGTGAAGGCGGCTGGACCGGGCCAGACTATGCGGTTTCATACGGCATGAGCAGCTCGCCGCTGGGGCCCTTTGATCGCATCGCCAAGATATTGCAGCAAGATGAGGCGGTTGCTACGGGCTCCGGCCATAATGCCGTGATTCAAGTACCTAACACAGACATCTACTTCATTCTGTACCACCGCCATCCGCTGGGCTCTACGGACGGGAATGACCGGCACTTGGCCTATGACCGCCTCTACTTCAACGAGGATGGTACCATTCAGACAGTCAAGATGCTGGTTCATGACAACTTTGAGGATGGCAACACGATTGGCTGGCAAACATACGGAGGTAGTTGGAGCGCCAATACAAACGCTCTTCGAGCAAGTGCTTCATCGAGCAGCAACGCCCTCCTCAACACCAACTTTACCGATTTCACCTATGAGGCCGATATAAAACTATTGTCGCGTGGCGGCAGCCATTCTGACGGCAATGCAGGCGTAATCTTTCGAGTATCAGGGACCTCCAACGACACGACCACCTTCCAAGGCTACTACGCTGGCATCAGCACCACCGGCACTCTCTTCCTTAGTCGAAGCAATGGATCGCAGTCCACCACGCTGGCAAGCACAAAGGCTGACGTCAAGCCGGCACAGAAATACCGACTGAAGATCATGGCAAATGGAAGTTCCATAGGCGTGTCCATTGATGGCAAAACGCCCGCTGTTATCAGTGTGACGGACACTGCTTATGGAAGTGGACAGGATGGCGTAAGGGTCTTCAAGGCGGAGGCTGAATTTGATAACGTCAACATTACTCGCCTCACCTCCAATTAAGTATGTAGATAGTGGCCATGATCGTAAATCTTGTTGTTTACGGTATTACATACCTCGTTTGTTCATGTTACTATGTTGTGCTTGTCTGTGAGATTGATCTAATCTTGGCGCCTGGATTATAATATTGACTGCTGACACGCACGTCAAGGCGCGACAGAAAACCAAGTTGCAGTGTCAGCGATCTTCTTACGACGTTGTCGATCCAGCAACGGTCCTCGCAGCCATTTTGCGACCTGCCAGGAATGGAATCTTGTGCAGATCTTTCATGGCGCAACGCTTATGTCGATCAAGCTTTTTGCGGGAAAAGCGAGTGGACGGGAAAAAATAAGCCGCGTCGCAGAAGACGTCGAGAAGAGCAGCAGCATCCCTACATACCTACTTATACCTATGCTAATGAACGCGGCTCTATCTATGACTTTGAAGAGAGATTGCTTCTAGAACTCCTTTTAAATATGCTAATATTATTCAATAGTCTATCACAATTCATTTTCTTGCAGTAGACAACTGCCGTCAGCGCCCGGCAAAGCCGCAAACCAAAGACTTGGACAAAAAGCACGGAGCACCAGAACAATCAATTTACACCGAGTGCAGATCCATAATTGATGTCGATCAGCACCAAATCTCAAACAGAAAATGGATCCAGAGGACATGATACAGAAATTACTATCGTGCGCGAGGCAAATAGAAGCAAGTGACGAATATTCCATCAAATGTTTAGTATACGATTGACAGTTTTCTCGAAATAGATGAATGAGAATGGATGCATCTAAGACGGATAACTAGAAATAGCAGCAGCCTCACCCATTTCTAGCGATGATATACCAGCCTCACGTCTTCACTGCCCCCTTACATGACGAGCCTACCATCCAAACGCGGCAATGATCTTCAGGTCCCCCCCCGTCTCTCGACAATTCCAGGCCTGTCAGACTTTGAGATAGCAACTTCTGCATTGGCCCTTAATCGCTGATCTCTTGCTGCTGCGGGCTTGAATGGTGTCCAGCGGTTTAGATTAGATGTGATGGACCTGGCTAAGAGCTGTGATTACTACGTGCGACATGGGGGTGGATGCTTTGATGATACTCCATAGTGATGGGAAACGGCAAAGATGGGCAAGAGGGATAATGGAGACGAGATAGTTGATTCAAGCGAGCAAGCGCGATATATAAGATGGCCCTTGAGGAACTGCAAAAGGAGAAGAAGCATCAGCATCTCTTTTTGTTTCCTACTACTCTTCAAAGCGTCTCACACTCCTTAAGACAAGTTCAACTTACATACTATTTCTCTTCATAAATACATTTTATATCAATTACATACCATCAACATGCGTTCTTCCGCCATCATCGCCGCCGTCGCCACCCTCGCTGGCCTCACTTCCGCCTCGGCCCTCCCCAAGTTCGACAAGCACGCCGCTCACATTGCGTACACTTATCCCAACGGCACCTTTACCAAGCCCTTTGACGTGGCTACCAATGGACAAGCCCAGAAGTTTTGTATGTCAAGTCCACGCTCGAAGTGATACATATATATATACTCTAGGTATAGGCGACTAACGACTTACTCACAGCCTCCAACAACATCGTCGTCTCCGACGTCTTCGTCTCTCCCCCCTTCGACGGCCGCCGCTACGTCCTCACTCAGTGCTCCTTCCAAGCTCCTTCCAACAAGAGCCTTGGGGCGGTTAGCATTCGCAAGCCCACCACGGTGCCTGTGAACCCTCCTGCTGCTATTGGCTATGTGACTTGCAAGTCCAACTAAAGACGGGAATGCGGTATGACTGTTGAGGAGAGGGGATATCTTCTTTGTAATACTGTTGCTTTGATTTGAGAGTGGTTTCTTGTTCTCTTGGCTTTTTGGAGGGGATCTTTGACGGAGGCGTCGTATATAACGATATATACGTGAACATGCATGCTGATTCTACATACCTATCATTTGGATATCATTTACAATGAAGAATTGTTCTTACCTTTCGACTGGCTGATGGCATTGCAAAAGTCAACTGTAACGCCTATAACCCAAAACCCGTTCCCATAACTCCAAAGAAATCATCACTCATGCCCAGTCCCATTCCGTAATCCTCAATGCCACTGTATCCATCGTCTCCATTGTATTTTTCACTGTCTGCCTCCTCGATTCCAGGTAAAGCATCCCCTTTGAACCCCCAGTTCCTCGCGGCCATGAGCGCAAATGGCGTCGTGCCTTCGCTGAGCTCCTTCCACACCATGCTCAGCTCCCCTAGCATTCGGAAGCAAAACCAGAAATTCCCAGACGATACTCGCTGGCCACCTGATTCTTCGACAGCTAAGAGACCGAGACCATGTACTAGAGCGCATCGCAGTATGTGCTGTACGATAAACGGAGGCAGATACTTGACTTCATCTGTCGACTGCAATGCCCTTAGGAGCCGAGAAATCGCCATGGCCGAGGCAGTAGCAGATCGGAAGACGGCCGGGACGTTTTGAACCATGCCGGGGTCGAAGGGGTTGAGGAACGGGCGCTGGAGATTGGTCAAGACGGAGTGGTAGGAAATCCAGAAGACAACTTGGACCCTGTCCGGTTTCTTACTGCGACTAATGTAGAGGCGTTTATCAATTCGCTTCCGAAACTCTAGCATCTCATTGTTTGCTTTGGCATACATGGCTTGCTTCTCTGCGGATGAAGCGCTGTCAAAACTCGAGGTGTACCTGGTCATTTACATTAGTCAAGATCAGTGACAAATATCATTGATGTGGCTCACAGCGCCACAACATCTTGCAGCTGGGTTGGAGATATTTCTTACATGATGTCGATATATTTTTGCTGGATGTGATATAGGCGACATTGATGGTCAAAGGTAAGAGCAGCCATGTCAACAGCATCCGCCGGTACAGTGTCGATATAAGGAGTGATGTAGTCAACGTCCCACGGAATCCCCGATGGGCATCCCAGTTTGGGGGTTGCGACTCTGAAGTAACAAAGAGGTCCTCTGATTAGCTTCACCTGCTTGTGTGGATTTATACAGACGTGAACTAACCTGTCCAAGAAATATAGCGACCAAAACGTTCTGATGGTGGCAATTTCATTGGCTGTGTGCTCTCGCTGTGTCGCGTCTCCTATTTTTAGATGGTTGGATAGACCAATGGCCATGTCTACGCGGCGATATTCATTTCATATATGAGTAAATGTGGGAAAAGGCATAGTAGATCATGCTGTCTCCAAAACTTACAGTGGTATAGATGACCTTTGGCAGAATCCAGCTGCATATGCTTGTACCAAGCAAGAATGACCAGAGCTTGCAGCACAGGGAGGCACAAGTGCTCTAGATAGCACTTTTGAACGAGGCTCTCTGCGTATGAAATGAATGTTTCCGCCATCTCTTTGCTGGCCATGGGCGACGAATGTGCTGCAGCGCCAAAGAGAGCGCTGTAGAGCAGTTGCAACGCTGTGTCGTTGTGGGGGAATAGGTCAGAGAAGTTGAGCCAGATGGGGTCGACAAACTTGTAGAAAGGATTTAGATTCTCGAGGAAGTGTGCCTTTAAATGTTGCTTCAGGCTCAAATTGGCTTCAATCTCTAGCAAGAACGTCTCAGTCGATGGGATCGGTTTCGGTGCCGGCGACGGCTGGGACTCGTTTTCAAACGTGGGCAGCTGCGTCCTCGAGAAGATGGAGAATCGGCCTGGGCCAGCGAGAAGCGGTGCGCCGTCCTGGCCAAGGAGGGAGGCCCATTTCATAGAGCTGAAGTCGTGTAGCGCTTTGAGCGTCTTTGGCCCATAAGGCAGACGGTTTGCTGCCTCTGAAGGCGACAACTGACGGACTCGACGCGACGATTCCAAAGGGCCTGTATCCTTGGACTGGTCCAGGGATGCAGACAGCATCCGGACCTGGTCCTCAAGGGCTTGCACATAGTCACGGTCCCAGTATTTCTGCCTATTGCTCACGCGCTATTAACTCTGCAAGCTCTTCTAAAAGGTATCATCTCACGTCGACAACAAAGATACAAGAGGACATCCTTACCGCCGCGCAGGTCGAGCTACTTCGTAGTGACAGACAAACCGATGGGCCTGGCAATTGCCGCAGAGGGGCTTCTCGCCATCGCACTGTAGACGGCAGTATCAGCATCGACTTTGATCCATCAGGTAATCCTGGTCGGCAAAGCTACCAGCCCCATCGGAACTCCGAAGCGGCGGCAGTTGAGCTATAACTCATCCCAAACTGTGCTGTATCCTGTCGCCCAAACAACTCCATCTCCATCGCCCGCATCCAGCTCGCGGCAGTTTGCCAAGCCGGCGGAGAAAATCGGGGCCTAGCATAGGAGAGCCTTACCTTTGATTTCCTCTTGCGGCAAGGCTCACAAGCTAATTGCGTGCGGCCCGACGTGCTTCTTGGCTGTGGTTGGCGGCTCGAAGACATCCGGGTTTCTGTCTGTTATGGATCGTGGAGAAGATCGATCAGGCGGAGACAAAGAGAGGCGATGACATGTGCCTATTGCGCACCGGCGAGCGAGGGGAAATTTTATCACGTCGTACTATGTCCGCACCCCCTTACGGTGGTAAAGAAAGGAGAAGCGGCAATAACTAGCGGCGAATACTGCTTGACACAGGATTAATAATAATTTTCTGATGGGTTACATGGAACTTGTCGAGAGTGGCAGAAGATGAACTCGCAGCATTATCTCGATTGGCGGGCGGCTCACGATGCCGATTGGAGCAATGAGAGCGCTGTAAAATACCCGTAAAATGCCCCATAGCGGGAGAGGCGTCTAGATGCCGAGACGACGGGCGGCGACGGGCTTTAATCTGATCGAATCGGTGTTAAGGCGGCACCAAGATTGTAGCAAGAAGATGAGATGACGTCCTTTTGTGAGTGAAAATGGCATGGTCTCGTGACATAATACCATAAACAAGGAGCGTATAGATTAGTAGTTGTCATGTCTTTACTATACTCTAACTGATTACCATTCTCTCCATCTATTACAATACTGCCATTTCGTTATTCCCAATGACTTCAACAAGGGCATCTGCATATCCGCCGCTTCAGTGTCGCTACAGCCTCTGCATCCGAACCCTGAGACCCCCCTTCGGCTTCAGCGTCAACGACGGATGCACATACTCCACGTCCGCGCCATTTACAGCTTCCAGGGAGAAATGACTGAGCAACTCGACAATGATCGTCTTAATCTCCAGCAGGGCCAATGCTCTTCCGGGACACGTTCTCGGGCCGTTGATGAAAGCCTCGATAGCAAACGGATTCGCCACGGCTCCAGTCACTGCGTCCCATCGATCTGGGTTGAAGACATTGACATCTTCTCCCCAGATGGACGGGTTGTAGTGAATCATGGCGGTAATCGTTGTGACGGTGGTTCCTTTAGGGATGGCGACGCCTGCAATTACAACGTCTTCGCCGGTTTCCCATGGGGCGGAGAGGGCCGGCGAATAGAGTCGTAGACTCTCACTTACGACGTTGTTGAGGTAGGGGATACTGTCGATGGCTGCAGCACTGAGCTCCGGTTGCTTCTGTTGGGCTGAAACGATCTCTTGGCGAAGTCGCTTCTGGATTTCTGGATACCTGATGAGTGCGTATGTGATCCAGGTGAGAGTCCCTGCTGTGGTTTCGTGGCCAGCAGAGATGCATTGGACGACCTATAAATTAATCGTGTTAGTACATGTCATCAGTCGCATTTTGACAATTCTCGGAACCTTACCGTATCAATCAGTACTTGCTCCGAGACTCCCTTTCCCTCAGAAAAGTTCGCCTCAATCATATTCGTGAGAAAATCCTTCTTCTCCGGCTTTTCATCGCTCTGCTGAAGTCGCATCTGTTGCACGCGCTCTTGGATGAGCTCAGCCAGCATCGTCCTCATGGAAGTATTAGCCCGGATGAAGGCGAGATTCGCCTCAACAGGGAGCCATCGCAGCGGAATAAACGGATTGATAAACATGATGAGTTTCCCCAGAAACGGCGGGTCGAGGATTCCCTTGTAGCTTTGTTCAAAAGTGAGTTGCGAGCTTTTGGACCTAAAGTTGGTGATATCCCTTCCGAGGAGCGCGGTGCTGATGACTTTGAAGGCTGTTCGATTGAATAAAGATTCAACTATTCCAGGTCAGTACATACACTTTGAGAGAATGAGAAGAGTTTATAGAGTACCTTCAACTACTCCCCTGTCCTCCCCTTCTATCGCCTTGTCAAGTATGTCAGATAGTTCCTTGGCTTTGTCCTGGAAGATTGGCAGCATTTTTCGCACGTTGGGCTTCGAAAGGGGTCCTATCAACCTTGTTAGCCAACTCAAATCTTATCTTTCATGATGCCAATCCGAAGGCTACTGACCAACCATGATCCTTCTCAGCTGCCTATGCGCCTCCCCTACCCCAAACAAGAGCCCAGTGCCCATCATCTCGCCCACTAGCTTCTCCTGGAAGCTCGGCTTCACAAACGAATATGCATATACCTGAAGCACCTCACGAGCTGCTTCTAGGCTATTTACTAGAAGAACTTCTGAGTTGCCGAAGCTAAGGTACCGAATGAAGGGCGCGTCGGGCCATTTGCGCACCCACTCGAGAAACAAGTCGTTTGGACCGGCGGCTTTCAGCAAGCGGATAGCTTGACCGACGAGAAATTGGTTATCCTACGTTAACGCACATGACTAATTAGCCTTTGTCGCTTTTCTTTCTGATATTTCAAAGCTCAGCTCCAGCAGAGATGCCATTTACCTCTGGCCCTGGGACATTTCGCAATTTAGAGAAGTAGAAAGGATATATCAGCGCCCATCCAATCTTGCGTACGATTGTTCCCAGAACATAGAAGGCGACGCCGCATCCAGCTGCCACGGGAACTGTAGCGCAGTTGTATTGCAACAATAAGACGACGCCAGCACAGGAAGCCAGAGTCACAACGAGAGACTCCATCTTTTGCTGCTCTCAAAGCGGTAAACCCTACTAGAGTTTAACACTTAATAAAGCCAAATTCATCAGAAAAGAGAGCTATCAAACGAAAGGGCGCCAACTCCATCTTTATTGATTATCAAGAGGCACATGGCCGTTGGCCCGTAGGTGTGCGGAGATAGCGGCGGGCCTTGAAGCAAAAACAGGGGTTGTAGCCGTAACCAATACTAGTGATTGCATGTCAGCTGGGGCACCGTCAATTCGATGCGTTAGTTACTAAAGCTAGTACCTACACGAAAGAAATGATATTGCATCGCATCATCGGACGCTATGAGATTCCACCTCGGCCGTAGCATGTGGGCTCACAGCTAAGGGGGATATGAGTAGAAGATAAGCTAGGCGAAACTGTAGACTACGAAGCAACAAGATTGGAAATGGAAACTCATTTCTCCTGAAAGTCTCTATAACATGGTATAAGAACAAGCCTCTATTCAGCTCTCGCTCACGGGCCTCTATACAGTCTTTTAGCGAACATTCTCAGACTTCAACATCGCCCTAGTCATGGACACCTTGTCTCTCTCCAACTCATGAATCGCTAGTGGAGCAGCTTGCAGCAGCCACGGCTCATAGTGCAGGACTTACATAACACGGTCAACGACTTACATAACGACTCAGTATTAATATCAATGTAGAGATCGCTGTGAAATCACTGGCCAGCGGTGTGTGTTTCCTCCAGAGTGGATACCGGGGTGACAAGTTTGCCAATCGAAGTGTGAATTATTGCTGTGATTCGGGCTAAAAGGGCGTTACGCCCGCCCTAAGTAGATTAAAAAGCGCAGCCCTACGGAGTATCGTATCAGTTGGGTGCAGTAAGCGGGAGAGCAATATTCTCGAATATTCGTAGTAGTAGTCTAATCAGTTGTGCGAAGAACTCTTTAAAAGAAAAAAATTGAAAGGCAATGGGTCTTACAGCAATCTTTGCAATATGGGGGGAAGCCATAATTGATCCTCCAATCATCGATAGGCCGGCACAGACACACACCAACAGCATGCTTGACATTCTTCAGCGTTGCCGACTGCCGTTAAGCGCTATTGAGCCCTTGCAGGCACCAAGGAGGTCGTAGAGCTTGACGTTTTTTCAAGAAGAGAGCTTTGGATTATGTTCTTATCCATTTGTGTAGAAGTCTTCACAAGCACATGCTCCATTTGATTACCTATTCATACGAGTAATCAGAAAGCCCGCTGCATATCTGGAGCAGTAAGAAGCCCATGACAGGAGTGTACGGCATGTTGATACCAATTTAACCTTGATGCCCAACCCTGCTTCAAGTCTGCTACGGAGCTTCAAACCGCTACGGCTCGCGGACTTGATCGCCGCCAAGAGTTACCCGATTCCTCCGCAATACCCGATCCCTCCACGATGCTTGTAGCTCGAATTTCGGAGTCTACCGCGAAAGCAACTTACTAGGAGCTACGAAACGTCTTTCTACCTCCCCCTACTCCCTCTCCCCTGTCACAAAAATTAATCTATGACATCTATGCCTTTCTCACCCACGCCAGACTAAAGACTTCGGCACCAGCTCTCGAAACGCCAACCTCTACAGCTCCGCTCTCGCTCTTGACGCTCGTTGCAATCTTCTCGCCCTTCCTCTCTAGCAAGAGAGAGTTTCCAGAGGTTTCGGGCAGCTTATAGAAGCGTCGTCCAAACTTGCTGAGGAATCCCTCAAGCTTCTCTTGCGTAACATCCTCTTCGCTGATGATACCACGCTCAATTCCCTCTTCCAATCCCAGGAGCACGAGCTGCGTCACGTAAGGTTGCGTAAAGACACCGGCTGGCGCTTTGCCTTGGGCAGCGGAGGTCTTGGAGGTGATTGGATGAGGAGCGCTGTCGCTTCCACTATCAAAGAATGCGTATTAGTATTTGGTGATTAAACAAGAAAAGGAGGCTTATCAATGTGTCACTTACAAGAAGAATTTGGGGTTGCCGCTGACGGCGGCCTTGAGAAGGGCATCCCTGTCGGTGGGCTTCTTGGGGATGGGCTTGCAGAATGCAAAGGGGTCGCAGCAGGCGTCGGCCTCTGTCAGGTAAAGATGATGAGCGGTAATGGTAGCTGAGCGCATATATGATCAGCAGATTATTCAAAGCTAAGAAAGGAGCGAGTATAAGGGTAGTCAACATTACCTCCAACGTTCGATCCGCAAGCCTTGACTGCCTCTACGGCAGCCGCTGTGGTGCAGTGTTCAAGCTTAAGTTCATGAGCGTTAGCATATATAATACATCTCAAGAATTGAATGGAAAGATACTCACAATGATGCGCAGGTTAGGGAACCTCTCATGGAGCTGCTTGAGAGTGGGGAGAAAGGCCTCTTCTAGAGTTGTGCCCTCCGGAGCCAAAGCCTCCAGGACCTCTCCATGAAGGTTGAGCACAAGATCATGCTTTTCCATGGCGGCAAAGGTATCATAAAATGCTTCAATATTTGCCACTCCGTGCTCAGAGTTGGTGGTTGCGCCTACGGCGTGTTAGTCCTAATACGCAGCAGTCTTCATATGAAGAAAGGCCGATATCTCACCCTGAGGATACAACTTGACACCGGTAACTCCAGCTTGGGCTGCCTTCTCTATCGTCTCTGGTGTGACTGAAGGATGAAGCTGAGTCCTATTTAGATATAGGTCCATTATTCAGGTATGGTGACGATAGCTTACATAGAGAGACATGAGGAAATGAACATTGGGCGCAATAGCCTGGAGCTTGCCTTGGTACTCAACGACCTTGCTTATCATTAGCCATGTGAAGAATTGCATGTAGCTCACTCATTTATAGGGGAACATACTTGGTCAACAGTTGTCAAAGGAGGCACCTATGAAGGCTGTTAGTCACCCAACGCAGTGTCAAGTCAAAATATCTGCACCAATATGCCACATCAAAGACACAAATACTACACTTTTCACATACAAGATTCGGCATACTATATTATCCAGAGTCAGCTAAATTCCTAGACTTTCAACTCTTCTCAAGACACTCAACATACACAAAAGCAGTGTCAACCCCTCCTTGCTCCAGCGTCGGCACCACCACGTCCATCATCTCGCCCTGGCGCAAATGGACGTGCATGTCCGCTGCGGCCGGCAGCTCCAGCTTCTGAAGAGTCTTGAGTTGCATTTTCTCGTATTGAATGCTTCTTTTGAAACAAACAAGAATTGAGATGAATTGTTCAATGTTCAAAAGAACTTGCAATGACGATGCTCTCTGTGTCTGAAATGCCCCGCCACTGGGAAAGGTTTTTCTCCGATTTTGACAAGAGCCAACGCTCGGAGCTAAGCCTTTTATAGCAATACCTTTAAATTCCAAGTTTACGCAAACAAACTTCAGGACTCAATCTTTTACTTCATCTCATAAAAATCATATTGAGTCGTAGCTCATCATATAAATTCAAGAATCATTCTTCAAAAGGTATGCGATTAGAATGTGAAAGTCCCGCCATCCAACCTCCCCCATGGCACTATTCCGCAACCAGCACCTTCATCTTCATTCCACTAACAGAGTCCATACACAACACCACCAACCAGAGCCAAAACCGTCACGAGGTTTGCCGCAATCTTGTTACCAGGGCTCTTTGGGCTGACAGAAGGTTTGCCAGATCCAGACGTCGAGCTGGGCTGGCTCGATCCAGACGTGCTTGTCGAGTTGCTGGGAAAGACCTGGCTCCGGGCACGCTTGGGAAGCAGCGCCGTCAAGGCAGAAAGGGCATTCATCTGCTCTCCAAGGCCGACCTTGCCGTCAAACGCACTGTTTCCAATCCAGGAGAATCCACAGGCTGTTCCGGGCTGTCCCGCAAAGCCCTTGTCGACGGATCCGCTGCAGGCACTGGCAGCAGCCTTTGCGTTCGACTGAAGCAGGGGCTGGATGGTAGCAGCCGTGTACGGAGCCTGTTGTGTGGTGGCCTTGAGTGATCGAATGAGGAAGCCCTTGTAGCTCTGCTGGTCAACGTTGCACAGCCCCTTCTCCTCACATATGGGCTCGTACAGAGCGCCGTTCTTGACAAAAGTCGTCGAAACATCCTTGACAAGACCGTCCACTCGCGTCTTCCAGTCCGACGACGAGGTGGCATTGTACATGACTGCACTGCCGTCCAGGAAGAGGGCCGTGCTCATGCTAGTTGGATCTTTGAGCACACTGCTGCAGGACTCTACCTTGAGGCCGTCGAATACCTGGTACGAGTCCGAAATGAGGCCGGCTTTTTGCTCCCATTCGAAGATCTTGGTCGCCCATTCCGAGTACGTGTTGTTGTTTGTCTGCTGGAACAGCCTGGCCGCGAGGTCAAAGAAGACGCCGTTGGACGCCGAGTTCTTGTAGTCGTAGCCCGCGTTGAACGCAGCAATTTGCCATCGAAGGCCACCGCCACAGTGGGAATCCCATCGCGGAACAAAGTCGTTGAACACGTTCGTGGCCAGTTCCTGCCAGGTCGGCTGGCTGCTTCCGAGTCCATTCTCATCGGCGGCCAAAGCGGCCAGCGCCCACACTCCTTGATCATCGTTGCCTTCAGTCATCGTCTGGTTCAGCGGGAGAAAGTTGTTGTTCTTGCCCGTTTGCCACAGCAGACCCTGCTTCGTCAAGGAGAGGTAAGTATCATCGCCGGCGTAGGCCGTGTAATCGATCAAAGCTGTAAACAAAGCACCCGTTTCCCACCCTACAAAGGAGTCAGTGTTACACGCTTCATCTAAGCCGTGAATAGGGGAGTCGAACAGAAATATGGTTGCGGAAGATTGCCTGGGATCTGGCCCGTCTCGTTGCCATTGTAGTACTTGGCAAGTCCATACGCAATTGTGCTCGCACCAGCCTTGATGGAATCTAGAAATCTTTCGTCTTAGTCCAGGGCATCCGTAAGCATCGGGATATCGACGCACCATCGCTAGTGAAATCGACTTTGATAGCGCCAGCAGACGCTCCGAGAAACGCGAGCGCCAAGGCAGTTCGTTGCATGGTGAACTTCATATCCAAGACTTCGATAAATCGATAACTGCGGAAAGATTGCCGATCAGATAAAGTCTCCACGTAGATCGCAGCGCGCCAGACGAGATCGGCGTCACTTTCTAGACTCGCAACGAAAACGAGCGGTGGTAAGTTGTCAGACGCGACACAGCAAATAAAGGAACCGGTGGATAAACGAACGAAGCCGGCACAAAACGAGAGACAGCTGCTTCACGAGTCACGACTTGAACAGGACAAGACCGATTGAAATGAGGTTGAAGAGTCGAGTCTTTTGACAGCCAGTTGACCTTTTCGATGGATTTTACCCCCTGGCTCCGCTGCCAAGCCTCAATAGAATCCTGTCACTTCTAGAACTAGCGCCTCATAGTCTAATTGCAGCCTGGTTGCGGGCTATAAATACATTGGCCCAACTTTGGGGAAAAAAAAAAAAAAAAGGTCATAGAATAGGAAGCGATTCCTCCGCCGCCTTTCCTCCTTGAGTCAAGTGGCCGGGAACCGAGAAATACGAAGTGCTGCATTGAGTCGGGGTTGGCTGCAAGTTGAACAGGGAATGTTGTCGCAGTCTGTCTGGACAGGCTTCAGAATGTCACTTCGGCGACTGCCTTTTTGGGAAGTATACGATGTGCATGCAGATTGAATACGAGAACTGAGGCTCGTCAGCCCTGTAACTGGGGACTATTTTTGCTGCTAGTGATATGGTTGAAAGAACAGGAATACTAATCGACATTTCGGCACTTTCTTGCTTGAAGTTGATTTGCGGAAAAATTGGTGCAGTTTGTTGTCAGAAAGTCTTGTCTTAACCTTACAGGATTGTGTATTCTTGTTTTTACTGCTTGGTATGATCCGGCAATGCGTCATGGGAGTTGAAGACTACACTGGGGAGACGTTATGCTCAACCTCGGCTTACATGGTTGAATGAATGACTCGCTCACGCTATGATGACAACTCGAAATCAGCTGGCCACAGAGTGAAAATATTCGCCCTTTTCAATAAGATGATCTATTTTCTATTCTGTCGCGACTCTAAATCAATGGCTGCTGTAAACTCGCTACATCTCTGCTATCTTACTGCTCAGTGATTGATATGTCTTTGGTGAAGGTGCTTCTCAGAGTAGTAAGCCCATATCTTGGGCGGTTGATATGCCAAGAAATAATGCCATTTCTGAATGCTATCCACACCTGGCTTGCCAGCTCACTACTCCATTCATCGCTGTTGCTATTGTTGTAATTCAAACAGACGCTAAGAAAATACGCATTAGTGTATGACACCCTACATTCGGATAATCAAAAGTTCAACGGACCTGTGGAACTGGATAAAGGCTTTATCCAAAGAGCGAATGGCGTCACACAAAAGGTCCATAGTCTCGCATAATGTGTCTCGAAAGTTCCATCGCGTATCAGAATTACCTTTCTGGGGAAATGCGGAGAGATGACCGCTCTGGCGCTTGGCTTGTGTCTGGAGAGACATGTAGTTGTGGGCCTCACCAGCCAGTATCTCCTTGGGGAATGACAGCAGGTCATTGATCAGATTAATGAACGTCGTAAGAGGCACCACGCTTATAATCCAGTATTCTAGTGGGACTTCAAAATCAATGGCAGGTTTGAACAAACCAAGCATGAGAGGGCCAGAGAGCCCTGTAAGACTTCTGAAGAAGTATGCGAATCCATTTGGGCAGCAACCATGATCATCCATACCCGGCTGGATTTGCGAGAAATGCGGTGGTAGGGCCTTCGCCAGGCTGTCTTCCATAAATGATGCCTCTGCAAAGCTGGCCCAGCCATTGGCGCCAATAGTTCCCATCCGAGGATCATTGGCTCCAAAATGCCGAGCGAAATTTCTAATGACTTTGAGATACATAGTTGACCATTCATCCCTTCTAGAATCAGACACTCCGCACCATAATTGATAGTGGAAACTTGCAAAAGCCTTCCTAGAAGCCGCGGGAGTGACGCCGTCATCCGCAGTGAGCCCTGCTGCCAGACCTATAGCCATTTGCAGACGAGTGTCATGGTGAGCATGCGGATAGTAATACTCGACAATAGCTGCAGCCTCGTCAAGTATTCCATTCAAGACTTTGTCGTCGCAAATGCAGACCTTCTTTAGATTTTCTTTGCTCCAGGACGACAGATCGTCACGAAGCTTGGAATCACTTGGGGAAAAACAGTGGGAGAAGTTGATTTCTGAGAGGAAAGATGACAGTGCAGCATCTAGACACTTGATTATCTCCGCTTTCTCATGTTTTGCAAGAGGCCTGACATCCGCAAAACTCAAGATGTCAAACTGGGGTCGAGAGAGTAGATTGTGGAAGACGCTTGCCATTTTCACCTCGTGTACTCCGTAAAGCACTAAAGAGCAACTTTAAATGAAAACGTAACCAAGCCAAGTTGATATGATAGAAAGTAGAGGAAAAAGTGCAAGAAGAAGAAGAAGAAACAGCTTGCAATTTGATAATACACATAGATAACTATGGATATTTCAGTTCATATGTAATAGATTTGAGCACTGACTCGAGCACTGACCTGAGCAATGCGAAGGATCTTGCTGCGGGTCACCAAACAAGGCAAAAAGTACGAGAAGAGCAATTCGGAATGCCACATAGGTACATACAAGCAATGTAACTGAAACTCGAAATTGTATAGTAGAGTAAAGCTTGAGAGGGAGACGAATAACTACCTACATAGGTAGGCACAAGATGCGGTGGGGTCGTGTGGTAAGTACAGGCTTGGGCTATATTCATCTCGTTTTTTCCAATTCGCTTTTCATCATTTCGGACTTCCCTCTTCGGTAACAGAATCATCGCGTGAGCTTCGTGGTACTTTTCCATTCAAAGGATCTTTGTAAAACAAGCGGGGCAGCTGAAATGTTCGATAGCGCAGCATTACCGACTGCGCTTTTCATTCGTCGCCTGATTTGCAAGTAGTATTTTGCCAAGCCTTTGAAATCATTTTATGAAGACTAATTACATATCAAGATTCGAAAGCTAATATTCCGTGAGATTTGTTGATTCCTCAGATATCATTAAATGACTATACATGAAACATCTGGCACGCAATATAGATGTGTCCTAGATTCATCGTAGATACGTCCTAGCTAAATCTTGGAGTGAACAATTAGCTAGATGTACATGCGGTAGCCGAGTATAAATATATGAAGTCACCATGTTTTGAGCATGATAGCACGCCATCGGTAAAAAAGTGAACCAATTACACTTTTTTGCTTCCAAATCGCTATTACATACTTCGCGGCACACGAGATGGTAATAACACCGAATTTCTGAATGGGGAAGATGTAACCTTGCTCATCAGAGCGTGTGTTACACCACCGGCTATCACCCAGAAAGGGCAAACCGAAAGGATCAAAAAATTCCGTTAGTGTCTCAAAGAGAGCTTTTATATGCCTCATAGTGATGGGATTCTAAATTCATGAAGCATCGTATTAACGTCTCGTCTCGCTTCCTCTCTTAGTTTAGTAAAAGACATCTACTCCATCTACTTGATCTACTCCATTTACTCAATCTACTCAATCTACTTCATCTACTCAATCTACTCAATCTACTTCATCTACTCAATCTACTCAATCTACTTCATCTACTTCATCTACTCAATCTCCGCCATCTACTTTTTCTACTTCAACTACCTTGATTCAAGCCGCTCAAAGAGGTACCAACATATATCCATTCATCCTATCTCAATAAACAAACATCTATACACCTCCTTTCCCTCCCATCGTCTTTGTCAACTTCCCAGTAAATCTATAACTCAGCCATCAATTCCCACTCTCCTCCACCATGCCCCTCATCACTGCACTCAACCCCTCCAAAACACTCTTCTCCCACTCCCCTCCCCTCACCCTCTCCGCCCTCTCCGCAGTCAGCACAAACTCCTCCGGCACCTTCACCGTCCTCTCATCCTCCCCCAATGCCAGCATCATCTCCGAAACCGCCACCGCGCACCTCGCCGCCACCGGCATCCCATGGCCGTTATACCCACCGCAGAGCCACAGGCCTCCCTTTCCACCGCCGAGCTCCTCAGGCACTTTTCCCACAAACGGGTAGCCATCCGTCGTGTAACCCATGATGCCAGTCCACTGATACCGCGCCCTCAGCTCTTCCTCTTCTTCCTCGCCCTGGGGTCGTAGCTTCAACGCCGGACGAAGACTCCGGCGCAATCGTTCAGCCAACTCCTCATCAATACTATCATCCTTCCATATCCCTTCTCCCCCTCCAGGCACATTCACTCTCTCACCGCCCACCACAATCATTTGCAGCTCATCATTCCTCTGAACCAAGTAATTGTCACTCTTCTCTGCCAACCAAACATGGCTATGCTCCAGCGCCACATCTCCATCCGGCGGCTCCAAAGCAGCAACCTGCCCCCTAACCGGCACGACCAACTTGCTCATCTCAGGCAGTAAATGCGACGTATAAGCATTCGTAGCAAGAAGCACCTCATTCGCAACCACCTGCCCTCTCGGCGTGTGAACAACCCATTTGCTCGAGTCCTCCGTCTGTTGCAAATGCGTCACCGGCGTGGTAGTCTGCAAGTTAAACACCTCGGGCGGCTGCTTCGTAAAAAGCGCCTCCAAGATCCAGGCAACAAGCTTATACGGCCATAGCTTTGCCGCAAAGGGTTGATGCACCACTCCGCGGGCATGTCCCGGCTGCACTCTAAAGTCAGCAATGCTTTCTGGATCCGTGTAGAGCTTTGCGCAGTCCTTCAGCTGAGGGTGGTGGGCATTGAGGTTGGCAATGATCTTTGCTGCAAGGTCGACCAGTTCGTCTGTAGGCAACGCATGAACGCCGCCAACACGCTTCCAGTCACATGGAATGCCGTATTGCTCGACGAGGTTTTCTAGGAAGTGATACGTTTCGAGTTCAAAATGCGCAATGTGCGGCTTGCTGGCATAAAGGAATGGCTGACAATGCCCTCCGTTCTAACAATTGCAGCCCAAATCGTCAGTCACAAACACGCAAGAAATAAATCATCAGATAGAACATCAAAGTCATCAGAAAATAAGGAAACTCACCCTCCCCGTCGCTCCCCAACACGCCTCCCTCGCCTCCAGCATCAAAACCGATCTCCCCTTGGCAACCAGCTCTCTCGCAGCAAACGCACCAGTGATTCCGCTGCCAATGACGATGACATCTGCGGTAGGCGGGAGATCCGGAGTCGACCGCCGACCCAAAAGGACATACGAAGGATTCTGCAGCCAGTATGGCATTGTGCTGTGCGGAGTTGGCAGGCCAGATTGGCCATCTCGTAATGTGGCGGTCACCATGGTTTGTGTTGTCTTATTGGTTGTTTGTGCTTGTCTAAGTGCAATTGGGTGCGCAGATGAGATACTGAGTTGATTGAAGGGATGGGAAAGATATCAGAGCTTATATGCTACAAAGTCACAAATCTATGTAAGGAAATATGCATGCAATATTGTCTACCAAATATTGCATGTGATGATGAAGGAGAGACAATTCGTCACCGGCTACCGAAGCCGCTGCGTCGTGTTCATGCTACGTGCGCCCAATGCGGGGTCCAATGGCCTTGCAGCTCCGTCGTAGTGGATTGCCATATAAGTTAGTGGTGCTCGGAGATCGTCGTCGAAAGTCGCATACTACAATGGTTCAGTGAGTCACAAGATAGGAGCGTTCGCACATTCATTTCTTTAAAGATATCATATCGCATTTATTCCATTTCGTCGTGAGAATCATGAGTGACACACTTTGTATCCCCGAAGACTCCGGAGAATTGCCCTCAAGATCCCTTCCCAGTTCCAAAACCAATAGTCCCCAACGCCGCAATTGACCTATACATTCCAATGTGTATCCTCCCTGTCTGCAAACCTTATTCGTACATCAGTTACCGAAGAACACAAGCAACTTCTCGCTCATTATATATATACATGACAGTGCCTTTCGGGCCTCATCTTTGATCGTGTTTTGATTAAACACTAGTAACGTGCTTTTGTCTTCCACCAACTCCAATAAACACAGGCTTTTATCCGAAGCCATTCCAATTCTAGCCACGTGCCGTTGCCCTTTCTATTCGAAACCAAATATAGTTGGTACTCGCAACCGGTGGTAGCAAGTATGGCCTCCATGTGCGAACAAGCCAAAGTAGTCGAGTAGCCGTGACCATATGCTTCGTGGGAGGTCCCAATATAGTCCATCTCGCCGGCTAAAGTCGTACCTGCCGAATTGTAATGTATAAAAAGAAAGACCGAGTCGTTTCATAATCCATCAGGGTGCAATGGGTCGATGCCCCTAAAACAAAAAGGAAAAAAATCGCTATATGCTCAACCAGACGATTTGACAAATTCAAACACAAACTCTTTTCATCGACTTGTACGTGTTCCGGTACAAGGGTGGAGTAACTCCAATATCGATCACAAGCATCCTATATTCTTGGATGTATCCAGCTCTCTGTTTTTGAAGCAATTAGCCCTAAAAGAGCACAGAGCATATCAAAGTTCAACAGGTGAAAACAGGTGAAAACAACCAAACAAACAAAAAAGGTCATCCCGCTCGCTCTTAAATATCTGTCATTTCAAGGTCGCTGTCGTTGATGATGGAGACGGGAAATAGCTCAGAGGGGCCCCAGTTTCCCTCGTAGACGATGGCGGGCGCATTTCGGTGCTCTGCCACCCACTGCAAGCCTTCCAAGGCCAAGACCTCTTCGATGTGTGGTCGCTCTTCCGGCTCCTGCTGCGTCATCCACCTAACAATAGAATCAAGGGAGCTGGGGTGAAAGACTTCCACCATAAACTCAGGCGGCTGCTGAAGTTCCGATCGCTTAAAAGATCCAAAGAGATTGCCGGGGCTGCGAGGCTTCTTCTCGATCTGGAGTTCCTCACTCATCGCAGACTCAGTCGGGTTACCGAGGGCGTCCCGCTGAACTTCGCTTGACGGGGTCCAGGTGAGACTGGGCACTTCGGAGAGATCACCAGACCTGAGGGCAACCCAGGTAGGTCCGTTGTCGGGAAGCACCACATTGGCCGCTGCCTCCAATGTCATAAGGCCAAGGGAGAAGATATCGGCAGACTGATCGGTCTTGCCCTCCAACATCTCTGGGGCCATATACTCGCGGTCTCCCTCGATATCCATATATATGTCATCGGAAACAGCCTGCGCCAATCCGAAATCACCAATCTTGATGACTCCTTCAAAAGTAATCAGAATGTTTGCCGGCTTCATATCTAAATGCATAAATCCAGCGTCGTGGATTTCTTTCAATCCCTGTAAAGAACGTAGCAGGTTAGCAATGAGGAGGGAAAAAAAGGATCCGCTGGATCCCAAGATGTCAACTCACCAAGCAAAGATCTTGCAAGATCTTATAGATACGAAAGTCATCCAATCGACCCAACTGCCCGACGTGGGCCAAAAACTTATCCAGAGTCCCTTCTTCGCAAAACTCTGTCTGGATGTAGAGATGAAAGTTATGCTCCCAGTCATCGATATATTGCACAACATGTTCGGCATGTGACAAAGCTCGCAGAATATGAGCTTCACGCAGCTTTGCTTCCCTATCTTTGGGTCCATGGTACGGCTGCTTGGTCTTCTTGACAGCAAAGACCTGAGTCTTGGCAGGGCTTCTGGCGTGGCTGTCAACTGGGGTGAATGAAGCTGGAGTAAAGGAACTTTCAAAATCCTGCTTTGTTACACGGTATACCGTAGAAAATTCGCCTTTGCCAATCTGCTCAACTTTGTCGAACTTGGAGTATAGACTGGCATCAATATCCAAGCCGGTGTTGCGAGCATTGTTGACAGGAGTGACAAAAATGCTCGTGGATGAGCGAAAGTTAGTCGGTGTGACAGGAGGCGGCATGTGCGATTCTCGCCGGCCATCTCTGGTCTGAGAGATGGACAGCCGGCTGGTATCCAGCGGCAGCAAGTTTTCCTGGGGGGTTTGAGGAGTGCGTCGTCCATCGGGGCTCACTGATTCAACACACATCATCTTAGTAAGTACATTTTTGGATAGTTTCGAAGGCACTCGACTGGAGTGCGTCAAAGTTGAAAGTTCGGTAGTGAGTGGCTGGGGCGCACTGAGCCCCCTCCGGGTCCTTGCCCGTCCGTATGAAGATAAAGAAAGAGGATCTGTTGGAGTTGGTCCACAGTCTGAAGGAGTAGATCGATCGGCTTTTGGATCTGCCTCCTCGATTTGGTCCTGAGAACTATCGGACATATCCGGGATCGACTTACAGGTTGAATCCCGCGATTGTGGGGGCTTGACGGCTGAAAGAGAAAGGGTCAAGGTCCGGTTGGCACTCGGGCTTTCTTGAGAACTTTCACTAAAATTACTCAGGCCACTGAAGCTTGGTGTTAGAAGGTTCTTGGTCGGGGTTGGCGGAACATCGCTTTCCGCAGGGCTTGCAAAGTCGACGCTATCGGCAAACAGTTTGCCATCATCACCGTCAGCACCAAGAATGCTCCCACGGCGGTTTCCCAGGACGCTGCTACGTTGGAAAATTGAGAGGCCTTTGCCAGGATTGGCGACCGTATCGGGGGCACGGCCCATAATGGGGCCGAAAGGGGTGGAGGGAATACCGCCAAATGATTTGCGGACATTCCCTCTCTTCTTTCCCGAACTGCCAGGTGGCGGGAAGGTAGCAAAGGGATTGATATGCTTTTTGCATGGCGTGTCGGGAGGCGCCATCTTCTTGTCGGCCTCTTCTTCCAGATTGCGATTTACTTTGGAGACAAGGCCGGTTGAGTTGAATGCACCAATCCAAAGCTGATGGGTCTGGTTTGGCGTGGCCATGGTCCTTTGTTCAGCGGCATGTCGACTAGATGGGCGCATAGCACCAGGGGGTAGAGATCTGGAGAAAGGATGTGGTTTCGATGCGACTTTTGCGGGCGCATAAAAAGATTGCTCCTCAGTCAAGCTGTTGCCAGAGGTTGACGTTGTGAGGGTCTTGGACAGCGGATGTGGCTGGTGGCTTTTGTTTTCCGTCGCAGCACTGGCGCCAGGTGCAAAGGGGTTTTCGTGACCAGCTGTCGGAGGGACAAAAGAGTCTGCAGAGAGACGAGGCCGGTGTCGGACTGGCGTAGATACATCAGCTCCCAGCGGCGAGAGCTGTCGCTCGCCAGAACGTTTCCCCCAAGAAGTCTTGTCGCTATATCGTTGCTGTAAAGTTGATCTGCGGAGAGAGGATGATCGCTTTGGGATATTCGATGCATGAGTCGGAGACGCCAGGTGATCACGTTCAGAGATGGCTCCTCCAATGCCAGACAGTTCGTATTCAGGGAATTCATCTTCATGAATATCAAAAACGCCAGGTTGGGATGCGCTCGAATTGAAGAGGTCTTGAGACTGCACAGAGTTCATAATGCCGTGTAGACTTCGTCGCTTCGCCACCGGGCTGCCTTGGTTTGATTGATCCAAATTCATGGTTGCGTCACTGCGCTTCAGCGCGCCTGTTGCTGGGGTCATGGATGGATCACTAGTTTCTTCCAGCGTCTTGAGAAATGCAAGCTGAGAGGCACCGGTGATATCAAACTGCACAGTAGAGCGGGTTGATCGATCCATCGCTTTTCGTGGTGCTGAGTGCTCGGGAGTCGTGCTGTTGTTGTTTTCTTGACCTAAGAATCTGGGTCGGAGAGGCGATATTGGTGACTGTGAAGAGGTAGAGTTTCCAGAATCGGGGGTCGTGGACAGGGCGCGCTTTAAAGGGCTTCTAGGAGAAACTCGAGCCCGGGTGATGCGCGAAGGAGGCGCCGCTTTAGCAGCTTTGACGGACCGAAGCGAGAGCTTAACGCCTGGCCGAATGGGAGTCTGCGTTTGCGAAGGTGATAATTGCGGGGCGCTAGCGACAAATGGTGAGTCTACAGTTGGCGACGCTGACGAGGGAGGCTGTAGCACCGGCCGTTGCTGTAGCGGCGTGGTGGCAAGTCGTCGATTCGGTGATTTTGGTGAAGCTTGTCGTGAACTTGTGAGGCCGTGAGAGTTTGCACGCGCCATAAGCTTCGTGGGAGATTTTGACATGGAGCGTCGAAGGTTGCGCACAGTCGTGGGGTCCATATGATGGGCGTGAGTCGGCGAGGGCAGAGCCAGAGTGCCGCCACCGCCGCTGGAAAAGGACATGGCACTGGAATGAAGGCAGTGCAAAATAATGATTGGAGAACTTGTAACGCTGCGAAGATGTCGTGGCCCAAGGACACCGGCCAAAGGAATGTCGATAGTATGGAAGGTTGAGGACGTCTGATGTAGAGCGCAGCGTCGGATTAGCTTGTCTCTTAGGAAGGGATTATATATGAAGTGCACTGTAGATGGCTCTCTCGTTGTCGGTATCCCTAATATCGGTAGAAAAATCCGTGCATGGCAACAAGAAAAGTAAAATGTAAACAAAACACAAGAGTTGGTAAATCGGTCCGTTGAGGAGTCGTAGCTTGAGATGCTGGAGAAACGAAATCGAGTTGAGATGCTGTGGCGTTGTGAGAGGCGCAACAGAGATCGGTTGTATGATGATGTATGGATAGAGATTGCCCGGGAGGGCTATTCCAGATTAAAAAAGGAAAAGAAGAGGAACCCCAGAGACAAGCCGCGAGAGGATGATGCCCAAGCGGGTCGCATAGATCGGCGGCAAGCAGGCGGGGCCGAGAGTCAAATATAGGTCCAGCGAGAAGTCGTGCCAAGTATGAAGTAGATTCGAGACCAGCAGAGGCAGTCACGGCATGACGCTCGGTTGCTCGCGGGGGTAGAGAGCAGAGGTAAGAAAGACGGAGAAGAAAACAAGAGATGCTCACGATATGTGGGTGTCTGGCGCTCTCTCTCGCAAATATCGCCCCCCTCTGTGTAGATATAGATTGCGGGCTGCGCTTTGCGTCGACAGGCGAGGATCGCAAGGCCAATATTCTGCTGGGTCAATTCGCAGCCGCAGATGCCTTTCGTCAGCCGCCCTCGCTATGCTGTCGCCGTCGGTCGCTGCTGTTGGATCGTCGGTCGAGCTCTCCTGGTCCGCAGTGACTCGGCTAAGGTGTCGAAATTGACTTTGGCAACGCAGCGGCTGCCCTCGATGGCCGTCGTGGAGGCGGTGACTCAATAGCGAGACAGAGTAAAACACAAAGGCAAAGACACGCAGGGAGAGAGCGAAAATCCACAGCCAAGGCCACGCAAGCGAGGTCTGGACGGCGGATGGTTGGTATGCAGAATGTGCAAAACAGGCGATGCGGCATGCACGGCGAGGGAGCGAGGCCAGGTGCAAGTATCCGTACATGGAGGCTGGTCGAGAGCTGGCCTGGCTGGCGGTTGCTCTTCCGAGCTCCAGGCGCAAAAAGGCGCGACTGCGCTGCTGCATTGTTTATCATCTTACCCAACGCGGCTTAGCGCAACACGCCGGAACGCGTCTTCAGTCGTTTATAGTGGAGCCCATTTGGCCTGTCCCCTGTGGCCGCCCGGCAGAATTTGCCCCCCTAATTGGCCGCCTTGTGGTTGCCAGCCTTTGCTTGTACCGGTACGAGTGCGCTCCCCGAAAACGGTTGAGCAGGACCCCTGCTTGGAGACCATGCCCGTCTCTTTTCCTTTTCTTTTTTTTTTCCTCCTCGTATCATTCTGCATTATCTTATATCCAAGCTACCTACCTAGCAGCATAAAGAGACAAATAGCCTATCATTGTCGAATAGCAGTAGCAGTTTGAAACAGCAAGATACATGTACCATGAATTCGAATGATCTGTCATCTAGTCATCATCCATTGCAGCCGGCGAGACATTACATACCTGGTGATGGCCTACACCTACCGGAGCTATTCAAGCTCCCCACCGACGACGAATACCAAGTACACACCTCCAAAGTACTTGTACAACCCCTCATGCCGCTGCGTCCGAGCTCAGCAAGTCTTCCTAAGCCTCTTCTCATGAAAGGAGAGCTTAAGGCCTGTTGCTCATAGATTTCAAACAAGCGCCGTGCTTCAAGGAAAGGTTGCCAAAGCGCCGCAACGCACTCAAGCACTGAACCTCCAGGAGGGGCTGCGGATCCAGGAACGGCGCCTTGGAGGAGGGTCTTTGGGGTCCAATGGCGCCTATTGCTACGCCAAGCTAAGCCGTAGCCTCGATGATCAAGTATGGGACCAGATAGAGGAGGGCGACAAGTGGTACAGATTGGCTCAGTCGTCTGTTGCTCCCTGCATGTCTCAGCATCGTCTTTTTTTGCCTTTGTCTTAGCTTCGCCACTCCCCAGACTCAGGGTTCATGCGTCACTGTAGCGCTTCGTACGCTTTGTAAACAGCGGAAGCAAGCTTCTAAAGAATGAATGGCCAATATACCGCGAGTAGCCCACCGAGCCCAGCCGCGCTGGCAGAGACAAACAGCGACTATCTGTGACAGTTTTCACCTTCTTTTACCTCCAGTCTCTCCTTGGCCCAGTCTCTTCTGTCGGCTTCTCCAGCCGGTGGGCAATCATTGCTAGCGTAGATCGGTGAAGGCGACTCGTCAGTGTCGTCACCGATCAAAACAAAACAACCCCAGCCATTGTTTACTTACACACATCGCCACTGTTTTGATCTCCATTAAGCCTACGACGCGCTCAAGCCACCAAAAGAAAGCCACTTACTCATAGGTAAATCCCTTATCTCGTCACCTCCGTGCCTGTTTCCATGCGATCCAATTGAGTTTGCGCCTTGAGTGAAGGCGTCCCTTTTTTTGCAAGTCTCCATAGGTCATTTCGCTTCCTCGGATCGCTCTCCCGGAGCCATGCAGCTGGAGCTTGCTGGCTGCGCACGTTCTCTAGGTTCTTTAATGACCCTTTGCGCTCGAGGGAGGATGTGTACAATCCAAGTTGTCTGTGGTAGGTAGCTGAGTACATGTAATTCTTTGATGATGCTAAACCTCTTGGTAGTACTTCGTGCTCGTGTGGAAGTAGATTTCCCACTGGCTCTACAAATGCTTCACTTTGGGCATCTTAAACTAATGGCTTACTTCCATCGTTCATCGTATCAGTATAGCCAGTCCGAGTAGGGCCTCCTTACAAGCACATGCGAGCCCATCGTCATCTCGCGCATCTCCAGGGGATAAAGCAAGGAGGTGGCCTTGAGAACAAGCCCCAACAGCGCTGGTTCCCATGTACTCTCCCTTTTTTTGGTATGAAAACTGTGCACCCGGCTGGGCTGTAAATCACCGGCAGCGATGCATTGGCTTCTTGAATGCAGTTGAGGCTACAGCTAACATGAGTATTGCTGCTATAGTGTATCTCACAGCACGACGTCTTATATGGAGGATTGAGGTAGGATGATTCTAGCTTAGAGGCAAGCCATCGTTTAGCCATTACCGCTGAACAAAAGCCTAAACACAAAACATATTCTGTAGTCTGAACTGCAAATATTGTAAAACATGCATGTGTAGATTCATCCGTAGTTCGCGCTGTCTCTCATGTAAGTTCTGCTGTTCCTGCATATGTACTTACCCTGGAGCTATCGATAATTCCAGCTCACAGTGGTTTTCTTTTCGCCCTATCTTTTTTACCCTCATATACCAAGTAACTCTTCTATTTGATTAAAAGTTTTTCAATAGTCAAAATACACTGCGACGCTCAATTTATGGCCAGTCCGTTGTATCACAATTGGCTTTCATGGACGATGCACAAAATGAATTCAGAGACCGCAAACCCAGTCATTAAGGTGTAACTTGCCTAATATTAAATTAACATGCAAGGGAACATCCGCAGCAACAGTCTCTTCTACAATAATCAGATAATTAAGAACCATTATTATCGTTGGTATTCATATGCTACAGCAACTTGCTCGTTAGGAAGCATAAAACTGTCATTATCAGACGACTTATTGCCCCATGCTCTAAACACACATCAATGCTATCATACAGAGACATTTATTGTACGTATGCTGTCCTGTCTAAAAAAAAATTCATAAAATAGTCTAAAAAACCTGCGCTCGGTCATCTATGAATACAGTTCCATCTTCTCTAGATGTATCAAACCATTCGGAGGCTGCATCTAAATCAGTACACCGTACCACTGCTTTGGATCATTTGCGTCAACTCACCGGAATGAACTGTCGTAGCTTGACGCCAGCTTGTCTAAAGACCTCTGCTGTCTCAGTATCCATGCTGTAACCATGGGCATACACCACCTCAGTGATGCCAACCTGGCAAATCTTGATGCTACACGTCAAACACGGGCACGTATCGCAGTACAGCACGGAGCCCTCCCGGATGCGCTCCCTGCCCGCCTCCAGAAGTGCATTCTCTTCTGCGTGTATGCAAAGACAGGTAGACAGCCCGACTCCAGAGCCGTTTGCCTCGTTACATCGGGGGCAGCCGCCATCAGCGCAGTTTCGCAGGCCACGGGGCGTACCGTTGTATCCTGTGCTGATGACTCGTCGTTCTCGCCCTACGAGGACGCAGCCGACGCGGCGTTTCATGCAGTTGGACCTGTGTGCCGCCAGAGATGCCAGCGCCATGAAGTACGTGTCCCAGCCTGGCCGCATACGGTCGGGGTTAGGGATGTCGAGCTTTCCGAGAGTGGCATAGAGATGGGCCAGTGATGATGAGGTGTTGAGCAACCTGACGGTGGCCCGCGAAATGAGCGGCTGCAGACCCGAGGCTGCATCGTATAGATGCCGGTCGTTTTGCGAGACAAAGTCCTCGAGGCTAATAGTGGACTGCTCCGGCTCGTTGGAGCGCTGCTGGAACCGACGCCAACGCAGAGTGAGCGGAGCGTCGATTGAGATGAGCAGAAAGAAAGGCCGCCGAATGAAGACGTCGAGCACCTGCTCCGTGGGGACGTCAGTGGTTACAAAGCGGCTGCGCCATTGCCGAGTCACAAAGTCCAATAACTCCTCGGCTGTGGTGAAGAAGTGGGAAGAGGATGTCTCATTGCTCTTGGACACAGCGCCGTTTAAGGTCCAGGTCACAGTGGCGTCTTCGATGGATGAAGGGTCCTCGTGTGAAACAGATGCAGGGGCTTGCAGATAGAGGCGCTTGAATCCGTGATGCTCAACAAGATACTGGGCCACGGTCTGCTTGCCCGAGCAGATGCCTGGAGAGCTGAGTTAGTCGCTACGTTCTGACGCCGCTGCACAGGCAATGACGTACTGCCACATATTCCGACAAACATCTTGAGATCTAAATCCGGCGCATTCGCGAATGTCAAATGATCCTGGGCGTTTCGACCGAGGATTGGAGATGAAGCGTCCTCCACATGAGAATTTCAAGGCGGCATTGGCAAGTGGGGCGCGATGTGGACGAGGTCTCTTGTCCAGTGAACTTGCCTGCGATCCGCTGGGCTGTAGAAATCTGGGGCAAGATGATGAAGAGCTCCATTATTACCATTCATTAATACATGCAACGAAAAGCTATGCCAAAGCATGGTTATGTGAATAGAATAAATATGAAAGCTTTCAGCTGCTTGATTCATGAGGTTGATGCTCAGAGTTGCTAGTCCAAAGAGCTCTTGGTGGACTTTTTCAATAATGAAGAAGCTAAAAGCAAGTTAAGAGAATCACAGCGTTCCTACTTGTCTCTCCCTTGCAATGAAAGAACAGTAAAAATACATGCAAGTAACTATAAGTACCCAGATAAAGGCTGAACAGATGAACAAAAAGAAGAAATCCTCTCTCATATATATAAAATGATTGCATCACATTTCAGCACTGAAAGTGAAGCAAAAAGAGAACTTTCTCCGATACTGGGAATCGAACCCAGGGCTGCTCGGAGCTTCAATCGAAGATTGAGAGCGAGCGATGTTAGCCACTACACCATATCGGACTTGTGTCTTGATGCACAACGAAGCGCTAATACAAACTATGAGACTCAAGTCCACTGGTTCGTAAATTTTCAAGCCGCGCCAGTGCGCCACAGCTCCCAACTTCATGCTCTTATGGCAAATAAATAAATCTATTACTCAGAATGCTAATTATTGTCCTTTTCCAGCTCCATAAACACGTAGCCCGATGGCGTCGTTGGCAAGAATGCAGTCTGCAAACAGCCTTTGATGCCAAACTGGCGCTAATCGGCCGCCTGGATCGCCTGAACAAGCCCCCTTGCATACCTACCTAGGCACTACAGCACTTACAGATTCCCCGCTCTCCGCGGGGCACTTCAGCGCTACGACATCACTGGGCTTGTAGCTCGTGATGAAAGCTCTCTAATCAATATCAGATGACTCTGCCTTGTCGCCTGCCTGCTGCTCGACTTAACACCTACACAACTTAAAACCGTATAATCCGTTGCCAGCTCCAAATCCACAACTCTATTCTGCTACCGACTACACTATATAAAGCTACCAGCTTGCTGAACTCGAACGAAATACAAGGCGTAACTTGCGACGGAACCGTTACTATGGACGAGCCGCTTCAGTTCGTGCCGTTTACCTCCGAGATCGAGCTGCCGTTCTACTCGGCGCTCTTCTCGTCCAAGCTAGAATATGACAAGCTCGACGACTCTGCGCGTAGATTGATGGGCGTATACGAGCCGCGCGATGTGGACCCAGATGCCAGCTCCAAGCTGCAGCTTCTCGGAAGTGCTTTGACAAACACCGAGTACGTCTTTCGCCGTGATTGTAATACTTGTTGGGTTTCCTAAACTAACATGTGTCGCACGTAGCCCCCCTCTCGGAAAAGCAAGAGCTGAAGGCGTCATTAAAAACGTTAATACCATCGAAGATTTTAGAAACACCGACAAGGCGGCGATGCTGAAGCTGGCGGGCAGGCAGATATGGGACGCCATTAACGATGGGAGCATATACTCTGTTCCCTCTCTACTCTCATCCTTCATCATATTATCATACGCCGACCTCAAAAAGTACAAATTCATATACTGGTGTGCGTTTCCTGCACTGCACTCAGATGCGCAGTGGAAGCGAGCCGGCCCTGTTCAGCGCCTTACTTCGGACGAGACCACGGCTCTTTTGGATCGAGTAGGCACGTGGCGGTACATTGTCGATAAGCGCGAGCACGGATTCTTCTTGGCCAAGAAGGTATGGGGGGAGAAGCCGGCCGATTTGAGCGAACACGACCCTGCACACAAGATTCCGTACAGATGGGAGGTGGCTTCACTACGTAATTTTGAAGATGGCTTTTTCGATGGAGTTGCAGATGAGGATCGTTTTGTCACGTTTCTAGATCCATCAACCTTCTCAGAAGGTCCATCATGGCCTTTACGCAATCTCTTGATCCTAATCCGCCACCGATTCCGCCTGTCCAAGATCAATATTCTCTGTTTCAGAGATGAATGGTCCCGACGACACGAGTCCAAAAGCATCATTATACCCATCAAGATGGACCCCATCGAAGATATGGAAATCAAGGAAATGCCCAAAGTTACTGGCTGGGAGCGAGCCAAGAATGGCAAGCTTCAAGCACAGGTGGCCAACCTGGGCGAGTACATGGATCCATCGCGACTGGCAGATTCATCAGTCGATTTGAATCTCAAGCTCATGAAGTGGCGACTTGCTCCAGATCTAAACCTCGACATAATCAAGGAAACAAAGTGCCTGCTTTTGGGTGCCGGAACCTTGGGAGGTTATGTCTCAAGAAATCTGATGGGATGGGGCGTAAGGAAAATCACATTCGTCGACTACGGCAGCGTATCCTTTTCAAACCCCGTTCGCCAGCCGCTATTTGAGTACGAAGACTGTCTCAACGGTGGCAAGCCAAAGGCGATCCAAGCCGCCGAAATGTTGAAGAGGATATATCCAGGGGTAGACGCTGAAGGACACTCCATGTCTGTGCCGATGCTGGGCCACGCTCTCGCCGACGAAGCGAAGACGAAAGCCGACTACGACAAGCTTGAAGCACTGATCAATGCCCACGATGTCATCTTCTTGCTGATGGACACTCGTGAGTCGCGATGGCTACCGACAGTAATGGGAAAAGCGGCTGGAAAAGTTGTCATGAATGCCGCTCTTGGATTTGACTCGTATGTCGTTATGCGGCACGGCGCCGAAGCGACTCACGAAGGCCAGGACACTCTTGGATGCTACTTTTGCAATGATGTTGTTGCTCCCGCTGATGTAAGTTTGACTCGAGACTCCTCCGTTTATGCTTCATAAACTGACCACCTTGTGTACGTATAGTCTATGAAAGATCAGACTCTTGATCAGCAGTGTACTGTAACCCGGCCCGGAGTTGCCGCCATTGCCTCTGCACTTTTGGTTGAGCTTCTCACAAGTCTCCTGCAGCATCCCTTGAGGCACAACGCCCCAGCTCCTCAGCCACGACCAGGAACCACTCTCGAGAGGGACCCCCCTGACCATCCACTCGGCCTCGTGCCGCATCAGATCAGAGGTTACGTATCTACCTTTCAGAATCTTGTCATCCGCGGCCAATCGTACGACAGCTGCAGCGCATGCAGCCCCAAGATTCTGGACGCCTTCCGCACTGACGGATGGAGCTTTGTCAAGAAAGCCCTTGAGGAAAAGAACTATGTTGCCGAACTGTCAGGTCTCGCCGAGGTCCAGCGCAGAGCTGAAGAGCTGAATGATCAGCTGGACTGGGACGACGAGGAGGCAGCTGAGGAAGAAGGCGACGGAGAGCTCCTCTAAGGCCTAATTAGCCAAAAAGACAATCGTTTTCACTCGTTCCACTCATTCGGGGGGAAAACTCTCCATGGTCGGTATTCAGTTTCAGTAGAAGGCACAGGCAATTGGAAATTCTTAGAATTGGCGCTCATGTTGGTTTTGCTTCTTTTTGTTTTCTATATATATACGACTTTCTGTGTGTCCAGTCTATAGTGGCTTGTTCTTACACTTTTGGCCTATCACAAAGAGTCGACGATTCTGTATGTACAGTATTATTGTATCTTCAAATTGGTTTGTCAATATAGCTACTCTGCTATGTCGAGTATGTGCTTGACTGCCCGTGTTTTGTATGTGTTAGACGCATGAAAGTCAGTCTAATTTTCATTCTTTTCGCATCTATTCTCAGCTTTTGCTGCTTTTGCTCGTCGCGCTCGTATAGATGATAACAGCGACGGCTCTGTCATCAAACAGATTGGTTCCGTGGTCTAGTTGGTTATGACATTTCGTTAACAGTTAGTTGACACCACCGAAAAGGTCCCCGGTTCGAGCCCGGGCGGAATCACCATCTTTTTGTTTTTGCGCTTTGTTCTTCTTGTCTAGAAGTGTGTTGATATCTGGGATTTTTTTTTTTTTTTTTTTTTTTTTAGATTATTTCGTCGTTTCCGTGAGCGTGTTTCGGGAAATTTGTCATCGCACGCGAAGCAAAGGGGCGCTCACGGACAGAGAGACACACCATGTCACTCACCATCAGCGTGCCGCTTCACTTTCATCCAAAAATGTCACTTATAGGAAACAGGACACGGGGTAAATTTTAAAACGTCAAAAAATATTTGTGATTAAGAGGTCGTCGGGTATCAATATATTATTATAGCCAAACCTGATGCCCCCGGCAAACAGGCCGCCCCTGCATCCAGCCGACAAAAAAAAGGAAGAGAGAAAAAGAAAAAAAAATCCAGAAAAGACCGTCGACTGTCATTACCACATCTATAAGCAGCCAGGTGGTGAGCTGGCGACCATTACGGCGGCACTCCTGCACAGAGGCATATCCATTCTAAAAGAGACGATGCCAGTCAAATCGATTAGATTAGAAGCTGACAGCCGATGCACGGCACTGAATGTAGCGTGGCGTCATGGATCTGAGCTGGCGGATACGAAGAGTGGTGTAAGTGCTCTAGTACTTCAATATGATGTACAGAGCGTGGATGATTCCGGGAATGTAACCTAAAGTGGCATCGTATTAGCCAATCCGACCAGCATGTGAAATCAGTCGTGACGTGATGTCTCGCGGTTAGTGTAACCGGGGGGGCGGTGAACAGGGTTTGTTTATACGTACCCAAGATTGTGAGCAGGATGTTGATCAAGAAGTCGGCACCGCAGCCTCGCTCGAGGAAGACTCCTACGGGCGGCAGGAGGATGGCAACAATGATCTTGGCGACGTCGCTTTGAGAGAAGACATTGTTAGTATCCAGATGCTGATCGACGTTGACTCCCTTCCCAAGTCGACCTCCCAGGCTCGCATCGCCATGTGGTGCTGTCACTGGGAGCTGCGAGCTGCGGGGGAACAACGTGGTGACGGAAGCCGCGGGACGTCATGCTCGAAGCTTACCTGGATGTGAAAGGCATGGTGAATAGTGTTGAAAGCTCGGAAGCTCAGAGACTTGGTATATACGATTGTTGTCGAGTCGTGGGAGAAAGAGGCCGCTATGTATAAGCGTGTTGCGTTGGTGTAGGAGGAAGAAGAAAGATTTCTAGTCGGGAATAAGCTGAAAGCAGTGAAGCACAAATGAAGAGGGAGATGGAAATGGCAAGAAGGTTTCTGCGAAGTCTTGTACTATTTATTGCCAGTCATCTTGGCGCTTTCCATGCATTCCGGCCAAGGAAAAGGAAGCAAAGCTGGTTTCCATGTTGCGTCATAGGCAGGTCAAGCCACAGAAGCATGAATAGAGGCAGGCCGCGGGCAGCTTAGCCCTAGCTGCTACGCTACAATTACATTAGATTACATGTCATGGCAACCCAGGCTTGAGGTAGCCCGATCTGATGGCATTCCAAGGTTGCTTGCTTGCCCGTGTCAGGGCTAATAAGGTACAAGCCACAACTAACCCCCCCGGAACAAGCTTGAGCGGCGGCGCATGGACGCAGAAGCGCTGCAAAGTATGCCATCATGGACCTTTGAATGTCTGTTTGTCCTTCTGGTAGCCGCCGTCGAATTGGAATCATACGTCATAAACGTTTGAAGCGTGCTGCAGACCCCTGCCTAGTGCTGCTTGGCCCATGCAAGCTTGGGTGTGATCAAGTGAAGGTGTTGCTTGCACCGCCACAGATGTGAAGCTCCCCCCCCCCGGCTGGTTGTGGAAAGTGACAGCGACAGTGACAGTGACAAGCAAGCGTTTCAGTGAAAGCTGCTGCTTGCGCCACAACAGATGCCGGGCCTGCATGACGCAAAAACAGCAGCAGCTGATTGATTGGCGCTGGTGCAATCAATCTGGCGATTCAAGTTTCAATATCAATCCCACCAGCCACACCTGCCAGGGATCAGAGAGATGCGCATTTCCGTGTGTGCCGATGCGGCTTGCCTCCATCACGTATGAGTGACCTCAGCTTCCCTCTGCGACCGATTCAACTTTTTGCAGACAACTAAGGTTGGCCCCTTTTCCAGAAGCGTTCAATGGGCTGGTTATCTAAATGTATCCCTTGGGCTTTTAGAATTTCCAACCTGCTGTTTCTGCCTTAGCACGAAGCACATCAGTTTTTTCTCCGCTGGGAACAACATGCGCGCAACTTGCTTCGGCTGAGCTGACTTTCGAAATGATGGAATGGAATTGGGTGGGAGGGACCTGGTTTGGATGGGGGATGGTAGCGCTTCTATCGCGAAATTTACTCCGGACTCCGTGCAAGCCGAGTACCGGAAAGTTTTTTGTGTCTCTTTTTTTTTGCGTTTTACTAATTGGGTTCCCAGAAAGCGCGGTGGCTGCCGTCGAGTGAGATGGTTGTAATCACCGGACCATACATGTGTCGTCTGTCAAGCTGAGTCAAGCTGAGAAAGGCGGAAGTGGCTGGCGTCGCTCCGTGAGAGCTGGGCTAGACTTGTTCTGCGGGCGCCCTCCCTATCCCCAGCGTCAAACTTCCGACCAAACGGCAGCTCCGTCGCAGAAAAAGAGGGTGTGTAATGATACAGCCATGTATTATTAAAGAAGAGGTAACGGCCAACTAGCTGCTTCGTGCCTCGTTGAAAACTAAACCGCTGCCGCTAGCAACCAAGGTAGGTTACTATAGTATTATTTCATTTTTCTCTATCCGTGTATAAGCCAATTAACCTCAAACTCAGAGATAGTTTCTCGTAATGCTTGTCTCAGCACACGATGGTAACTGTTTCCCCCAACGATATACGCTCCGTCTCCGTAACATGATGCCCAATGATAGATGCCCGATTCCACAGTGCCTCTCTCCCTCTCTACTCCTCCTTGGCGGCGGGCGCCGTTCCGCCGATTCGCTTGCCGTAAAACACAGTGCCTGACAACCAGCTGCCGAGGCATGAGCCCGCATATAGACCACAGACGATAGTCACAGGCCACCTCTGCCAGTCTCGGTCCCAGTCCAGGGGGATAGGCACGGCGCCCAACCATGCGCCAAGCACTGCGCCAAGCAGCCCGCCCAGCGTCTCGTCCAGAGGCGCAGACACGCCAGCCACCGCAACCAGGGCCTGGTTATCCACTCCGCGAGCGTAGATAATGGGGAAGACTCCAAGGAGGGCGAAGTGAGCGGCGCAGAGGAACGTTTCCAGAAAGTGGTCTAGGAGCGGCGCGCCGAAGAGGATGAAGAGGGCGTGGATAACGGGGGTCGTAATCGTAGTGAGGACCAAGGCGAGGAGAGCAGTCTAGACGTATCAATGTTAGCATAATCTTCATTTCTACTCCATACTACAATCAATCTTCTTCAATTGGGTGTTGGGTGGGAAAAATGCGCACCACCAAGGAGCTCGTTCCGGCCGCCTCCGGCTTCTTCTTCTCGCCAGGACGGGGCTTCTTGACCCCCTTTGCCTGCTGGGAACCCGCTGCTGGCAGGCACAGCACCACATATGCCACCTGGACAACCGCCACGACAGGCACGGCGGACTGCAGCGTCAGGGCTGGCTGGGCCACCAGCTCGTTGAACTGAGCTGCCAGCAGCCCCAGCAGGACAGCTACCCGGCCGAAAGAGACGCCCTTGGACAAGGCATTGTTGAACGTCGGGACGGCGGCAATGGTAGCTTTCGGCTTGCTGTCGGTGGCCTGGGCCGAGGCGTCCTTTGCCAGTGCTGACGACATGGTGATGGGGTCTACCAGCGGCATTATCGTGGTCTCTGGTGACTGAGCTGTTTGGGAGATGGAAGCTGTTCCGAGGCAAGGTTTGGTAAAGTCGCGATCACGTGACTGTGTACTTGAGCTGCGTCTTTCACTGACTCGCTCACAGCAACCACCAAGATGAATTCGAAATACTCACAATTTTTTGAAAGAAGAAAGGAAATTGAACAGATACATGTTATCAAACTTTTCATCCATCATTTACGAAGCCATGGATTGAGAGTACGCTATTTTCCAATGATAAGATTCACCAACTTCTCACTTAATCCCCTCTCTCCATTACCTGCACCCACATATCTGAGATGGTAAACAATCCAAGGTTGTTCAATGCCGTCCACGGCTTGGTCGGGTTGATCAGGGCAAGGTCAAAATTACGAAGGAGCTATTAAACCAGTGTCAACGCAACTCGATGTGCGACTAAATATCACCTTTGCCTCTCTTCGCCAACAAGACGTACCTCGAATACAACCTTCTCAAGCTCCATCCGAGCGACATCCTTGCCTAAGCACTGCCATTTTCCATAGCCAAAAACCAATTCGTTTGTACGAAGCATGGTGGCAAGCTTGTCTTTATCCTCTTCGAACCAGCGTTCTGGACGAAAGGCCTTGGCGTCGTCGCCATAAATCTCAGTGCTGCGGTGCATTGCGAGCGCAGAATATCCGATGTAAGCGCCTCCAGGTAAGAATACGTCCTTGCCATCGACATTGACGGTGTCTCCTCCGGGTGGTACATCTCGTGAGAAGATGTTTGCGACCGGGGGCCAGACTCGCATGGCTTCACGGATGGTGGCCTGCAGATACGGAAGCTGCTTTGCCTCGGCGTGAGTGATGAAGCCGTCCTGGGGCGTTTTGCCATTTTGAACGGCTTCATCGATTTCTTTCTGTAGTTTGGCGTATACTCGAGGATTCGTTATGACATGAAGCAAAGTACATCGGATCCCGCTTGCAGTGGTATCGGAGCCGGCAACGATCTGCTCGAGAGCCTCAGAGCGCAGGTCGTCGCCTATTACGCCGTGACGGATAAACGATGCCAGCATGTCTGATTTCTTATCTGTGGGATTCTGGAGCCGCTCGTCGACATGGCGGAAGCACGCTGCCATCAGCCTGCCGAAGCCCTTGCTGTCCTCTGCCGACGGGGCTACGAAACGACCGATGAAGGGGGCCTGCGCGATCCAGCTGAAGCCCAGAGCAGCCGCGAAGTTGCCTATACGGAGTCCTTCCTCGCTAGACTGGAGCAAATCCTCTACGTCGGCATCTCTTTGCAGCATGCCGAATGTCTTGCCCGTTCCCACGGCGCTGATGACGTCCAGGGTGAAGAATTGGACTTTTCTTGCTAAATCCATGGGCACAATCTTGGCAGTTGTGGAAATGTACTTGGATTTTACCAGGTTGAGGAAATCCCGAAGATGCTGGTCAATGGAATCTTCGATATCGAGGTTCTCTCTTCCAGAGTACTTGCAATTGCGTGATGATTAGTAAAAGTCTTGACTTTCCAACAGAAGTACGACGACAACATACACCCGGAGCCAGTTGCTTTCTTCTATAGTCATGCTTTGCGTTGTCGGACTGCGAAAAGACGTTGTCACGTCGGTACTCAATGCGGCAAGCTGAATAGTACCACTCGGAGCGCTTATATCCAGGCGAGTTGTTTACATGAGTCCACACGTCCGGAGACGAGGTGACCAAGATATTTGGTGCAACCCTTGCTATTGTGCCTGTCATTCATCATATTATAATAGCAATTAGCAAATATCTAATGCGTCAAACCAGACCGGGCTTGCCATCTTCTGAAGCAAGGGAGGGGGTTCAATGTCGAACCATATTTCTCACAGACTTCGCCATAAAACTCATGGCATCTCTGTTGAAGCAAAGCCTTTCTATGAGGCCAATTGGTGAAGTTGGTCAAAAAGGGGCCGGGAAAGGACCTCAGTCTCGCCCAGGCAGTGACTCTCCCTGCGATGAAGTATGCGAGGAGGCTGCCAACGAATAGGACGAGGTATCCTGGAATTCCGGCAAATCTGTCCATCATCACGCATTTACATGCAGAGTAGAGCCTGTGATATGAATAATAGATGATTCCGAAAAGATTTCAGATTTTTCAACAAATCTTTAAACCGCCGTTCTATGCTCTACTGCAAGCGGCAGCTAACAGCAGTTACACTGTGGAGCGGAGCAAAGATGGGGAAGTGCCCGCCGCTAGACTCTTCGCGGGGCGGCCCGAACCTGGTCTTTGAATATAGCGTAGAAAAAGGCGAATTCAAGAAAGAAACTATGAGCGTAGTTTATCCTTCAGAAGTTGTGGAAAGAGGGGAGGAAAGGAAGTGAAATAGCAGAGTGAGGAGGCGTACATGTGCTCACAGTGCTCTGTAAGACTACAAGCTAGGCGTCACGACGTCTTCCCCGGACTGTGTAGCGCTAGAGTAAGCACCTTGTCGACGCTACTGCACAGTTGCTTTACCCTTTCCATCGTAAAGAGGGACAGTAATTGTGATCTGTTGTATCGGTACCACCCGGGGTTAGTCACGAAGAGGGGATGCTACGATGCTGGATGGCTCTGTGCGTTGAAGATGCGGCTAGATGACTGCTTGGTAGTGGTGGGAACAGGGTTCGGACTATCCATGTTGCTGCTTTTTACAGAAATGTGAGCTTATTGATTTTAGACTATTGTTTCAGCGTGCATGAGCTGAAGATTTACATGACATGGATGTTGGATTACATGTATGCATGTCCCATCTCCCCTGAACGCTTGGCCGTTGGGAATGAGCACATTGAGATTTGGTTGCGGCGCTTGGTATGCTATACGCGAGGCCATGGAGACAGATAAGAGGCTCAATAGTATTTTTCTACTATAATAATATACGCATAATTTCCAAAAGCTGGTCAACGAGACGCCTTGTGGTGTATCAAAGCAGTGGTAATACACCCATGCAGGAATAATTGAGAGAGCACACGAATATTCAAGGTAATGTACATGGGCTCGAGCTACCAGAAGGGCGAAGAAATCAATCAATCAATCAATCAATCATCCGCTCCAAAATTGTATCGCATAAAACAGATTCCATGATACAGGGCAAGCAATACACGCAATGTGACAATGCCGTCAAGTCATGCCGCCACCCGCCCTGTTGGCCACGTGGAAAGGTGACATGAACGCTTCCTTGACAGGCATAGCCTCAGGTGACAGCTCTTAAATCTTGTGCAAGGGTTCGAGTGCTTTTGTCAAAATTCTCAGAATGAACGTTAAAGAAAAAAAAGAAAAAAAGACAGAAGGGAAGCAAAACGCTGTGGGGGTAGCCAAATCAAAATGCCAGAAAAAAACAAAAAGAGACCCAAAAAATATATACAACGAAGATGAACAAAACTGCTCTCTGGGCTATGGCTTTCGTGAAAAGACATTTGTACTACATCCATGCATTAGCAATTGAGGAAGACCTGATTATTAGAAAAAAAAAAAAAAAAAAAAAAGGCACATACCATATGTAGTACGGTCTATTCCTGTGGTTGTGCAACGCTTTGCGAAATTCCGAGACAAGGATTTGAATCTCAATGTAGCCCCAGCCCATAATCTCCTTGAGCAAAAACAGCGCAAACCCTTCCAGGCTCTCGTCCAGAAAGGCAAGACTGTACGCCCCAATCTGCTTCATGGTGGGATCGCTGCTCCATGCGCCAATGGGCACGGCGTAGTTTTTTTCAACAACGTCGACGTAGCCCGCCGCCTGCATCAGCTTGCGCATCTGGCCGTCCTCGCCGACGCGCAGCGGCTTGCCCATGCGCTCCGAGGCCTCGAAGAAGACGTTTGCCCAGCGCTTGTAGATGTGCTTTGGGTCGTCGCGGATCTCGGGCACGTCGCTCAGCACCATGATGTTGTACTCAAAGTTCTCGACCCAGCCGCCCGGGATGGTGGCGCGGAAGGCCTGCTGGTAGAGCGCGCCCCAGTCGCTGATGCAGCCGTAGAGGCCGCGGATGTGGATGTAGTCGAAGGACTCGGGCGCATACGTCCACTCGAGCTGCGCGTCTTCGATGTGGAACATGCAGTTTGGCGGCACCCACATGGGCTGGATGGGGCTGATGTCGGTGCCGATGATCTCGGCGGACGGGTAGGCGTCGGACATGTCGATGGCCCAGATGCCGGTGCCGGTGCCGACGTCGAGGACTCTGGTGGGCGGCTTGGAGAGCGGCGCCTCGAACAGCCTGTCGCCGAGGACCATGGTGATGAAGTGGTGCGAGATGTCGAGGCCATCGTTCTGCCGCTCGTCGTTGGGGGCCCAGTACTGCGTCGTCTTGGAGTTTTGGTATGTGCGCCCGTGGATGTTGCGGTAGTCGTATATGCTGTCGGTTAGAGAGGCGGTTGATGAGGCGCTGCAGAATTTGGTCAGTATTAATATGCCTCGGCGCATGGAATGTATATCGCGCAGTGCTTGGGTCGACCTACTTGTCATCCTCGTCACTGTCTACGCCAGAGTCACCCTCATTGTCATGCTCCTCCTGGTATTGTGCGCCCGTTAGTATACGTTGGAAAATAGAGAAGAAATTCACCATATTTTCGCAGCCGCAACGTCAGTTTGTCAAACATACAAATGGGATTTCTGTCGTGGGCACCTCGCCCGGTGCCGCTGCTGACGGCTGCGCGGCATCAGGAGATGTCGGCGCTGGTGGTGATTTGGTGGAGGAGCCGCCTCGTGGGCTTTTTTCGGGGGACTTTGGACTGGCCATTGCGGTCGCGCGACTGCAGGTGATGGACGACGTTGGCGCCAATGGCAGAATTCGCTGAGTCGTCTACTCTTTCGCCAGAGAGATCCGCGCATGCGCATTAATAACGCCGGCAAAAGACGGTTATCTCCCCTCGCGCAAGAAAATTGTCCGTATGCGACTGTTTGGCGGTTGCTGGTTGTTTGTCACTGCGCACAAGCAGGCTGGGGGGCTCAGTTAGCAGCCTTTTAGCGCAGGGAGCTGCCGTCAATCCTGGCATCTTCCCTGAGGCCAGCTGAGAACTAAGCTTGGAAGACGACTATGGACGCAATTTGCCTAGTTGAGGCGTCCAAGGGTCCTGTTTTGGATGCCAAGTCCACATGCAGGTTTGGCAGTCTTCGATTAGCAGTCGGGATTTGTCTTCTAGAAAGATGGCCATAGCACCCAATGATCTCGGTTCATGTCTACATGTACTCGAGAGCCAACGCTGGCTGCTGTTTGTTTGTGCTTACGGCCGGTCAGAGGGACAGAAAGACAGTGCGAATGTGCTTATGTTTGAATGCCAAGCCGCCATGCTGCATTGTTTATAGCATTCGTAATCTTGACCTGCCTTGGCCATGAATCCCTATCGTGGTGGAGTTTTTCAATGCTACGAACGCGTGGTGCCTAGTAGATATGCGGGGGACCAGCCCAAACAGGAAATAGAAGCAGGATGTCAGTTGAGGAGCAGAACGGGATACAGTACAGAACACGGTGTGGCAATAGGTTGCGATAACGACTACCAAGTATATAAGAGGAGTCTTTTATATCTCTTTCGCTTCATGTTGACAGATTTATTTTACACTTCTTCAGAGAAGAGATGCTCGCTCAGGCTATCATTGGCCGGCCAATCCCAGCATTAGCTACTCAAATCATGGTCAGAAAGTGTATGTACCAGCTACCAATTTCTCTTAATTATAGTCCTCATATACTGTTTCTCAAATTACCGTATTCTTTGACCTGAAGAATAGCAAATAAATTTTCAGCTCTACAGACCTAATACCTGTCATGTTACGACAACAAATGTTTGCTCTGAATGTGCGGAGGATCGTATACCCTGTATTATGCTGCGGGGAGACATGAGAGCGTGTTAGCTCGCCTGCAGTGTTTGCCTCTGTGAATCAGCCAGACAATTGTCTTTCTCAACCTTACTGAATGACTGGTATGTATAAGTCATAGTTAAGGTATGAGAGCAGTAGCACTGCTGTAGTCACATTAGTAAGAAAAGCTGGAAGAAGCTGTACGAACCTTCTTGGAACTATACTACCTACCTAGGTAGTATTGAAAAACATCGAGCACCATTCAGCAGCACTGCCTAGAAGATTACAACAAATAGACTATGAGGGCGGGGAGATAAGGAGAAGAAGAAGAATAATCTGAAAATCAAAAAGTAGATGTTAAAGTAGCCAGGTAGTGTCATCTTTTTTTTGGGTTACCTTGCAATTGTATTCCCACTGTACTTGTAGTCCTAGCTTACTGTCGCTCTCAAATCCATACCGAGAGTCCTCCGTGAGCTGTCAATCTGAATCTGTTCCTGCAAAGCATTGATGATATCATATATTTCTCAAGATTACGAAGTCATTCAAACATCTTGAAATAAAGCAGAGCTGGGTTTTGAGCCACGTGCCCAGACGCAAATCGACCCGAGGAAACGAGATCGGTGCTGGCCGACCCTCATGTCCGGAGCGGTAGTCGGGCAGTGCGCCGCTGCGGCTGGAACCGGACGCTGAGCTGATGCCGCAGTCGCCGCAAAACACTAACAGTGAAGGTTCTCTTAGACAAATCAATCCGCTTTGTTCTCTTCGCAATGTTCTAGCAGTCAATAGAAACGATGCGGCATCGCCTGATGACTCCTTTGTATGGAACTGAGCATGTTTGAGCCGGAATGTGCGTTGTGGCAGCAACGGCGATGAAAAGTCTGTTGTGTTTTTCATGGTTTGCCCAGATCTTTGGGATAGCGCCATCTACATGTACACCAGATAGATGCATCTGAGTTTCTGGCCTGCTAGCAGAATCGCTTTGGATGGTCTCTTCTCATGCAAGGACAGCACACCGCGCACCATCAAAGCCCGTGGGATCTCTGCGATCCGAATAGTAATCGTCTTGCCGTGATTTGACGTCGCAAGAGATTTCCCCAGATTACGTAGCAGAAGCACAAGGGCAAACCTGGCCACTCAGAGATGCGGCCGCTGAAAGAGTGGTATGATAATTCTGCAACATCGCCTTCTCCGGGCGCGAAACCTAAGGTAAACCAGCTCATAATAGGAAACTGCAGGAAGCGTAGGCTATTATGGGTTCCAGGATATTCCGCATTTGGGATGAACCTGGGCGTCAATCATGCGGCGGCTCTTGTCTCCACGCCGCCCGAACTTCTGGATCTTCCATTACATGTGCCGTGCTATTACTGTACCTCTCAGCAAAAAAAAGAAGTCGTAAACGCCAGACGACCACCCCCTCTCCGGCATCCTCCGGAGTGGCACCACCGACCGGGGTGTTGCTGTTGGCCGCTTATTCCCACAAGCTCCCAGGTCCCCAGAGCCGAGCCCGAAAGCCGTTAGGTCGTGGGTAAGGCTGGCCAATCGCCAGGCGGCGGCTTCGTAACAGTGACAGTAGTATGTCCTGACAGTGGTGTGATATTCTCCCAGCTAGATGTGCGGCATCTGCCCACAATCTGGCGGCAAGGGAGGTCTCACGAGAGCGGAAGCAGCGCCAAAATTGACATCATGAGGGTGGATGGGGGAGAGGAAAAAAAAAAAATGAAAAATCAAATTTCGGATGGTGGCTGCGCCGCATGGCGTGCGGCGACTTGCGATGGATTGCTGGGATACATAATGTTCGGGTTGGAAGCCTCGAAGTTTGCTTTTTTTTGGTTCATCATCACAACATCTACAAAACAAAAACATCATCCACAGAGGATCACCTCTCTACTCAATTCTTGTTTTATATTCTACAAACATCTCTGCTCAATCATATATACCGAGTATAATATCTTCAAGACTCGAAATCGAATTTGATTGCATCTCCAATCTCTTCAACTTACACACAACACAAAAAAACACATCTTTCAAACAATTCTCAACATGTCTGCCGCCGTCCTCACTCGTACTGCAGCCAAGACCGTCGCTCGCAGACCTGTTTCGTTCATCATGCAAATTCGAAGCATGGGCCGCGCTTTTGAGCACGCCCCTTATGAGCGGGTTCCAGTCACCGTGAAGCCTGCAGCTCCTGACTATGTCAAGGAGGTTAGCTTTGTCTTGGGCAAGATCGTCACGTAAGCTACTCTTGATAAAGAAACGTGGTATTTCAAAAGGGGTTTTCTTTTACTAACATTCTTCTTTTCTGCAGCTATGTTCCTACCTTTGGCCTGTTGCTGGGCTGGCCTGCTCTTGCTAAGTGGGCTGTTGACGGACACGTCTAAACGAGCTTCAAACATTGTTAGCGGGCGATGGCATAGAACGGGACTGAAAAATTAGATTTGTCCATCTTTTGACTGTATATATATCTCGGGCGTTTAGGTGGACTTGGATACAACGCATATTTCGGCGCAACACGCATTTAAATAATGGAATTCCTTATGTTGATTCATGCTAAAGTGTCATTTTCAATAATTGTGATTTTTCTCATGTATGAATAACTTATTTCAACATTCTAGGATAACAAACATCTTCTGCTCGCCTTCGCTCATTGTTTTGCCTTTTTCTTTGGTTTCAAATACATCATATGAGAGTAAGTAGCCACTGTCCTTAGGTCTAGGGATGTTTGCTGATACCTTTTTAGAGAATGATTGAAGCGTATTGTGCAGACCTGGATAATGTTATGGCAGTAGGTAAACTCCATTATGCATTCAGCAGAGCTCACGCCCTCACCTGATGATACTAGTCATACTGGTAGATTTATTATACGTGGATTTCGAGCTTCAGGTATAGCTAATACATAGGTACAAAAGACACATTCGATTGCGACTTTGACTACCTGTCCAATGACATAGTACCGATAGACCCTGAACTTGTGGATGGTACGTCTGTAGTTGTTAGTGACGATATACCGCAGGCTCCCTTACGCGTCCGCTCTCTCTGAAGGTATCACACGAAGAGGACCTCTGTCATCCAATTACAGCGTCCAAACGCAGTCGAGCAACGTCGATTTGCCTATTCCCGAGGGACCAGCGATAGCAGTAGTCTTGCCCGCGGGAAATTCTAGGTCCAGATTATCGAATAATACTTTTCCGCCAAAGTTGATCTTGACGAGGTTAAAAACCACATTGCGTTGGTCCCAAAGCATATTCGTCGGCAGCACTGCGGTCAAAGTCATTAATGATGTTACCACTGGTCTTCGTTTACCGAGGACAGGGGAGGCCTTGCTTCCATTCGCACCTCAAAGCACACCGACTTGGTATACAGCGGCATCACCACCAGTCATGGCCAGCCTTGCCATCACTGACCCAAATATGTAAACTGCGATAATGACTTGTTTTTTTTTTAATACGCCTTTTCTTAGTGTTATATGCTAAAGAACATATTCATCGAAATGTTTTATCCAAAACAACCCAATCGAGCCGTCTTTTTCTTTGTTTATCCCCCTCATTTCCGTGTTTCTGCATAATTGTTGATTCCATGTTCTTGTTCAACCCTCTTTTGTCATTTCTCAGACGGCTTCAACCTCGCAACTGATTCTTGTCTGCCCCTTTTCTGCCAACCCCTTTTTTCGCCAACACTTTTCAGCGTTAATCAATCTCTTTTCAACCTCTTTTCTGCCAGCCGCTATTTTCCTCCATCACTTCTTTTCTCGACTCATTTCGCTTCCCAGCCACTATTTTTTTTTTAAATCTTCCACCCCTCCACCCCCATTCCCCCTTCCAACTTCTCTTTCCATGCTCCTTTTCGCGTGAGACATCTCACGCCTTGAGAATCTTGACAAGCTCAGCAACGATGGCATCTCCCGCTTCTGCGGTGTTCGTGTTGCCGCCCATGTCCTTGGTTCTTAGACCGCCGTCAATGGCAGCGCGGACCGCGTCCTCGACGATTTTAGCCTCGTGGGCGAGGTTCAGAGAGTACCGGAACATCATGGCAACGGAAAGGATGGTGCCAATGGGATTCTAGCAACGATGTCAGCTCTGTACTTGCAGCGAATAGATTATAATCGCCCGAAACGGGGTCTTGACGTACGACAATCCCTTTCCCTGATATGTCCGGCGCACTCCCTGTCATCTACGTTAGTGACTGAAGTCTACAAAAGGGCTCGAGTGGAGAATAGGAGTCTCACCATGAATCGGTTCATAGATGCCAGGCACTTTGGAGCCCGAGCTCGGAATCCCGCAGAGACTCGCGCTCGGGAGGAGCCCTATGCTTCCAGCTATGGCGCTCGCCTCGTCGCTGAGAATATCCCCTGAAACTCGTTAGCTAAACCGCCTTCGAGGTGGACGAAAGGCTTTGCTCACCTGCCAAGTTGGGCGCTATCATAACGCCATTCAGCTGCGTCGGTTTCTTAACCATGATCATGGCCGCGCTGTCAATAAGCTGATGCTCGACCTTTAGATCGGGGAACTCGTTTTTGTAGACCTCGTCAACCACAGAACGCCAGAGTCTGCTTGTCGCCAGCACGTTCGCCTTGTCCAGCGAGATGACCCGCGACTCTCCCCTAGTCCTGGCTAGGTGGCCGCCCAGCCGTGCGATACGCTCGACTTCTGGTTTCGTGTAAACAGTTGTGTCGAATGCATTATGCCCATCGTACTCTTTTCGCTCTCCAAAATACAGGCCTGAGGTTAACTCTCGGACCAACATCATGTCGAGGCCGCGGCAGAGGGACTCCTTTATGGGGGAGGACTCGACAAGGGCGTCGGAGGCGAAGAAGCAGGGACGGAGGTTTCCATAGGCGCACATATCACTGCGTAGCTTCAGGAGGCCCTGCTCCGGGCGGACGGCGCCGGTGCCCCATTTGGGGCCACCAATGGCGCCGAGGAGCACGGCGTCTGAGGCTTTGGCGGCGGCGAGGGCCTCGTCTGTGAGGGGGGTGCCGGTCTGGTCGATGGAGCACTGGGGAGAAACGCCGAGGTTAGCAAGAGACTTCTCTCGTGGATGTCTTTGGGCCCGTGTAATCCGTCGTCGGGGGACGACTTACTCCTCCGAGCAGGTGGTCCTGCAGATTGAATTTGCCAGCAGTCGGGCTTAGCTCCTCGACCGTCTTGATAACCTGAATATTGCGTCAGACGTGCTCAACTGCAGGTCGCAAATACCAGACTCGTACCTTGATTGCCTCAGCAATGACCTGTCAAATAACCAAAGTCAGCCTCTCACCGTCCAGAGCCGAGGGTGGGAAAGCTCGGCAGTAGCTACATACCTCTGGGCCGCAGTGGTCGCCCGCAAAAACAACAATGTTGTGTTCCGCCATGATGTAATACTTGTATGACGAAGTTCGTCCAAAGAAGGGTCGGTCTCGTGTGACGAACCACGGGAATGAGTTGAAGACGAGAGATAACGTAGGAACGGAGATTGCAAAAAGAATTGAAGAGGGAATTGAAAAATATATTTGACAAGATGTATGGTAGAGCGAAGTTGGGGACGGTTTGTTCGTCCGATACGGCAAGCTCTCGCTGGCAGCGCACCTTGCCCCGCCTCTGCCAATTTGGAGGAGATACCTCCCCCACCTGCCGAGATCGGAGAGGGAGGAATTTCTTCCAGATTCGGTCGGCGAGCGTCACCTCTCACAGCCTTAACCCGCTTTACAGCCTACAAGGATGACAATTATTGCATGCAGTACAAGTCCTCCTCTCAGTGAAAGCTTTGATTGGCTCACACTAGTAGTCGCATCTACCATCGTCGCACTATTCCTCATACTAATCCTCGTGTAGTACATCACCTAGAAAGTCAACAAAAACATCATCGTAAACAGCATCAACATCATCACATCAGCCCTTTAAAGAGGCTGCCGGCTGCTGCTGCTACTATTGCTGCTGCTGCTGATGCCCTTATTTTTTTCTTCCTTCAACAATGCCCTTCTATAACAACACCTCCCTTATCCATCACGACTGATATCTACGAAGCCCCCTGCTATCGTCAGCAGTCTCAACCTTCTATTGGGCATACATAAGGATCAAAGAGGAAGATTCTGACATGTTGAGTCACCCAGCAACAACTCATTTAGCAGCAGTGATAGCGGCCGCAGCCGCAGCCGCAGCCCTCTTCCCAAGGCCACAGATCAGGGCAAACGCCCTAGAGCCCTGTTACAGACGATCGATCCCAATGAGCAGCCAACAAAAGGGACTAGCCAGGACGATCGAATTCGTATACTAGCGCTAAGGGACTACCTATACAGACCTAATGCATGAGTGACTTCAAAGTGCGGAATATGAGCGATATGTGCATCCGCAACGCAGGCAGCGAAATGACAACGCCATGAATTTGAAGAAAATACGTAGTCTTTGATATGGCTATGGATTCGACGGCCTCGTCTCTGACCAATCGAGGTACAGCTTCCGCTCCGAGAACCGCCAAACATTGTCCGTCTCCTTCTTCAAGACATCCTGGTACCGCAAACTTGCCACATACATCTGTCGGTGGCCGTCCTTCTCAGACAAGTGATATGCAATGCAATATGTTTCTCCAAAAGCAGTCCTGCCGTCCGGTCCGATGTCGATGGTGCTTTGTCCATTGAAGTGCGTTGTGTGGGCGTAGCCGCGCAGAAACTCAAAGACTGGTCGCAAATCCTCTCGTTTCTCGACGACTTGCGAGGGCGACGTTCCTTCTCCTTGCATGTATACTGAGAACTTGGTTTTATCGGTGAAGAGGGACATTTGCTCGTCTGGCAGGCGGCGATCAGCACAGTGAGCATATCGATCAATGACTTGACGGATGGCAATTCGATCCCGCGCTTCCTCGGAGCTTAAAGAGAGATTTGCTGCCATGGTGAAAATTAGTTAATGGGGAAAATGACGAACAAGAGCAATGAATTGATATCGTATTTCAGTTCAAATGATGGGAACTGCTGTCAGGTTCTTAAATGCTGCCGTAGTGATCATCCGTATTGTGGTTCGCAAATCTTGAAAGAGAGCCTTTGGCTCTGCATGCAGATAACATAAGCTCTTAGCATATCCAAACGATGGCTTTCTGCAGGCATTTTCCAAATTCATGAGCGGCGATTATCTCATCATTTACTGAATTGATCATGATGTGGTCATCAAGCAATGCTGCTTGGGTAAGTCATTGCCGACGAAGTTGCACTAGCTCTTAATAATTTTTTTTTTAGAAAATTATCCCGATATGATAGACGATGTGTCATTCGAATGTTTTTGAATGCTTAGATAAGGCTATGGCAGCTGGACTCAGTCTTATTGATTGACCGACATATTCATAGACGGTTGAGCAGGGCTGCTGCGCGCTTTACATGAGCACTTGATGTAAGCGACCTCAGTGTCAAGAATTCAAACTTCAATTATACTACCTTGAGTAAGTGCTTACGTTGAATGTAAACGAACTATTCTTATGAGAATCAGAATTACTTGAATACATACTTTACGAGACTATAGCTTGATGAGACCTGTAGAGCACGGCGATTCCTAATGATGCAGGTGCTTGTTGTAGTGCTGCCTAGGTAGAGCTGGATTGTAGCCTGACAGCCGCTAAAATACAGGCGCTATGGAGAGGCTTAGGCAGTAGAGACCATGACATCGCAACCTGAATCTCGGAAGCGTCACGTGGATCCGCTTTTGGCCATCTCGCGTTATCGCTACGCGCTTCTTCGCCGGCTTCTTGTGGCATTTTTGCCGTTTCGGCTTCAAAAATGGCAAGGAATGTCGTTGAGATATCAGACGATGAAGAAACGGACTCCCCTTCCGAGGATGGGTTCGAGGGATCGGCCAAACCGCCTCCTCCAAAAAGGAAAATCGAACCCGAGGTAACGGAAAGGGTTCAGTGGACCGAGCCCGACTTGACGGAAAAGGTTCAGTGGACGGACGAGTCAGACAATCTGCCCCCCAAGCCAAAGAAACGGAAGACAAAACGCAAATCCATCAGGAAAAAGAAGGATGAAAAGGATAGCCGGAGAAATGGCCGTGCAGAGGATGATTCGGAGGACTTGGATCTCCCCGACTACTTGATTGAGCGGAGGAGAGATTTTGACGCCAAGAGGAAAGTATATCATGAATCAGCACTGATGCTGCCGCCTGATTACACTGATATCGAATTCGATGAGTCAAAGAGGCTTAGTGAGCTGAAAGAGAGGCCAGATTTTGATCCAAGAAGTGGCATCAAACCGTCTCGGCCGTACAGAGATATCGAGCTTCCTCAGTCAGGCGGTCTTATCCCAGCATCAATTGCGCAATATCTGCGTGATTATCAGGTTGACGGCGTTCGGTTTTTGCATAAGAAATTTGTATACCAAGAGGGAGGCATACTGGGAGACGACATGGGCCTCGGCAAGACAGTTCAAGTCGCCGCTTTCCTAACAACTGCTTTTGGGAAAACCGGTGATGAACGAGATGGAAAGCGTCTGAGGCAAATGCGGCTATTTGGCGACCGGTGGTATCCCAAGATACTCATCGTCTGCCCCGGATCTCTTATTATGAATTGGAGAAACGAGCTGAATCGATGGGGGTGGTGGCATGTGGACGTGTTCCACGGCGCAAACAAGGACGATGTACTCGGCGCAGCTCGGGCAGGCATGCTGGAAATTATGATTACAACATATGAGACTTACAAAAACTCTCGCAGCTCCATCAATATGGTGCAGTGGGATGCCATAATCGCAGACGAATGCCATCGACTCAAAGACCGCTATTCGGAGACTACTAAAGCAATGCAAGAAGTCAATGCGCTTTGTCGGATTGGTTTGACGGGAACCGCTATTCAAAACAAATATGAGGAGCTCTGGACATTACTGGATTGGACCAACCCGGGCCATTTTGGCGCCAAGGCGGAATGGTCAAATGCCATCACAAAACCTTTGACTGTCGGCCAGTCCCATGAGGCAACAGTTGCGCAACTAAGCCTCGCAAGGCAGACGGCGAAGAAATTGGTTCAAAACCTCCTCCCTCGATACTTTTTGCGCCGCATGAAGTCTCTGATTGCAGATCAGCTGCCGAAGAAGACTGATCGAGTGGTCTTCTGTCCTCTTACAGATTTACAGCTGGAAGCATACGAAAACTTCCTTGGCAGTGCAGAAGTAGCTATTATACGGACTGCCTCAGAAGACTGCGACTGCGGGAGTGGAGGCAAGAAGGGCTGGTGCTGTAACGAATTTCTCCCAAACGGCAGACGCTGGCAAAGCGCTGTCTTCCCCAGTATCATTGTTCTACAAAAGCTGGCCAACCATCTCACTCTGCTGGTACCATTGACGACTGATTTGGACGAGAAACATAAGTCAGAGCTGAGGACACTACAGACTTGCATGCCTGACACATGGAGTGTGCTCTATGAGAAGCGAGATCGGATTAGTAATCTGGTCAATCCGGAGTTTTGCGGCAAGTGGAAAATCCTCAAGAAACTGCTCAAGTTTTGGCATGGAGGCGGAAACAAGGTTCTGGTATTTTCTCATAGCGTGCGATTACTTCGCATATTGCAGCATCTCTTCACCAACACGAGCTACACTGTGAGCTATCTAGATGGCTCCTTGAGCTACGAAGCGCGCCAAGATGTGGTTGACACGTTTAATTCGGATCCCACTCAGTTTGTGTTTCTTATATCAACCAAGGCTGGTGGAGTCGGGCTAAACATCACCTCAGCCAACAAGGTCGTCATCATTGATCCTCACTGGAATCCTGCATATGACCTACAGGCCCAGGATCGAGCTTATCGGATAGGCCAGACACGAGATGTTGAAGTTTTCAGACTCATCTCTGTTGGAACGATTGAAGAAATTGTCTATGCTCGCCAAATCTATAAGCAGCAGCAAGCAAATATTGGATATACCGCCTCGTCTGAGCGACGGTATTTCCGCGGCGTTCAGCAAGATACTGAACGAAAAGGCGAGATTTTTGGACTCAAAAACATCTTCACCCACCATAGCGACATGGGACTGCTCCGCGACATTGTCAACAAGACGAATATTGCTGAAGCCAAAGCTGGGGTACATTTGGCTGATGTCAACATAGAAGAGGCTGCGAAAGATGGGGAAGACTTGGGTGTCGTCAAACGCGAAGAAGACGGCGATTCCGAAGATGGAGGCCTAAGTCAGCTGGCAGAAATGTTGACCTCTAGTGACAAGCAAAAAGCAACTGGCTCTAAGAAAGTCAACCGCCCCAAAAGTGACGCTGTGCAGGCCATCCTTGCGGCAGCTGGTGTAGAATACACGCATGACAATTCTGAGGTGGTTGGATCTTCCAAGGTAGAGGAGCAGCTTTCACGGCAGGCAGCTGAGAGATTATTTGATGAGGGAGATCTTGCTGGTCAAGCTACTTTATTTGTCGATAGCGATCTGGATGAAGGTGATGGGATGCACAGCAAGTTTAAACCGCCTGAAGACGTTTGCTTGCGGCAATTTTGTGAGATGGCTAGGGAGTTTGGCTTCGCCAATGCTACGGATTTTGCTCTTATTGTGGAAAGTTGGACAACAGAAACGCGAAGGAACTGCTTGAATTCGTTCTACAAGAGACGCGAGGCTAAGCTGGAAAAAGAGGGTATCGTCAACCGCGAAGAGTCGCCGGCAGACATGCGGGCAAAAGCCCTGAAGCTTGAGCACAAGCTAAAACAGGATGCGACGAAGGATAATGAGGCAAGAAGCGGGGTAAAGCTCGAAGACCTGGAGCCTTGGCCTCAAATCAAGCACGAAGTGGTAAAAAAAGAGGAAGAGGAGGGGGAAATGACTGGAAAACTGCCGAGTGGCATGAAATACGAAATCAAAATGGAAACGAAGGCTGAAGATATCAAAGAGGATATCAAAGAGGAGAAGGCAGACGTAAAGAAACATGAGTTTGCTGATGAGGGGAAGCCGACACCGGGGGACGGAAAATCCAACAGGACGTCGATATTTCTTTTGGACGATGACGATGACGACGAGCTTTGAGAAAGACTTGCTGCTCAAATGAGAACATTCTAATCAGGGGTATTCGCTGCGCTCGCAAAGCGGTTCTTGAATCATGAAAATGGCTATTTCGTCAGAATGCCAATCTTGTGCGGCAAAACTTGATAAGGGGGCTGAGCCGCGAGCTGCACAAAATCAATCTCTTTGAAGGTGCCAGCCGCCCTGAGGGTCTTTTCGGTATCGCGACAGAGTTGGCACCCTCCCAGAAAGTGTGGCCAGACGAGGTTAACGAAGCCTGGCAAGTTGAAAGCCGTTAGTTTTTGGTATGATCATAATCGGGATAGATGCAAAACGTGGGCGCTAACTTACGCTGATATAGGCTGAGCAATGGGCCGCCGCGCCATACCTTGACGTGCTCATAGGCATACCAGCGACCTCCTGGCTTGAGCAGGTTGTACAGAAGCTTGATGTTCTTCTCAGGCTCGGGGATACTGCAGAGACAAAGGATGCTGACGATGCAGTCAACGCTGCCTGGCTCGATCTTGCCATTCCAAGCGGAGGGGTCGTCGACATATTCGATACCGACAGGGACAACGTGATATATATCGTCCATGCCGAGGTCCTTTACACGCTGTCCAAGCGCTTTGGCGGAGATGGGGTTGGGCTCCACGCCGTACATCTTGGTGATATGGCCACCTGTGGTTTTTCTGTGTCGAAGGCTTTCATTGTCGTGGGCGCTGTCGGCATTTTCGCGAAAACGAGCAAAAACGTCGGCATACATGCCACTTCCGGCACCGACCTCGATGACCGTACCATAAACCGGGGTGCTCACGACTTCATCATGAACGACACCAGCTTTGATACGACCTTCAAGGAGAGGAATGACGCGCTGCTCTGCATTGAGCTTGACATTCGGCCCGATGGTGGCCCAGAATGTGCCAAACAGAGCTTCTTCGAATCTTGCGATTGAGAGCAGAGCTCCATAATCCTTATCACGAATGAGACCCCGTATGGTGGCGGGTATATGACGGAAAGAGATACTCATGAATTGCCATGGCCCTATAAGATGTATGAAGGCATCCCAGATGGTAGCCAAGGTGTCCATGGTGAAAGAAGAGAGGACGGATGCCTTCCAGCACTCAGGGGACTTGTATAAATGTGAACGGCAAGATGGCGACTTCTATGGCGACCACCTGTGCTTGTCACAGGAATCCGAGAGGAAAAACACGGGAGCACAACAAAGCGAAAAGAAGAAACAGAAGAACGAGATCTTTAAGGCTCACCAGGGGGGCAAAAGAGGAAGAAGAGTGTGGGAGCCTGTTTGGATGTGGGCTTTTATACCCGGCACACACAGTGTGTCTACCTGGCACAAGATGCTCCAAGCACATGAGAGCCTAGCCCTTTCTCTGAGCATCCTGCGCCTTTTGCAAATGAAGCTACGGGGTGGGGCCGATGCTAGTGGAGTTACCGGCTTCAGGTCCTCCACTGGCGAAGATGAGATGCTTGGAGTCGTTGCGATTATGGTGGATGAGAATCGTGATATTTGAAGATGGGTTGTTTTATTGGATTATCGGGATGGTCTTGGCCTGGAATATCGTCAAGGCGTTCACGTATGGAGCTCTGATGATGGAAATAATGTGGCCGAGGATTGGAACGATTGTGAGAGCTCGGGAGAAAGATGGCGCGGCTTATCTTTGCGGCAGTATACCCCGGGAAAGAAAATTGAATGAGTGGTTATAAGACGCTTTTATACTTTGGGCAGAAGATGGGATAGAGAATTGCGACAGTTTGGTTACGTGAGAGGGGCTTTGACTTGTTTTACGATTAGTGAGCGCAGAGTGGCCATGTTTTGCAGCACTTGTCGTTGTGGCCTGCCATTCAAAGTCTAATGGAATGGATGCTGACAATCGATTGGCTAGTGAACCTGTATATTTGCAAGAGGGCACGAATAAAAATATCGAGTCATGTGTACGCAGTAGCTATGTTTCTCGGAGGACGATATGTATGAATCTCAATATTTCGATAGCGAACTGTGTGAAATGCCCTGTACAAGTCATCTGAGATTATACTCTACATCTCTTGCAATATCTGGCAGTAATGGCAACCAAAAACAGCCTAATTAACCAACCAAGCCGATAAACGCCAAATGCAGCTTCCTGGCAATATGCTCTCCTCCCATGCGCTGTGTCTAATGGACAATCAATCCCTCTCTTTGCACAAAATCTGACAGTCTTAAAAAAGCCCAAACCAAAGAGAAAAACAGTGTAAGAAAAGAGAAAACGAAAATGAAAGGAACAATCACAACAGCTCAAAATCATCCAGCTCATCCCTATACTTCATAATGTTCCTCTTAATCTTGCTTCCCACCGCCCACGTCACAAAGTCCTCCGTGTTCCTCGTCACCAGGTAGGCCGGATCGGTGATCTCGTCGACGCCGACGCGCACGTGGCCCTGCTCGATGAGCTTCGTGGCGGCCTGCACCGTCTCGGCCATGCGCAGCCGCGTCATGACGACGGGCAGGCGGCGGCGGGCAAAGGCGCTGACGGTGACGTTGTTCTCGACGGCGGAGAGCTTGGAGGCGGAGGAGAGGATGCCCATGTCGTAGAGCTTGTTGAGGAGCAGCTCTTCGTGCTTGCGGCGGGTGGGGTTTTCGGGGGGGAGGAGGGAGAGGCGGTGGGCGAGTTGGCGGATGGACTGAAATTGGACGTTAGGATATTGAAACTGGTGTTTGAGGAAGAAACACTGAGGGTATGGAGACTTACGCCGCAGAGGCGGTTGTACTTGTGGTAGTCTTCGGGGTTCTGGATCATGTAGCGCCGGCGGACGAGCTTGTCGCGGTGGTTGCTGTCTTGCTTGTATGTGAAGAAGTCTGTCTTGCGCAGGAGCTTCTGCTCGTGATGCTTGAGTTTTCGCACCATTTTGTCGGGAGCCTTGTGTCGTTAAGCAGTCGCTGTTACAATGCTTTCTGATGATTGATTCTCAAATTGAAGGACAGTCGTAGCCCGGTAAAAAGAGGAATTGGCTGGTATGAAAAGTGCTGATTACGAGTTATCGTCGATAGATTTGGAGGAGAGTATCGAAAATGAAAATCGCAGACAATTTTTAAGTGGGGCGTTGCGGTACCCTTCGCGGAAGAGTTCCGCCCGCCACCTTTCGCATTTAGCTCAACACCAGGATTTCGCCATCACCAGCTCTCCAAGCAACTCGAACGTGGACAGCCCAATTCTCCCGCCATGCCTTCTCTCGTGCCTTCACCCAGCGCCGTGCGCGGCCTCTCCATCCGCGCCTTCTCAACCACCGCAGCAGCCCGCCCCCCCCCCCGCGCAGACTCCCCCCACCGCCACTCCTCCACCAGCAGCCTCCTCTCCATCAACAACCCGACTTCTTCCTCACGATCGTCTGCTCCCTCACGCCAGTCGGCGCACAGGCCGAGCGAGGCTGCGTCCGACTTGATGACGAGATACAAGAAAGTGGGCCAGACGTCGCTGAGGAACAAGCAGACCCAGCTCGACATGATGCGCAACCAGAAGAACTCGAATGACTATCTGAAGCAGATGCCGCGAAGGTGGGACGCGGGTGATGTGTACTCGCCGCATGATATGAGCCCTGTGGAGATGCAGAAGTGGAGGAAGAGGTCGCCTAGAGGGGGGGATGTCGTTGATGCGTTGGGGATTCGACCTTTGGATATGTACAAGGTATGCGCCCCTTGATAGACTTGCACTGTCTGAAACGGGGGGTAAAGGCAACGGAAGCTAATACAGCGTGTAGAACTTCTCTTTGATCCAGGAATTCACCTCTACTTCTGGCCAAATCACTCATTCATCTGGCACGAGTCTTCGTCCCGTCAACCAGCGCAAGATTGCCAAGATGATCCGACGAGTTCAGGGCATGGGGCTGTACCCGACTATTCACGCTCACCCGGAAATGGTCAGGGACAACTTCTTCCCTGAGAGGAGATGAGAGACTTTGACTGGACAAAAAAAATGGCGCAGTGTGATTGTATTTTCTTCTTTGTTTAGAGCTGCCTTCTATGCATATGGCGCTCACGCAAGACAATGTTTTATATACTTGTAGCTAGATATTTCCCCCTTGAACTATGTGTACAATAGATGCCGTCTTCAATTATACAATGTCATGATGATATTTTCCCTTCAATGTTGTACACTCCGCTTTCCTTTTTCTAAGCCTTCATGGCCCGTTCTATTTTGAATTGGCACAGCGAATATTCGTCCATCCGCCGGCCCACCTTCATCAGCTCTGTCCAAGCATCGCTGTATCGTCCCTTGGCCCACTCCTGGAATCCTTTCTGAAGCTGCTGTCCGGGCAGAGCATTGTATGTGATGCCGAGTCTATATAGATCGAGTTAGCAATGCGACGAATTGACTGGAAGCATAGGAGGAGAGGAGCTGTACTCACGTCATGGCATCTGGCTCTGACCCGACAACGGACGCCATATTCATAATCAGATTTCGAACCTCTTTTTCGTTTCCATTTCCTGCTATAGCGCCGATATACGCGTTGTAAACGCTGGGCGGTACGTCCAAATCCATTCTTTCAATCTTTTGCCAAACCTCTCGGGCCTGCTTGTGTCCGCCGCTTTTCCTCTCCAGCGTCCAGAACATTGCCTGTAAAGTAGCATATGAGGGACCCTCTCTGGACTGTGTGATTTGAGTCCAGTAGTCCAGCGCTATTAGTGGCTGGCCGCAGCCTGTGTATGCCAGCATCAACGCAGTGTATAGCTTCGTCGACGGCTGTAGCGTGACATCCATCTTCAGCATATTGTGTACCATCTCCAAACCCTCTTCGTCGGGATATCGAGCAAAGCCTTCTAGACATGTGATGTAGGTGTCTACTGTAGGATGGTAAGATTTGTTTCGGTGTGCCCGCATATGCCCAAAGACTTGTGAAGCCATATCTGGGCGTCTTCGCTCGAAAAATGCATTCATTAGTGATACCCGCCGCTCGAAACTGGTATCTTGGAAGAATTGTTGAAGAAGCTGATACGCGGCCCAGGCTCGGTTTGTGCTCGTGTTGCGGTCGAGGCAAAAGGAGACAAAGGCGTTTTGCACAGTCTCTCGCTCGGATTCGCTGTATAAGAAGGAGTAAATAGAGAGGATGTCCATGACATCAAAATGCTGGTCATTCTCGAGGAATCTCAAGCAGAGTGCGCCGACAGTGTCTGGCTCAAGCCGCATTTGATCCTCTTCAACGGATTCAAGAACTGATGAAATAAACTTGAAATCGGGCTGTTTCTGCGCTGCCAATGCCACCAGATACTCATTAACAGCCAAGCGGAATTCTCCAAAAAGGTGAGGTTTGGCTTCATTAGCCCAAGGCTGTACATATCTTGCTTGATTGTATGCCTCTCGTGCCCCCATCAAGTTATCGGTTTTGAGTCGCAGATTTAGCAAAATGAGATGTGTTTCTCCGTTGGGAGCAAGGCCTCTTTTGGCGGCGAGCGCAAGGATATCTTCACCCAGAGCCGCATCTCGCTGTTCAACAGCAACTCTGAGAAGCCCGTTGATTATGTGAATGTCCGGAGCTATCTCTCCACTGCTGTCGACCATATGCGACAACATGGTGTCCACTTCACCAAGGCTCCCTCTGGTAATGAGTATTGCTTGAAGCAATGCGCCCCAATATTTTTTCCATGGCTGCGATTCGCCGAGCTTGAGGAACAGTGAAGTCGCCCACTCTTGAAGGTTGTTGCGCATGGCAAAGGGCGCCAGGATACGGTATACTTGGGCCTGTATGTTGCCATTCATGAGTGGTTTGTTGAGCCAGTACTTGGTTTCGGTGACGCGATCTCGTTCGGCAAAAAACCTGACCACGATATACTGAATTCTGGCATTGTATGGCAAATTGTGGGTTTCCGCATATTCAACTAGCTTCACCAGCTCGGCTTCGTGTCCTTCTCTTGCCAGCCCATTTGCTACGACTTCCAAGAGTCGCTCTCCCTGGTTTATGGAGTTGAAATAATCTGGCTGTTCCCATTTATCATATAGCATCTGTACGGCTTCAAGTGATCCGCCATATAAGCTCATAGCATTGACAAGACATGCCCACTGGTGCACCACGGGATTGGGTTTCCTGCTGGGAAAGTTCCCTGCAGCCCACACGGAATGCAAAGACTTTGCCAAATCAAGATGATGCTGCGTTCGCTCGATTGGATCGATCTCAAGGAGGACTTGCCTCGCCATCGCTAGGTGAACGGCGCCGAGTCTTCTATCCTTTTCCTCGGTGTTTTCCCTATTTTCCGGATCTGCGAGATACTCTAATAATCGGCGGCACTGCAGAGCTTGTGTGCTGTTGAAAGGCATCTTGGTGTTGATTTTGGATTGCATCAACTTCTTCCACGCTTCCAGCAGTTCAAGCCGCGGTTGCGGCCTGACATTGTCGAGCATGCGACTCCTCCACACCATGATTTGCAGCCATCCCGGCTCGTACTCGGGCTGTCTGATCTCCCGCGGGGCTTTTTTCTGGAGCAAGCCGCCGAGAAACGTTCGCTGGAAGTTGGCATGTGTTATTGGCCTCTGTGCAATTGGTCTTCGTCGAGCCGGAGCCGCGTACAAAGCGCAGGATGGCGCCGTCCTCGCTTGGCAGACAAGTAGTCGCCTGCCATGACGGGCCAGGTTTGCCCTCATGGTTTGACTATGTCTTTGTTACAATGCGCCCGGGGGGCTGTCAGCAGTCAATTGGGGCAGATTGGCCATTGAGATGCTCACTGGATCATATTTGAGACAGGCGAGTTGCACAGGTTGCGCAAAGGCAGCTGATTCGATTCCACCACGCCTCTTGAAGCTATAGACTTCATCACCAACTATTCACACATTTGCGAATCGCGGTTGGATGGGGCTTTTTGCCGCAGTTTCTCCGGTGGCGTTTGCATCGTCGAGCGCTATCGATAAGACGCTGGCTCACCCCGCCCCCACGGCTTCGGCTTTATGCGATAGATCTTGATTCGAGTTCCATCTATTCGAATAGCAGGCCAATATTTGATGATGAATTATCGGTGTCAAAGATCTAATTAATCACTTTTACTTCAAAAAATGACTGTGACACTTATAAATTCTTCCGGACGCATCCAGTAGGTAGGACTTAATGGCTAAAAAGGCTGCTTCTAAGCTGTTATACCGGAGTGACATGGGAATCGAGCATTGGATTTCTGCTATGAGTTTATAACAAGTTTCAAGCCAGCATCTCGCCTAACAAGGTCCATCTCATTAGACTTGCAGCAGTATAATGAGCATTTTCTCACATACGACTTTAGGTTGTTATACCCGACATAACTGCCGCTTAGAGGAGGGGAAGTATAACTGGGCCTGGCAATAACAGCGCAATGGGGAATCTTACCCGCTGGAGTTTAGTATGATTGGGCGGACGCTGCCGCCGGCTCGCTGGCTGTCAGCACATTATCTGCGATTGTAGCCGGTAGAACTTTTGGTTAACAGTTCTAGCAGTGCTACCGGAGATAGCATGAATCGGTAGCTAAGGCCATTCGGCGTTTATCAGAGCCTTTGTTATAGTATCGGCGAAACTGCAATATGTCGTAATCAAGTGCAAGCAATAGACGTAAAGCAATGCGGATGATATGCCGTGGGGGAAGCCGCCCCGCGAATTTGCCTGAACATGGGGCTCCACTCATCTCTCTTATATATTGAAGATGCCTCATACATTCTCATCCTTCAGTGATCCCATACCCCGTAACAAGCTCACGAAAGTTCAACGAAGCAAAATGGCTGCTCCCAAGTCTCGACTTATCCTTGGTCTCATGACCTTTTACCAGACTCCGACCACCAGTGGCAGAGTCACCGACTTGGACACCTTCCAAAAGGCACTGGACCTTTTGCAGGCTCGCGGATACAATGAGATTGACACGGCGCGAATGTATGGCGAGGGGACCCAAGAAGGCTTCACAGGCCAGACAAGCTGGAAGAAGAATGGCTTCACTTTGGCGACCAAGGTCATTTATCCTAGAAATTACGGCGACAACACAGCAGACAAGGTTGTCGCATCCGTCGAGAAGAGCTTGAAGGAGCTGGGAACCGACAAAGTTGATGTAAGTCGAATATGGCGCAACTATTCTGTTTAGTTCATTCTCCCTCTTCTTCCTATAACCCAGTACTGCAAGGCAGTGGCTTAAGCTAATCATGACGGCGTAGATTCTGTACCTTCACAAGCCAGACCGCGCAACACCCTTTGCTGAGACGCTTGAGGCAGTGGACAAGCTTCACAAGGCTGGCAAATTCAACAAGCTCGGTCTCAGTAACTTTACGGCTTTCGAAGTAGCCGAGGTCGTGCTGACATGCAAGTACAACGGCTGGGTTCGCCCTTCGGTTTTCCAGGCCATGTACAACGCCATTACTCGAAACATTGAGCCCGAGCTGGTCGTGGCCTGCCGTCGCTACGGCCTCGACATCGTCGTGTACAACCCTCTTGCTGCTGGCCTCTTTTCTGGAAAGATCAAGTCCAAGGATTTCGTTCCCGACACTGGACGTCACGCTGGCAACACGCCCATGGGAGCAATCTCTCGAGGTAGATACTTCCGAGACAGCACATTTGAGGCGCTGCGCATCGTCGAGGAGGCTGCTGAAAAGACAGGCTTGACGTTGATTGAGGTGGCCATGCGATGGCTCGTCCACCACTCGGCGCTCAAGATCAAGGACGGAAACGATGGCATCATTATTGGCGTTTCGAGCTTGGCGCAGCTGGAGAACAATATTGATAACTTTGAAAAGGGCCCCCTGCCCGAGGAGGTGGTGCAGGCGCTGGACCAGGCCTGGCTGCTCTGCAAGGCCGAGTCCGTCAACTACTGGCACGGCGACTTGGAGTACAAGTATGATCCTCAGCAGGTGCTGTTTGGACAAGGAGCGAAATAAATGGCTTTTGCGGGTGATGGAATGGCGTGATGGCGGCCTTGCTGATAACGGCCTTGGCTTTGGGTCTGGTTGGATGTGCTTGGGCAGATGATCTGGCCATGCGTAACCAAGAGGATTTATTCTGTGAACTTGTGAAAGTTTTGATGTAGACAAAAAGGCCTTATAGGACTTGTATAAGACATGACCACAATTCTGCCCTGCCGTAGTGCATACTGTATGCATATACTTTGACCTGGGCTCTGAACTGTCATCTCTCTATTTCATCGTTTGTATAGAAAAGAATTTGGTTCATCAATCTGATCTCTCAAATAAAGAGCGTAGAATCCTATGCGCGATAAAGTCACCCCGGGACAACATGAGCTGCGTCCTCGTGATGGCTCCCAGGCCAGGCTGCCTACGTGGAGCTCCAAGAAGCGCATCAGCAGCCTCTGACAGCCTCCAGTGCTACGTTAGCGCATCTCGTAGGCTGGCCGCCCGGAGATTCTGGGGGCCTCAAGGGGTCTTCTAGTGGCTGCAACCCACTGTAAGGGCCGTAAGGCGAAGCCTGCATGTCAGCAATGACGGCATCCATGCACTTTGGCAGCCGCCGTCCTTTTTATTCTAATTCGCGGCTATTGACCTTCATCTCGGCCAACAAGCACCAATTCCCCTGTGTTTTAAAAGCCGTAACATCTCGCCGTTGCCAAGCCCCCTCGATCCGCGCCACAATTGCCAATTCTCCATCTAGTGAAGATCCGAATCTCCAGACTCCGAATTTTTCTGGTTCCCGCAACGCTGGCCTTTTCTCCTTGTTAGAGAAAAAGAACCAAAAAGAGAAGCGTTCCAAAGTAACGACTCCTAGCCGTCTCACTCGAGATAGCCACATGCTCCCGCAACAGCCAACGTCCCCGCGACGCTCGCGCCAATTAAAGTACTGCTGGAGGCCCTCGTCCCAATACGAGCCGTCCGAACGCCGTTTTCGCTCTTGAACGGCAGGCTGACAGCCAACGAAGACGGCGACGATCTTTGACCCTTTTGTGTCGACGCAACGGCCATGGGCTCGGATAATCGTCGACCCGGCCTCTTTCGTGAGACGACCGCCGATGGCCGCTCCAGCGAGCCCCTGCTCTCCAGACCCGACTCTTTTGAAGAGGCAGACTTGGGCGACAAGGACGTCGAGCGAGGCCGATCGTCACGATCCTCAGGCGACGGACAGGTTGTTGGAGCGTCCAACTCCAACTCCACCTCCAACTCGGGCACCATGTACGAACCACTCTCGCGACCAGCGACAATGTCTCGGCGCTCGACGATGCGCAGCCGCAGCCCGGGCGAATTGGCCGCCAGCTCGGCGCGCAAAAAGTACACGTACGCGGCCTTCTTCCTCGTGCTCAGCCTGGTGGCCTTTTGCGTGCAGACGGAGCTGAGCGCGCACATCCAGGGCGACCTGGGCTGGGACAAGGCCTACTGCATGATGTTCTTCACGCACGGCTCGTGGGTGCTGATGTGGCCGGTCCAGCTGCTCATCCTGCGCCTGCAGAAGCGCGACATGCCGTGGGACGCCTTCTGGCGCCGCCACCTGCAGCTGGTCAAGTCGACGGCCCTCATGGTCGAGCTGCAGACGCTCGACGTCTTTGGCCTGCAGCGGCCCGCGGCAAAGTCGGTGCGGTACGTGGCCCGAACCACGGCCTTCATCACCACCGCCCTGACCGTGGCGGGCTTGAGCTGGTACGTCGCCGTCAGCCTCACCACGCCGTCCGACCTCACCGCCATTTACAACTGCTCGGCCTTCTTCGCCTATGCCTTTTCCGTGCCTCTGCTCAAGGAGCCGCTGCGCCTGGACAAGTCGGTCGCCGTCATCATCGCCATCATTGGCGTTCTGGTCGTGGCTTATGGCGACACTGGCGGCCAATCCGCCGAGGGCGAGGGCGTGACTGAGGGGGGAGAGGGCGTGGATGTAGAAGCAGGCAACCGCTTTGTGGGCAACATTGTCATTGGCGTTGGCTCCGTGCTGTACGGCCTCTACGAGGTTTTGTACAAGCGCTTTGCCTGCCCCCCCGACGGCGTCTCTCCTGGCCGGGGTATGATTTTCGCAAACACGTTTGGCTCCTGCATCGGGCTCTTCACCTTGAGCGTGCTCTGGATCCCGCTGCCGCTCCTGCACTGGACGGGGCTGGAGATTTTCGAGCTTCCAAACGCCTCGACGTGCTGGCTCATCCTGTGTGCCGTGCTCGCCAATGCCACTTTCAGCGCCTCGTTTCTCATCCTCATTTCTCTTACGTCTCCCGTGCTGTCGTCTGTCGCGGCTCTACTTACAATCTTCATCGTAGCTCTTGCGGACTGGTTCATCACCGGGCAGCCATTGAGCCCTGCGGCGATAATTGGTGGCTCCATGATTATCGTTGCGTTTGGCGCATTGAGCTGGAGCACGTACCGAGAGATGATGGACCACGAGATTGCCAAGCGCAAGGTGGATTTGGCGGACAGCGACGAAGATGGCGATTTGAGCAGCCATGAAGACTGAAAACCTTTTTACTCATTGTTTTGTTGAACTCCTTTTATTTCCATTTTCGTCCTTTTCCCCGGGAGACTAGCAATTTGTTTACGCGCAACCTTTCCTCTTCTAGACTTGGAGTTGCATTGGCTTTAGAGGCGTTTGTATATATATGCATTGTGGGTGGAGCATTCTTGATCTCACGGGTATGGATTATGGATTGGACATGATGGACATGCTACGGGGCGGTCAAGATAGAAGGCGGATTACCTATATACATGCCCAAGTGGCAGAAGAATCATGGGGATAAAAATGTACTGCCATTGATGGCTCTAGATAGGGAGTCAGGGGCAGCTATAGACTGGCATATGGAATACATCTTTATGTTAAGTACGATGAACTCTCATGTGTCCAACACTGCTAAGCCATTTACTCATCTTTGACCGGATTACTACTTACAACTACCTGGATCAGGTAATTACTGTTTACAATACCGACGGCACCGATCATACCGAGAGACAGCCGATGGGACTGTCATGCAGCTGCGTTTCCATGGCCTTCTTCCCCTTATTTTGCTTTTTGTATCTTATGTATCTTTACTCGGCGGAACATTTCTTTTCTTTTCGTTATTTATTTGTTTATTTTATCAAATAAGGGGACCAAGAACCCTTGTTACTAAGTACTTCCATTTACCCATCCTATTGTCAGCCTGCGTCCTGAGCCCAAATCCCGTTAACCAATGATATCAACTTTTTGACTTGTGCCCAGCTAAAAATATATGCCCGAATCCTATCAGTACCCAAACGCTACCCAAAGGCTGTCCCAAATAAGGAATCTGTTTCCGGTGCTGTCTTAACTCCGTTTCAAAGCCCCAAAGCTGCTTGTTTGTAAAGTGCAGCTTGTAAACCCATATTCCCCTAGTTGCCTAGTAATTGTTCCATAATGAATGACTCCCAAAATTCAATAGCTTGAAAAGAAAAGAAAAGAAAAGAGAAAAGAAAAAGAAAGAAAAAAAGGAGAAATCTCAATCCCCCAACGAAAGTAGCTGCTCAGGAGATAAGCATAGTATCGTCCCTGCGAACAAACTTTCCCTCCCCAGCAACTTTCCACGTCGCACCCGCCGCGAAGATGACATATCGGACAGCCTGCTCCCAGGCTTCCCTATCGATGGCATCGCCACTCTCAAAGCACTGCAGGCTGTTCCACAGTCCCAGTGGCGGCGGGTCGAATACCGCCATGACCAGCTGCGCATAGGCCGTGTTGCGCTCCATCCATAGATCCGAAATGTCCATGGCGGGGTGGCGGTAGTCGTCCTCAGCGAAGCTGGGCGCCCGGGGCACGATCTGGATGAAGAAGCGCTCGAGGGCTGGGACGCGAGGGATGAGAATGTTGTTGATGTGATTGGCGAGCGGGAAGATGGCGACGTAGGAAAAGGAGCGGATGTTGTTGTTCAGCAGGGGCTGCATGGATTCGTCGCTAGAGTCTAAGAGGGCGGGTAGGAGAGAAGGGGGCGTGTGGTGGAAGTATTCGTATGTGGTGTAGACTTTGACGGAGGATCCTTCGTTGAGCAGCATGGAATTCCATGGGCGGATGCCGAAGAGCGAGCAGTGGTTTGTTGCTGGAGTTGGTGCTCCATTCGAGGGCAGGAAATGTGATGGTGCTGCTGTCGATTCGTCGATGGTGGTGACTTTTTGTTGTTGGCGTTGGTCCGCGGGCCTCGACAGGGAGAGAATGTGAAACCGTTGACGAAAGATCCAGGCTCCAGAAAGGTTGATTGGCCGTCCCAGTAACGATGCAAGAATGGCCGGGGAGCTGATGAGATTGATAGACAGGAGATCCAGTTTGTCGAAGATGGTTTGCCAAAGCCAATCGTTTGACTGGCATTTTGAAGGAGAGTCCGAAGTTGATTCAGGGGTTATCAGACCGTTATTAAATCCTCGGCTATCCGGCGCAGGGCAATGGCTAGGGAGGATGCCCCAATTGGCGTGATGCCTAGTGTCCTCGCCAACTTCGGATTCGGGATAGTCGATGATGATGGTCAGGTTGTCCACGCAGCGTGTAAGCCCAGCACGGGTAAGGAAGCGTAGAAACTCGAGCTCTTCAACGGCGTGTAGCGGGTCCTCCCGCTCGGATGGACGGGTGATGTGTTGGAATCTCCAGACAATATCCCGGAAGAGCAATGGCAGGAGGCAGCGTCTCCAGAGGTGGCAAACAAGAGATGCACTCTTGATGTTGCCGCGGAAGTGGTCGAGATCGTCGTGCGGGTTTGTGCTGGAGCGATTTGGGGGAATATGTGCCGGATCGTCGTAATGGCGCTGGTCGGATGTGGGTGGCTCATGGAGGAAGTCAAAGATATAAAGGAGCAGCTCGCTGGGGAGCTGTGAGATTGTCGTGGGCGCCATGGCTGCAGAGTGATGCCTCGACAATGACGGTGATGGTGATGGAGCAGTAGTATCAGAGAAATGATGAGATAAAGGCGTGAATGAAGAAGTTTGATGCCAGTGGCGCTGGAGATGGAAACGGTTGAGAGTTTGAGCACAGCTTTTTCTACGAGCCAGCCTCTTCAGCCATGTAGGGGAGCCTGAGCGGAGAGCTCCAGGTCAGTCAGGCGCACAATGCACTTGCAAGATCGGCAAATAGGAAGCGAGCCAGGAGAGACAAGCCATCGCGAAGTACAGAAACCAGGCGCAGCAGGCGGCAGGGCAATGCTGGCGATGTATCTGTACAGTTACGCCTTTAGATCCCTCGGATCCTGACAGCCTGGGCGGTTGAGGTTGTGTCAAGGGTTGGGTAGAAGAGCCGTGATATGGAGCAGGGGCGGGCTCAAGTCCCTGTACATGCATACATTAGCCCGGCAGTAGGCCAGCAGTTAGCGCACCATTAGCCGCTAGGCTGCGAATAAGGCAATCCTTGCGGGGCAGAAGAATAATGAAGAGCACGGGAGGATTGCCTACTACGACGATTGGGGCATGTACAAGTAGAGATGTGGGCGGGAGGCTCTTTTGTTATGCTGTTGGTTCGTGAGCGCGTCTAACAACAATGAACGGAGGAATATGTATGGATGGAGATACTCGGTGGAGATGGAGGATGTGAGAGATTTTGAAAAAGTTTAAAGGAGATAGATGTACATGTACATTATGTGTATGTACGAGTGTATGTACGAGTGTATGTACGAGTGTATGTACGAGGTGTCTTCATGAGGTCATGAAACGCCACAAGCTCTGTGTGGCTGTTTATCACAATACTCCTTATCAATGCTGGCCTATAGAAAGTGAGACATATCAGATATATAATCCTGCCAAGGGTAGATTGCAATACTAGACTACACTTTGATATCCGATACTTGATGTAGATGCAGGTATGCATTGTCTTGCTAGATTGATCTTCGCCTCTCGTCTGTCAAGCACCAGCACTTTGTATATCAAACGCCCCCCTTGCGGGTCCACGGCCAGCCTGCAATTATTTTGGGCCATTTCCCCCGCACAAGCATCCATCGAATGAGGGGGGGCAATAAACAGGCCATGGCGATTCTAGCCTCGGCGGGGTTGGGATGTTCCGGAATCCAGCCTAGAATACAACGCTGGGCGAGGGAAGCGGAGCATTTTGGATGGTTGTGGCCCGGTATGGTGTGCAGCGTATGACGTGGGCTGAGAGACGGGAAAATCTCGACGTCTATTTCAGCGTCAAGTGCGGGCTTTTGGCTTTATTGCTTACTGTAGCTGGTTATGCTTGTGTTTCCTACATCCCAACCGCCCAGTAACTTGTTCGAGCCTGTTGCTATATTATTCCTGCAGGCTTGCTTCGGGCACTGCTCAAATACCGTGGATTTAGTCAGGGGCATGGCCCGCGGCCTGCTGCCTTAGTGCCGCACGTCGGCCGCGAGCGTCTTCTGCTCTGGCTGCAGTTCCGTTCTCCAGTTATTCTGTATCAGATATCAGATCTTGCGCTGCGCTGCGGTCCAGGCCCGCGGCTGATGTTGTTCCTTGCGCAGTCATCCTACGACGTGCGGCCTGGGTTGCTGTAGCATTCACTGCTACGATGCCCCGTTTGTGTACTGCGCGTGCTCTCGTCTCTGCCTCTGACTCTTGCGCAGATGCAACCTGGCTGCGCTTTTTGCATTTGCATGTGATATGGAGCTGTGGGCCGGCTATAACTCGCTCTGATAAGCAATGCAAGACAAAACTGCGTTGTATTTTGCAGTACATGTACTTGTACATCTGATTGGGCGCCCGTCGTATTTCGCTCTCGAGAATCATCAATGGCTGTTGCGCTGCGGGTCAGAGTGAAAATGTTGATCAAGTAGAAGGCTAAACGCTTTTGGATGGCGAGCTGTGGATCAAGCAAATCTGCCTTTTTACATACATGCTCTTCCATGTCCAATGATGAGATATAGTCCAGAGGTAGGCGGAGTTTCTCTTTGGCCCTCTCCTCACGAAAAGGTAACTGTGAGTAGCAATAGGCAGTCAGCAATAGTCCAAACGCATATTCTTGCCCCCTCGGAGTTTTTTTTTGTATTTCTCAAAATGCCAAGACAGAGCAGACTCCCAACTTGGCGTTTGGAGCCCTTGTTACTGCCATGGGCATATTTTCCACGTCAGCAAAAGAGTTATTTTTAACAACATTCACTCAAGTCTCTATCAATAGCAACACCATCTCCTCTATGGGGTCCATGGTTTACTTCACATGTTCTTACGAGTCGCCTCTCTGGCATCAGTAGGCGAGGTTACCCCATTGCCGAGCTGATTACCTTGCTACCCGTATGAGATACTTGTCCCATGCACACTGCTTTTACGGGCAACATCTACACTCCGATTTAGGGCACTCCTACTATCGAGTAGCTGCCGCTCTGCATCATGTACCTTGCACACCGGCAGTTGCCTAGAACCGCCAGGACACTGTGCTTCAGCCTGCACAAATACAACTCCAAGCGGCAATAGCATCGCCTCGTTCGGCTCTCTCGGCCCACCGACCCGGTCCACCAATCCGACCACCAAGACTGCCCAGGGCCGGGGTTGAGGAGTTGACGGGGTGGGTCTTATCTCATCTTGATCAGCCCGATTTATGGGCTGCTGGCCACCCAAGATGGTCTGTCCGTCCAAAATCCTCCAACGACCGAGCATGACAGGGCCAAGCTGACGAGGCCGCTCTCGAAGACAGGCGATTAGTATCAACGTCACCGGCCCTTTGCCTCTATTGTTCCGCGCCTAGCTTTAGCGGATTACTATGTACTGCTATCTGTATCAGGCATTCTGTGTCTTTTAGCTGCATTGACTTCTTCCAGATGAGGTTAACCATCACAAAAGTATACATGTACATAGGAGTGCCCCTGAGTAGTATGTAATTGAAATTGACCACCACCAGATAGCATCCTTGTCTGGCTCTGTCATCGGTCATTTCGAGTCCTCATTGGAAGCACTCCTGGGGATTTGCCAAGGTCGCAGCGCTAGGAATTGTCCAGCCGCTGTTTGGCGTGCAGTAGCTGGAAACAGCCTCCATCACCGATTGGTCCATTGCTGCCAGATCCCGGCTTGTTTGTACCTAGACTATGTATAATTGAGCCTTTGGCAGACAGAGCTGAAGTTTGTGAGCTGTAACTTTTTTTTTTCTCTGTGGCGTCGGCTTCCAGCTTCTCCTCGCTAATACTGCTTGCTTGCGCTTCGTATGTAGGCGTAGGGAGTACAGGTCGTCTAAAGCGCCACAGAGTTTCACGACAGGAGACGCCAAGAAGACGCGTGCTATTGCCGTTCAAAGATTGGTCCACGCCGCGATAACACCGAGGCCGAAAATGCAAGCCGTTCACATACACATGTACTTTGCTCTGCTCCTTCTCCTGGGTGGTCAACGCCGAGCCTGGGCGTCTAATTCTGGCAACCTTCTGATTTGCCTTGCTTCTTTGCCGATTTCGGCTACAACTGGGTCCTCCCCCATCATCGCCAGCTGCTACTTTGGGAGTTGGTCTGGATCCCGTCATGTATGACATGTTTCATCACGTGAACACAAGCAGATGTATAAAAGATACGGCGTGTGCCGAGAGGAATACACGTACGGTACATGTTTGTGCCTGTTGCTGGTCATTGCCAAGTCTATCCTTGATCAAGTGGCCTCTTGTAGATACTTCACAAAATAAGCTTAGTGGCCGGAACAGCAAGCCTTGGAAGACACCCTGTCGGTTTTGCCGATAGTGCCGGTTGCAATGTCGACGCTGACCGCATAAGGCAGAGCTGCTTCTCTCAAAAGTCAGGATTCCGGGGGAGGAGACAAAACTCCAGATTCACGGACCACTTACATGCTTGTATGTGCCTGTGCTTTTTTCTTTCGGTGAGCAAGACTATAGGAAAAGAAGAGACACGCCTTCTACTAGCACGCATAACTGTCTTCCATGACTCGCAATACCGAGCAAGGGGATTTTTAGCTAGTGTTTGAGGGCGAATCGTTGACCGGGTAAATGACATTGTGACAAGGAACGCTGCAGCAATCACACCCGAATCCCGCCGATGCCTGCACGTAGGTCAAGGCGCGAAAAAGACTGTGCAGTCATGTATCGATGATATGACTGGTCAACTGGATACGAATAAAGCATCGAAGATGCAATGATGGGAGATAAAAGTAGAGCATCTTTATATAGGTACTTGTATACATGCTAGGTAAGCTGATGGTAGTAGTAGCAGCGATAGTAGCAGTAGGAGTCTGACTCAACGCGGCAACTGCTTAATTCGCTTGTTCAACAGCCCAAATCTGGCAAAAATTGGATTATGTGCATCTGGGACATCTCTCAAAGTCGCAATCCAGAGGAATAGAGGTAAAATAGGGATGGGGCGCACACCCATGCTAGTCAAAAGTTGACAAAACATGAGATGGATAGACGGGCCAGTCGCAACGCTGACCGAAACGGTAAAAGATAACTTGAGCAAGGGAAAAGTAGCAGTACAAAGTCACATGACGAAAGAGCGGAGATTTAATTGCTTCTTTGCCCCTAGATTTGAATTAATCCTTGCCTGTCACTTTTTACTTTTTGTGACAACCGACTTGTATGCCTGATGTGCCAATGTGCCAAAACAACGGCTAGTAAAGCCTATTGATAATTGCGACCAGGGTTAGCTCATTATTACATGTAACCTTGGGATAGGTCCACGGTAAATTAGTTAATTTTGAACATCAGTCGTTGTATTTACCATTGTTTGTAGCTCGTATAGCCGGGGGCTCTTACGACCACTGGTTTTCAGAATTGGCAAATAACCACCTAGAAATGGAAATCTCTACATGCAAGTTTCAATAGCGTGCATGTAGCTTACGAGTGGAGCACCAGCGGCAGGCTGCCTCTTCGAACAGGCATGGAGCCTGTAAACAACAAGAGTTGAAAATGGATGTCTTTGTTCGATAACCACACTATAAGCTATAAACTACAGTTTTGAACTAGAGCTAACAAGGCGAGTCTAAGAGGCATAGGGCTGAAGTCTATCATGACAGCCAACCAACAGCGGTGATCGGCGGAAGAGCGTGGAGGTGGGTACCTGTAGATGTCAGTTTGTCAGATACAATGACAGATTCTGTTACTTTGCCCATCTCCAAATGCGTTGCTAGTCCAGTTGAATACGCAAAGGCTATACGCTCGACAAAGGATCCCGAAGATCCACCGCTCCACACATTTAGTCTGCCGTTACTGAGAATGAGGCCTTTGTATCCCATCCCATCTCTCCTTCTGTTTGCAATTTAGTCCACCACTTGAAAGTACCACAATGTCAGAAACTTCTCCTACTGCTCAGAAGCCATTGAGAATTGGCACACGAAGGTCAAACCTGGCCGTCGTGCAAGCTGAAGGCATCCGCGATAGCCTGCAAAAAGTGGCGCCTGGCCATGTCTTCGAAATTGAGTCACTCCACACTCTTGGTGACAAGGACAAGTCAACAGAGCTCTATAAGTTTGGCGCAAAGGGCTTGTGGACGGTGGAACTAGAGGAAAAGCTTACTTCTGGCCAATTAGATGTGGTCGTTCACTGTCTGAAAGGTAAACGAGCATAATCCCTCTCTGTCTTTCTCCCACACTCATAGCAATCATCTAACAGCTGGGAATAGACATGCCGACTAGGCTTCCTGAGACATGTGATCTTGCAGCTATTCCTCTGCGTGATGACCCTCGTGACGCTCTTATTGTCAAAGCTGGTCTGCCGTATACTAGTCTAAAGACACTGCCCGAAGGTGCCGTGGTTGGCACTTCATCTGTGCGGCGATCGGCCCAGCTGCGCCGTCTCTACCCTCACCTCCAGTTTGCCAACTTGCGCGGTAACGTTGAAACACGTATAGCCAAAGTGGACAATCCCGAAAGTGAGTATACGTGCATGATCATGTCTGCGTGCGGCCTCGAGCGAGTTGGCCTCCAGCACCGCATCAACCAGTACATTGGTTCAAAGGACGGAGGCATTTTGCACGCAGTCGGCCAGGGAGCGCTTGGTCTGGAGATTCGCAAGGGAGACGAGCAGGTGTTGGAGTTGCTCAACAAACTAGCCGACCAGAAATCGACTCTTGCTTGTCTCGCTGAGAGATCGCTGTTGTACACCCTTGAAGGAGGCTGTACGGTACCTATTGGCGTTGAGACGGAATGGATTGATGAAGCGCAGGGTATTCTGCAGATGAGAGGAATAGTTGTCAGCCTTGATGGTACTCAGAGCGCTCAAGACTCTGTGGATGCAACGGTGAAGACGAATGACGAGGCCAAGGCACTTGGCGAAGAGTTGGCCGCGAGACTTGTGAAAGCGGGTGCAGATGTAATTCTGAGAGAAATTAACGCCAACCGGCCAGCGAAGGAATAATGGCTTTATGTATATGTATATAGCAGTGGCATATAAATACCCCTCTCATAAAAACGCATGGACAAACCTATCTTGAGCTCTGTTACTGCCTCACCTTATAGCGTGATGTGTGGCTCTATAGCTAGTTAGCCACTCTAGCTTTATGATCTCGTCCTAGTTATTTACTAGAGTTTTATAGCCACAAGGTTTGTATAACCTCCTTCAGGACGCAACTGAGCAGTGTGACCACCTAGATTGCCGGCAAACACATGGATACACTGAGACTATATGTATTTCTAACTTTTGAGCAAGAAGGAGTGCCCTTTCAACATTAACAATCGCTCCATGTGCCTGTATATGCGTGGCTCAAGCCACAAGAGATGGCGGGTTGTCATCTTTTTGCGCCTGTCAGACATCATATAGAGCCAACTGCCCAATCACTCAGTCGTACTCCACAGTTGGATTGTAACTCGTATCTACTGCGAATGGTGGAGTTCATAATGCCGGCCATGATTCAAAAGTCGTGCTTTTGCTCGACGACCTGGTACAGCAATACTCCGGTCTCCGCTGTTTCCCGGTCTCCGATGATTGCCGGTCTCCGATATTGTAAACCTAACGCATGCTTCGTATTTCGTATTGCCATAAGAGAACCGTACATGAGAAGCTAAGGTCAGCAGGCTTATGAATAGTCCAATGTAGCTCTGAGTTGGCGACTACTTGACACTACGCGTAATATGTCATGGATCAGGTTGATTCACAAGTCAATAAGTCAACTTGGCATTGGCTAGCTGTCATTAGTGATTAGTGAGCATACTTCTTTTCGCTCCAATTTGCGGCGCCATGTCTTACATACATATTTGCGTCGTAAGTCATTGGAGCAGCTAGTGAAGGCTTAAGAACTTAATTCACGGAGAGGTTCTTGCTAGTTTCTTCAAGGGCTTATATAAGAGACGAGACCTACCTCGCAGTTCATATCAGCAATTTCTTTCTCAAATTGACTTTCAACAGCGGCAAAGGACTCTAAACAGTGGCTGATTATTCTTACTTAAAAAACCACAACTCAATTGTACCATGGCGGATAAGATTCCTACAGTTGTCGAGTCCGGCTTGCTAAACGGCGGCAAGCGCTCTGTCCTGGACTCTGAGCACGGCCCCGGCTCCACCACATTGCCTCACTACCACACTCTTTTCACAGAAGACTTCAAATTGCTCTCCGGCTCCTTATCAGTCGTTGTAGCGCCCGAGGGTGTCAAGGAAGTCGACGCCATGAAGAAATATGAGCTCAAAGTTGGAGAGTCCATGACGGTGCCGAAATCCACAGCGCACACGTTTGTTGCCGGCGATGAAGGCTGTCGATGCCTGGTGACATTCGAGCCTGCTACGGTGGATTTTGAGCGAGTTGGCCTTATTATGACAGGCCTTCAAGCAGACTCGGAGTACTCCTCATGGAGTGGAGGTTTGACCGAAGCAAACGCGCTCATGGTTTCTGTTCTTACTGAACTTACTGATTCGTATCCGTTGCTTGATAAGGATAGAGAAATGTTGCAGAAGCAGGACAAGGAAGCTCACGAAAAGTTCAAGAAGCATCTTATTGAGAAATATGCGACGGACGATATGATTAAAGCGGCTGTGGCGAAGGTTGCCGCATCTGCTTAAGATGCTATGGCTTATATACATATACCAAAGCCCACAGATCTTTTGACTTTGTGGGAAATACAGCCAATCGAAGGACAAAACGGAGGCCACGAAATTCCTAGTAAAATAATATTAGCGATTTAATGCAAAAGTCCAGGCAGACTTAAACGTGTTCCATATTGCAGGGAGCTTGCGTTACTTACAGCAAGATAAATTCACCGGACTGACTTGAAGACGGCATCATCATTTATTATTTCATGAAAATTTGCTAATGAGAGAAAAAATGGGTGAATTATTCTTGAGAATTGTAGATAGAAAATTTAGAGAAAAGCGGGAAGGTTACCTTGGGTACTGCGCTACGTTAACCATCGTGTGCGTATATGATATGCATGAGTGGAACGGCAGCTTACCGATATTTCCTCTCCACAGGCTTTACTAGCCCGGCCTTCACAAGCAAGTCTCTCGCGAAGCAGCGAGTATTGCCAGAATCTATATGAACCAATTTGACTCCGGCGTCTGCAAATCTCTGCTCAAGCGGGCCCCATTCCTCAATGCCTATGAATTTGGAGTAGATGTCTTGGAGAAAGTCGCCGATGTAAGAATTGCGTATCGATATTTCCCGCTTTTGGCTGTCCATTTCATCGCATGTAACCTCCACCAGCTGAAGGGCGGGAAATTCTTTGGAGGCTGCTGCTAGGGCTAATGCATGGAGTGCTGTGATCATTTGAGTGGGAGCACCTGGTAGAACTAAATGGCGTATAGATTTGGGGAGCCGCCCTGTGAGATGATCGAAAGGGAGATCTGATGGGATCTGGTCTCTGGGAACGTGGAAGAGGCATGTGGAATCGAGTTTCAGAGTCTCCAAGGCAGTAAAGTCTGCCAAGGAGTCTATCAACTTGCCGTTTCCTAGCCAGTTTGGCCAAGTCGCGTACATCTCCTTGTTTTCGGCGGTGAAATGGGCGTAAGAGTTCAAAACACCTCGAGCTCCATCCCATCGGTTTATAGCAATACGTCGAAGAGTGCCTTTGAGATGCGAAAAGGCGGGGACAATATCCTCAGGGAGAAACTCGTTGGGCGGGGTTTTTCTGCGGAGAGAAAGCAAGAGATGGTCCGAGAACATACGGCAGCTTCCCCTGGAGTAGAAAGAGAAATCTTCCAACATTTTGCAAGCTGACGTCAAGCTCATCAGGCCCTCGGTTGTGAGAAGTGCTGTGTCTAGGGTAATTTCCTTCAGGTTGTCAAGATGTACGTCTGCTGGAATTGGACGGAACGTACACGCAATGCGGACTCGCAGGGTACGAAGGCTTGGAACGAGCCAGGCGCCCAATTTGAACACCAAGTCCTGAGGTTCATATTCCAAGTCAAACAATGGAAACCCGTTATAGTACACCTGGGCTCCAGCCGCCCATAGGTGATGTAGCGATCCAAATGCGTAGTGCAAAGAGGGAGAGACGGCTGTCGACTCTGCGGCTTTCTTTCTCGTCACATTTTCTAATTCGACGGCAAAAAAGTTGTAAGGCGATAGGCTGCCCACATATTCCAGGTTGGGCGTGAGCAAAAAGAGCAGAATCATTAGACGCTGGCTGTGGCCGCACACGTCGCGCAGCTTGCCGCATACTTGATAGCACTCTTTGAAACGGCACAGATTGAGAGAAGGAAGATTGAACTCAATAGCAGCATCTCGGAGGACGGTTTCGTTGATCTCTGGACCAAAAGTAAACCCTGGCGGCAGACCTTCAATATCGATTTTCTTGACCAGAGGCCGCAAGTCTGGGTTGCGGCACAATGTCGAGATGAATTGAGGCAGCTGTGTTTCGTCATATTTCGTGATTGCGATATACGAGTAAAGATATGGCAGAGCAATCTGTCGGTAGCGCTTAGATGTGAGACACAGCCTTGCCAGTGTTCTTGAGAACTGCGTGTGATGCCCCGAATCTCTCCATCCCTCAGGGCGTTCACACTGCTCAATCAGATCCCCATTTATCGTCTTCCTGTCCACATGGATCCAATGACATATCAAATGGATCAGCTCTGGTGGGAGGATGTCTAAAGAGGACTTGTCTACCGGCGGTGCTTCCAATTGCCTCATCGAAGGAAGTGACGGAAAGTATGCCACGGACATGGCCGGGTAAGAAAGTCGTGCCACCGACATGATTGTGTAAGAAGGTCGCTAGCTATAACAGATCAACAAGTGTTTCTAACAGCGCGGTATTGTTGATGGTATGGGTGGCCCTATATTGCATTTTCTGGTTCCCCTTTTGCGCGATACTGTTCACACGCACATATATATATGATCAACGAGAGATTTCGTCATGTTTTTGTTTAAGAGTTTGAGGCATCAAGAAGGTTAGGCGTAACTCCCCCGCAGCATTCGGCTGTGGCTTTTGTTGTCGCCACTTTGGGGAAAGTAATGCGCGTAGAAGTGATAATGACGGCATCATCTTGCAATAGACGACCTTTCAGCTTTTCATTCATTTAAGCGGATTTTGCGGAAGTTAATGGATATATGTATTTGAACAGCCTCGTGTGGCACATTCGGGACCATGCGCGCATCTTCGCTTGTGCTCCGGTTGTAGCGGGAATCTGCGTATAAGCGAGAGCCGGCTCGCAGTAATATTTACGTGTGCCGATACCCCATAGTTCATCATAAACCTTTATTTTATTTTATTTTTGGTTTCACTGGTCCAATGATGCATCATTGTATATTCAATTTCTCTATTTTCTCAATAAAGAGCATGAAACTGGGGCTTATTACGACCATTAAAGACGAGGGGCTCGACTAGGCTTTTTACGCAGTAGATTGTGTTAATAAGAGAAAGAGTAAAATTGCAGTGGAATCTTTGATAGCATGGGTGGATTAAATCCAATAATGAAATTCACACTAGAATACAAGCAGTATACCAAATTCTGGCTGTTTAGATTACAGGCGGCCTTTACTTGAGCCACACAGAACTTGTTGGATTATCAAGTCAACAAGAATAAGAGGATCTCGGTACTGTGGCGAGAGATTTGTCTCTTGAAGTTTAGATTCTTCAGTAGTTGTATCTTACTTTTTTCAGTTCACTCCTATGTTTCTATCTTTGAGACTACTTTGTCATATAATGTCATTGTTATGGAGCAGTGGCTCTATGAGTAGTGACTAATGCACTTAGCCACGATTTCTAAGCCACCAGTGAAGCATCCCTGATAGTCGTGAATCGCCATTCCCCAAAGATTGCTCCGTTACCATGATAATGGCTTCCTACGAGGACTAATGGCCATAGAAGGCCTTGTAAGCAATAAAACGAAGGATGCATCATATGTAGTGTTTGGTTGTAGGCGCCGTAAATGGATTCAGACCTTGCAATAAAATCCCAAGCTTGTGATAGTGCTCTCAATAAGCTTGGTGATAATTTTCTCCTGTCACTAGCTTTTGCTGATGCAGCTAATTATGATATGCTCAATAATCTTGTGACTTAGATAGATGAATATTTCTGGCCTACTCTTTAAGAGCAGTACGGAGTCGAGGATAATCCAAATGGTACTGGAGAGAGAATTACTTGGCACTATCATGCCTCCAAAGGCAGCTTTAAAGCAGGATAGGATATAGAGGAGGTTGTTGTTTCTTCCTACACGGCACTCAACTAAACTTGGCTTTCCGAAAAAGGCATATTGAAATAAAGCTGCCCACAGGTATAGCGCACCGCGCCAGGCCATTGCTTAGCTGTTCTGCTATTTCACTCCAGGACTAAAACATCGTAAGACATAGACACTGTTAAGCAGCTACAAATTTCATCAACGACAATTTTGTAACGTGTCATTAATCGAATGAACAAAGCCGTGAATGTGAATAATTGCGAGTAGCATGTTTATTTGCATATGCTGCTGGCAAAAACGCAGCTAGATTATGAGAGTATCTTACTCCGTGGTGCCTAACAAGGTCCACTCAATTCACAATAACTCTTCAGTGGTGGAAACAAAGATAATTCACGAGAAAGACAAGGCAGTACTTAGACAAAACGTATTTAACCAGATATAGCCTGCTAATATCTGCGACTGTGGAAAGATTGGCGTCAAGTTTCGTTTCTATACTTTTACTATCAAGAAATATTTCTATAGCTACCGAATGTCTTTCATACTATACTTTTTAGGTTATACCTATAGCAGTAATCTTGCGTTTTATTACCAATTCATTGCGTGCTCCGCATATACGGCTTTGAGGATTCTTATTATTCACGGTTGAAGATAAGCCTTGTATTTGAATTACTTCTATCTATGCGGAGCCCCATGAACGGCAATCTATTGGACAGTGATGGTCCTCAAAGCATTGGAGATTGTAGATTCATGCTTAAAATCCTTCTGATGTTAAACGTAAATACTTGCCGTAAAATTCACCAATGTGTAGCCGCGCCAGCCTATTTAGGCAAGATGCAGCGGTTACGGCGGCATCGTGACGCATTGATGTCAATTTATTATCTTTTAACTAGGTTGATATAGGCATAATGGATGTATGATTTTTTTACAGTGTTGAAGGTACCACAGTGGCCCTCTGTGTTCTCTTCAAAAGAACTGACTTCTGCCGCGTGAAGACAGGCAAGGCAATAGCTCGGGGACTGAGTCATCGCGCAATTAACTATCTAGTCTTGAGAACTCAGTTGCCAGAATCATCACTGGCCTCGTTGACAATAGAGTTGAAGAGGCTGCCATTGACAAAATTGGAGAATAGGAGCCCATGTCTATCCCTCGGAGCAATGAGCACACTTAGAGGCACCATGCTCATGTTATCTCTCAATGGTTCTCCATTAGAAGCCAGAATATTTGCCTCTGATGTCAAAAGCTTATTAATTCTTTCTCCATCTCAATACAAGAGAGCTTAATATTGAACTGACCCATCTGATAACGGCCGTACTGGATCCTCGGCTTCGGATCTTTAACCTGGCTGAGACTAAAGCCTCGGCCGCTGATCGTCGCATACCATCGGCGTCTAAAGTATTGGAGAAGAAATACTCCTGCAGGAGTGAAGCCGAATTTAGGCGTATTTCTGGTGGCATCGGTGTCGCGTCTATCGGCGTTGCTTCCTGCCGATGGCGGTATTCAGCTTAGTGTCGCTACACGTTTTCCAGTTATGGCAACATAGCATTACGCTGAAGTTTCACGTAACGCTTTCACAGTTCTTGTAACTCACGCCCTAATAAGTGGCATAGAAGTGGGAGGTGGTAGGCAACCTGATAGAAATCGAAATTCGTAGAAAGGCATCGGACTTCAACTAAGTCCGCTATCAACAAGATGTTCTCTTGTTTTGTCAAATACGAAGGTAAAGAATGAACATATAAATTGAGGCACAGTATATGGTAAACTATTAGATGAGCCGTTGAACAACTTGTTTCTATCTATCCTGCGAAGTGCACTTCGATCCTATCGTTGACCGCAACTTAAGTGCTATAAGTTGTAACCTACTTGCTAAGACTTTAGGTTATAGAGTTGGAAATCAAGGTTTCAAGTAAAATAGAGCGAGAGCTGATCAATTTTCGTCGCGCCCTGTGATATGTCAAATGCAGCCCCTCTGCTCTAGACTGCAAAACACGGGTTAATAATTGACTTTGAAATATCTAGTGTTGGCGGCAACAACTTGATCAAGACTCTTACTATACTAGATATAGTTAACACCATGCTATTTCTGGTAACAATACTCAGAGTCGATAAATCTGAAAATTGAAAATGAAAAGGCATATCTCGGACTCGGATGTCTTATAATCCAGCCGTATAAATGACGCTATTGGCGTCGGAGATAGTATGTAATAACTCCGGCCTCGGGCGAAGCATTCTCATCCGTACGGAGTAAGAAAATAGCGAAACTGAAAACTTAAATATCAGCGGCGTTCTCCGTACGATAGAATCAATAGTCATTTAGCGCGCGGTCAATGACCTCTTGTTTCTAGGACTCTAAAGAGTGACAGGTAAGACATCGGACCGGTGAGAAAACGTGATAAATCTGACAGGACATTTCTCTGCCGTGTTGTGGCATTTTACTTTAAGAGAAAGTAGGTATTGGAAGTTCGGAACAGCATCTCGGCAGAGCATCTATAGCATTTAATAATTTAATAATTGGAGATGACATATCATTCGATCTATTAATGCGGAGGATATAGGATATACCCAGCTTGTGGGTCGAGTTCTGTATAGCTTCATGAAGTTGGCCGACGCCACGCCAAGCTGAGAAATCCTCTTCAGTGAATCGGAGTGTAAATTTCGCCATTACGTCTAAGACTAAGATAATACAACTATTATAATGTCATTAGCGAGAGGAAAAAATGCTAGATGAGTGCAAGCAACGTTGCATATTGTAGTCTTGTTGAGTAGAGTGGTTTCGCAAGTAAAAGAACACTTCAACTATCGCGAGTTGGTAGACTAGGTGCCAATGTGGATGTTTACAGCCCTGGCATAGTAGACTTCTATTATAAGCTTGTTATTTCTAAACACTATGTTGTTCGTTCAAGACACTACAATCCGCCTTGTCAAGTCTTTGGCAACCCACTCTTGATAAATCAGCCTAACATCTGAGATAGTCTCTCAGCTTCTTCATCGCACTATGCTACTATTATTAAGCTGTCAAAGCTGAAAAGCACCACGGCCCCCCCACAGAACAAGCGTCTTATAGCGTGCTTGGCGGTTTTTGCTGCCGTAACGAGCATAGTGTCGCAACAGATTTCCCCAATCATCTCACCGGATGCCAGCCATCGGCGTTCGGCTTGGCATCCGGTCCGTATCGGCAGCTCCACTTCATGTCAACGCCCTTTGGCCATCGCCAGCTAAAAGCGATGCAGTCGGCTTATGATTCTATCTTGAACAAGCAGAGTCGGATTCTATTGCTTGTATTGGACCAACACTGTGAGGTGAACAACCATGAAGGTTCGGAAGTTAACCGTGTGCCATACATGCAGAGCGAGGAAACTAGGGGTGAGTTGTCTCAATTTCCTTTGGTCTCACGATACTCTTGGATCATCTGTCATCTTACATCTTGCATCTCGGAAATATTAACTAAATCTGGTATTTCCAGTGTGATGGGAAACGCCCAGCATGCTCTCAGTGCACAGGAACGAAGATCAAATGTGGAGGATATCAATATGATCTCGTCTTTGTACCGTCCTCGCTATCCATAGGGCCATCGACAAAGTCCAAGGTGCGGAAGGATGGGAAAGCCGGAAAGAAGCGAGACGAGTGTACAAAGCACCAAAACCTAGTTTCTACGGACAGGCTCGACGAAACGACTCAAGCAGCCAGGCCAGTAGCGAGATATGAGACGGCTGTAGTGTGGCCGTCGCTGGCGTGGCCCTTTCAAGATATCATCTCCCTAGTTGTGCAGAACTTTTCACCAGCCATGATTCCCAGCACTTCAGCTTTCTTGAACTGGGATGTGGATATTTTCCCTCGAGTTTGCGGAGCATGGATTGAGCTTCTGCCTGTGTTGTCAATGACTCGGCGGTATGAGATGACTCTGTCTTCATCCGTCAAGGCCCTGGGCGTCTCCATCTTGTCTAGAGGCCGCAACGGAATAGCGCCGATTTCAGATGCTCTAGCTGCACACTGCTCCGCACTGAACTCGCTTCATGACAGTCTGCATAACATAGATACGTCCAATTCTGACGCCTTGGCGGTAGCCATCATGTGCCTAATGATCTCGGAAGTAAGTGCCGAACTCTTTTGGGCCCTGGCGCACAGTGCCATTTGATGCCAAGATGCTGATTTGGACTTTGTTTATATACTAGATGATATTGCCAACTTCCATCTCTAGTGGCACCGCTCATGCCTCTGGCTTAAGCGACCTGATTCAGCTGCATAGTCCAGAGGCATACTCATCCGGGCCGTCCCATAGGGTATTCATTGGCCTTCGTCCCGCTATTGTATGAGTCCCTTTCCTGCATCTCAGCTCTCAATTCGATTTATTGATTATCAACCGTATGGCAACAGATTATCCATGCAATTCGGAAAAAACAGCCCACATTTCTCGCTGCGCCCGAGTGGAGGACGAAGCCATTTCAATATGTCAAGGCAAACTCATTCCACGCTCTTATGACGGAGGCGACTGCGCTTCCTTCCATTCTGGTTGACATCGACGATTTAAAATACGGCTCACCCGGCTCAAACTCACCTTTTCTCGTGTTTCAGGCACTCAAAGATCTTCTCAACGCCCTGATTACTTGGAACATTACATTCCAAAGCCTTGATAATAAGCCGTCATTCCGTATTCTCAACAAAGGCGCAGAAAGACCATGCTTATGGTTTCCCGATATCACTTCAGCGAATTCGATGACACACTACTGGGCTTTCTGGATAATGTGCATCGTATATATCAGGAAGCTGAGAGATGACTATCCTGAACTTCGAGACGACGACTTTTTAATCAACGGCGAGACTCCGGAGAGTCCCATTGTTACAGAAATGGCGATTCAAATGTCGGCTTGGATATTCCAAAGCATCGAGTACTTGGTGCAAGAAGAGATGAGGCTGTTTGGAGCAATATCCACAACACTACCAACCAGAATAGCCTACCAATTCCTCCGATTCAACCATTTTTACGACTACGAGTTGATTTCTTGGTGCGAGGGATTGATTGACGGCATCAGGAATAAGGGCTACGACTATATTGCTGAGTACATAGTAGATGACGATGGAGTATAAGATTTAGGGGTGAGAAACAATTCAGTTCTTGATTTTTGCTACTACTCTTGCCTCTTCAATCAATGATATCCTAACACAGGCTAGATGTGATCTTCTCCGGCCTCATGCACCAATAATAATGCTATGCCTGATCAGAAGATGACCTTGCGTTGACCACGAGGAAGCCAGAAGACTTTCTCGCTGACACCTGCCTCATCAAAGGCCTGAGAAGCCGGATCCTTGCCCTCAGTGAAGTGGCCCCATCCCTCAAAGTGCAGGGGCACGGCTTTGTCAACGTTGGCATCCTTAATAAGCTGTGCAGCTTGCTTTCCATCCATGGTAATCTCCAGAGGCTCAGGCTGTCCTACTTGAATAGCGGCCTTGCCAAGGTTGAGCAGGGCGAGGCTGATGTGGTAGCCCTTGAGGCTGTTGGCAACATCTTGGTTGTAGATGGTGTCACCAGAGAAATATATGGCGTTGGGAAGACCATTGGTCGAGCCAAAGTCGGAAGAAGTGACGATGAAGCCGATGCATTCGCCCTGCGGAGCATGTTCTGCCGGCGTGGCAATAATCTCAAAAGTCTTTCCGCCAGCAACCAGGGTGGCCTTGTCGCCAGGGTTGAGACCCGCGCAGACGGCTTTGTCACCAATCTGCACAGCGCCATCTTTGGTTGTGAAAACCTTCTTGCCTTCGAGGACCTTGCGACCGATCTCGTCGAGGTTATCGGGATGATCCTCGTGGCTGAGGAGAACGGCGTCGATGGGAGGAAGGTTTTCGGGCTTGATGGCGGGATCTTGAGTGTTCTTGAGCACAACAACGGGACGCACCCATTCCGAGCCGGAAGGGGAGAAAAATGGGTCGGTCAGGAAGGTGACATTGTCGATTTGGAGAAGGGCAGTGGCAGTCCCAATGTAGGTGACGCTGACGGAGCCCTTGAAAGACGACATTGTTGCTTGGTTCGATCCGGGAATTTGTTGACTGACTGTTGTTTGGTTGTTGGGTGAATAGGATCCTTGTTTGTGTGTTTGCTTCTGGAAAATTCTGGGTTTGAGATTCGAAGGAGGAGATGGAGGTATTTATCGTCGTTCCTCAACAACGTTGTCAACGGACTCAACTCGGGATACTTACCTAACTGGAACAGGACTTCTTAGCGATCATCATTCTGACAAACGTTGCATCACAAATACAAATCGCTGTTAATAATCGAGACATTGCAAATTCCTTTTCTGGCTATCTCGCTTAACTCGTCTTTGCGATTTTTGCTTGCTTTTCTACTCGATATTCTCGAACAATTGCAGTATCATGGCTGACTTATACCAACTTTGAAAGTCTTGGCGGGTTTTGCTACCGTAAACGGTTAGCGCCTTTTGATTGTCCACGAATAGTCCATCAGAGAGCAACATATTGTACAGCCAAATGGACAGGTTGTGACGTTTAGGTTGAAACGAATTTCGATATCAATCTTGTTGCTTTATTAATGCATTATTAATCGAATGTCAGCAACTATTTGCGCGGGTAAAGCATGGAGGGGTTTCTTGCTTATATGGTTTCTGGTGGCGAAGTACGGTTCGAGACTAAGACGACATGTATAGATGTCGGCAATTGGAAGTTGTGGTAGCCGACTTGAAATGACTCGGCCGGCAGATATTGGACCAAAGCAGTTATTTGTTGAACACCATTGCAATTAGATCAAGTTGCAAGTTTCTCATTCCATCAGTTGCAATGTGGTCAAGGCAACCAGTCTGATACCAAGATGGAATGGGTATGTATTGAGTATATCAGTTCGGCTGTATTCGTATGCTTAAATAAACGTCTCTTTATGTATTCTCAAATTAGCCGTTGGATATAAACGCTAATATCTCATTAGACTGTGTATGGATCTATGTGCGTAACACAACTCCAACCATGGCAGAAGTCTGCGGAGCTTCAGGCTCTCCTTCTTCAGCTATATCCATCTTCCACTTATGCATTGAGACAAGCCCAGGTTCGACAACAGAATATCCTTCCGTGATTTGTTTAACTACGTCAATATCTCGTATGATCAGAGGCGTAGGCGTCTTTGCATACACAGCAAGCACCTGTCGAATTTCTTCTTCCGTTACAAAGTTCGAGATTGTATGAGAAAAGCTAAGAAGGCTGCCCGAAGCAAGATTGTCTCGCAGGTTTTTGAGAATGGCGCGGTCGGTATCTATAGAGAAGAAATGCAGCAGTCCCATCATGAGTACACCCACAGGCTTCGAAAAGTCAATCAGCTTTCGCGTCTCTGGGTGGTTTAAGATCGGCTCTAGCTCGAGAACTGATCCTTGTATAAATGCAGTCGTAGGATCTCCACCAAGCATCTGCTGACCAAAAGCAACAGCGACATCATCGACATCCACATAGACGACGCGAGCGTTTGGGTTTACCCTCTGGGCCACTTGATGCGTGTTATCTGCACTGGGTAGTCCTGAGCCCATATCGATGAACTGGTCAATGCCTTGAAAGCACATGTATCGCACCGTACGGCGCAAGAAATGACGAGCTTCCACAATAACGTCGATGGTCTTTGGGTAGGCTTCCACGACCGCTGCAACAGCAGCCCTGTCTGAAGGATAGTTGTGTTTTCCGCCGAGATAGAAATCGTACTTGGCCCTGGTTAGACATAAAGAGAAGAAAATTTGTAAACTTCTTATTGTGTGATACATACCATCCGGGCAACTGAGGGCCGTAATACATCGACGCCGCTTGGGGGTTCGGGATCCATGCTAGCTTGCGCCATGTTACAACAACGAAGAAGCCTTCTGTTTTCTCGTGATTCACGAGTTAGGAGAGTATCGATCGAACGTTAAGAGATAAAAAAGAAAAGAAAAAATGAAAGAAAAAGAAAGAAAGGGAAAAAAAAAAGCGAGAAGAATAGAAGAGAGTCAAAAACAAGTCCCGAGTTAAAGAAAATGGAAGGTAGAGTGGGGAAGTCCTCTAATTCAACGATGACTAGTAATATAGAAACGCGTACGAGGAGCACATGAGGAAATGTAGTATTAGTCTACTTGAAGCAAAATGCCAACAGTGGAAGAAGAGGAACGCATGTAATATTTTAGGCCGTTTATGATTCAGTCTACAGGGAAGTGGATGGTTTTTTTTGGCGATACTGGCGTTGTTTTCAATGGGCTCCTTCAATATACTAAGGGTGCTAAATTGATGGATCTTTCATTTTTTTCCTTTTTAGGAAAGTGTATATATACCAAGCGTGTTCAATTAAGAGGTCCTTCGTCATCATATTCCCAGAAAAGTTATAATGTTTAAACAGCGATATGAGGTCACATGTATGATAACTTGATATCGCGCCCCTTTGCCACGACGATCCATGGCTATCATTCATATCACCAAAACCTTGACTTGTAACAACACACCAGCCACGTGCTCAGTCGGGTCTTTTGTAAAACCAATTCTTCCGAATAATCGTCAATATATGTAGCTCTATTCATGAGCAGTTTCCTTTTCCCATCTCTATATCTTTCTTGTCGCTCCTTTAGCTGTCCAAGCCAGGGCAATTCTCGGATGTAATGCTGGTAACAGCGGTGTGTGGCGCAGGGGAAGTCCAGATCAGGTTGAATGAATCATCCGGGTATGTAGGAGGTTTGTCAATGCCCATTGCATCCGCAATGTTGGTAAGCTCGCTGTGCTCCCAGCTAAACATTGTGTTAGTGAAACCTATCATACTCCGAGTAGTAATGATCATAAACACTCACCAGATGAGGATGTTGCCTGAGCCTTTGTAGCCACTGACGAGGTCGGCGACACAGTCGGACTTGGTCTTGCCGCAGCTTGTGTCAACAGTCAAGCCAAGGTCCTGGGCCAAGGGAGTGACTGTGTTAAGAGGACGAAGTCGGCTGTCATCTGAACTCACTCAGTCAACACATTGGAAGTCTAACAAGGTATCGAATGGTTCTGGCAGGATGCAACTCACCCTTGGGCTTCTCGGCAATGATGTAGCCAATGTTGTATTGGGAACTGGCACCAAAGACGGTTCTCAGGCATTGGGCGCGCTGCTGTCCTTGGGCGCTTAGGTTGGGATCGCTATCATCACTGGGCTTCTCGCCGTGTCGGATGAAGTAAACGGTCTGGGCGGAAGCCAGCGCGGCGCCGGCAAGGAGAACAACGGCGGCCTTCATCTTGGAATGGTTTTAAGAGACTTGCAAAGCTACGGCTGAAGAGGAAATGGTCTATGCGACTCTGAGGATGGGAACGGGGATAGTATTTATAAACCCAGCTCCTATCACACATATCACAGTGAGCGTAACGCCATAGTTGTATGTGGTTCCTCGCTTCTCCCCCTAATTCAGCTTGCATAGCATAGCTTTGGTTCCTTCTTGATCTAGATGTTTCAGCCGGCAACTGGAGCTGGCCAGGGCGCTATCTCCCAATCGCGGCTGATGCTCCGTAGGGCCAGCGAGGAGACAGGGAAAGGATCGACATTCATGCCCCCAAATTGTGAGTGCAGAAGAGTACATAGTAGCGCTGAAAGTGGCTTTCGAAACGCTGCCTGTAGATCATTTCGTTTCATGATCTAGCAACTGCCCTCATTGAGGCAGGTAAAAGCTCCGAGCGCATAAGAGCACGTAATTGGTAGATCTTTGAATGAACTCGAACATAGAGTCTCGCAACTCAAAATCTCAAAAGTTTCTCTACTCTTTGCTTCAACATCGCCAAAACGGCACATGCGACTCTAACCCCACGGCACATCCTTCAACTGTGGAGACCGCGGGCTGAGGCCCATCGGCTCGTCCCATCTAGCATTGCGGGAGCATTTAATTCCCGCTGCATCGCCTAACACGGGGATGCTACGCTGCATCTCATTGGAAGAAATCTCACGTCGTGATAGCGGGCGAAGCATCTCGGTAGACGTTTTAGGGAAGGCAGGTTAACTTGGATCTTATTTCTCGCCGTCTAACTCAGCAAGGATCGATATGCTTATTTTTTGCGGTGTTTTCCGTCGTCTTACAAATTTTTGTTGGAAAGAAAATGCAGTGGGTGGTTGCGTGCAAGGCGTGGGACGTGAAGCTGACAAGATATGGAACTATCGGCATTCTGGATAAAGCGGCATCACTTACACCAAGCGAGCAAACAGTTCGTTGAGGCAGTGCAAACATAGAACGAGCAGCTGCCCTATTGAGCAGGATATGAATTTTTTTACAAGCAGTGGTAGAAATTTTGGCACACGAGCAGTGTCCGTATCTGTCCAAATTTGTTCATACGCCCGATCTGAGACTGTGCATGAGCAGGTTGCGTGTAATACAATACTACCCAAAGTCTGGTATTGCAACCTTGCTGCTACCTTGGCGAAGTTGTTTGTGTATGACAACTTTACTCAGTTTCAGAAGAATGAGTGAAGGCTTCTGAGATGAATACTTCAGACTTGGCTTGATCTTCAGGCGTAATGCATGTGATTAAATCGTTATATGTGAGAACCTCCATTCTTTAATCGTATCGCTTGTTAAACTCGGCCCTTGCATTTTCAGCAATTGCATCGTCAACCAGAACCTTTATAGCCAGCATCGCCATGCCCTTCCCGCTCTTCATTGCCACCTTGTGAGAATCATCTGTTCCTGCAGCGGCCGCAAACTCGCGGCTATGCAGAGAAACACCCGGCGCTGTCTGGATGCCGAATCCACTGTGGATGCCAGGCACCACATGAGTGACATTGCCCATGTCGGTTGAGGCGTTGAAGCTCTCAAGCAGCTTCATATCAACCTTGTCGCCTAGAACAGCCATCTCCTCGATGTACGTCTTGCAAAGTACGGGATTGGACATGACGCTCTCGTACGTGTCCGTCCTATTGTCATGTAAGAAAAGCATTCATGGATAAACTTGCCTGCGAAATAACGAGAACTCTGTTACTTACGGAATATAATTGACCTTGCAAGCAGTCGCCACAGCAGCTGCCTCTATGCAAGCCTTTACTCGCTCTACCAGAAGCGCTCCACCCTTCGTCGTTGGAGCCCGGACATACCAATTCATGCGCGTGTAATCGGTGATGACATTTGGTACAGTCCCGCCAGCTTCGATCACACCATGAATCCTCTCATCAGGGCGGATCTGCTGGCGCAAAAGCGACACGTTGTTGTACGCAGCAACGGCGGCGTCAAGAGCGTTGACGCCATTCCAGGGTTCGCCAGCCGCATGTGCTGTTACGCCGCGGAACTCGACGCGGAACTTGAAGCTGGCGATGAGATCCAATCCCGCAACACCAGAGACTTTGCTGCCTCCCGAACCAATCATGCGGTGGATAGACATGGGGTGGGCCATGATGGATGCAGCAACGTCTTCTGGAGGGTTGAAGGCACCGGCAGTAATCAGTTTCGCCTTGCCGCCACCGCCCTCTTCAGCGGGTGTTCCCAGAATTCTCAGCCTGCCTGGGACGCCCAGCTTGGACAGAGCATGAGCGGCTCCAAGGAACGTGGCTATAGATGATGTGGCAATGAGGTTGTGGCCGCAGCCGTGTCCAATATCTGGCAACGCATCGTACTCGCAGCACACAACAACTTGCCGTCCGCCAGAGCCAATGGTCGCCTCAAAGCTGGTATCAAGGCCCCAAGTCTTTCGCTTCACATCGAATCCCTGCTTCTCCAAGAAGGCGGTGATTGTGTCGTGTGCTTGGAATTCTTTGTACCCAAGTTCAGGGTTATCGTGGATTGCTCTGTTTACTTCGCGAAGTTGCGCGCTCACCTCGTCAAGGTGAGAATTGACGAGCTGCCGCGCTTGCTCGATATCAACTTTGCTGCCCATGTCTAGTATGTTTTGCTATATTGTAAGACTGTTGAAGTTGGTAGGATCAGAAGTGATGTGAGTATTTCTCAACAAATATATATCTTTTCAAAGTCTTCATGACATCGCTATTCTCCTCCGATCTGATACGTAAAAGTGGGAGCGTTCCATTAGCTAGTGCCATCTCGCCGACTTGATTGGGTCTCCAACAGTTCCAATCTCCATTTGCTTGGCGACCATCGGCTTTGTTGGCGTCATGCGGGGTAGCAACCCCCAAATCTCAGCAGCTGTTAGGCCTATCTTCTGGAGCTGGAGACAACCTCAAGGCGTACTACGAGCGGCTGAGGCTTACCGACGGTCGGCAACTCAGCCGTAGCGACGGCGCACGAGGACAGCATCTCGCAGGCCTCCATTTTCTTAGGCGCCTTCTCGAGACTTAAGATGGGGACATCTCGTAGGCCCACTAAACAGATTGATAATACATTTTAGAATCAACCTCTTCCATTTCAACAGAGGGTCGACCTTTTGTTGCTTGAGTCAAACAGACAAAACTGGAACCTGAGTTGTTCGACATGGATCGTGCCAACTCTCCCGCTGGCCCTCGTCCAAAGACCCGCCGCTCCAAAAACGGATGCTATACTTGTCGCATCAAAAAGGTCAAATGTGACGAAGTGCGGCCGCGATGTGAGCGATGCGTCCGTCTTAGACGGCTCTGTGACTACGAGCCCAAGATGAAGCACAATGACGTGCTGGCCATGTCTCGGGGGTATAGGCAAGCCCTTGAGAGCTCCAAGACATTGCCAACTTGGGCACAACGTGCAGCATTAACTCGAGCCCTTGCTCTTCCAACACGGCTTCCAGAGTTTCCTAGTAGCGCGTGCTCGTTGGATCTCACTTCGGCTGATCATGAGGCAATACGCTATTTCCGTACGACGTTTGCTAGGATTCAGCACACCAAGAATCCTGATTACTCACTCTTCTCCATAATATTCACACTCGCTGAGGATGAGCCCATGGTTATGCATGCCTTATTGGCTCTCGGAGGCAATGAAATTGAGTTTCGGCGGAACAGCAATTCGGATGGTATTGTCAGACATACTCCCGCGACTGAGCAAGGACGCCGTAGCAAGTGGACTCCTGTTCAACACTATTCAGCTGCTTTGGGTCTTTTAGCCGATGTAATAGGGGCTGCAGACGACGGTCGGCAGTTGGAGTTGGACCCCATCTTTGCCGTGTTATACCTGATGCTTGTTTACGAGCAAAAGTATGGTGACGGGTCGTGCTCAGGGTTATCAAACCATTTGGCTGGAGCTGCCTTGATTGTGAAATATCGATGCCAGAACCTATCAGATCAAATATCCAAGCGTGGGTGGCAGGGAACCCCAGTATTAGCTCGAACAAAGCAGCTGCAGGGCCACGCAGATGAACTTGGTTTGTCGCTTTTTGTGATCCGGCTGCTCGTCTGGATTGCCCTTTGTGATTCAACAGCCGCTACTTTTGGAATTGGTGGCCAGTTCAATGCTGAGATAAAGGGCATTATGGGGCCCGATGACCCTTCCTCCATTGCCGGCTTCGATGCTCTGCATAGATACTCGAATTCTTTATATCGCTCCATGTGGGGTGATTCATATCCGCAGGTAGAACTGCTGGATGACGTGGAGAATCGAGACATCTTTGCGTTTCTATGCGCCTGCATGCAGCTTCGCGCCATGATCTCTGGACTGGTCAGCCTTGATGTGAATGAGCTTAGGCAGCTCGTACCCGCAGTTGAAGCTGCCTTTGAACAGATTGACAAACGTTATGGGGAGCTACTTGAGGTAGCATCAAACATTTCTCTGTCTACAGACAGTTCACATCGGCTAGTCGCCAACATTCGCGCCTTTGTTCCCCTATATCATGCATCTAAACTTGAACTCCTCCGTCTAATCCGTGGAAAAGAAATAGCTAGCAGCACAGAAATCGTTCCAAAAATACATATCAGCGCCATCATTGATTTGGCCATCCAAGCGGATAAGCATCAAGGTATTGAAGCTGTCATTCGGGTTGCTTGGCCGCTCTATGTGGTTGCTCTTGAGACAAATGACGAGGTTCATCAACGTTGGATCCTTGGTCGATTTCAGATGATGAGTCGCTACAGCAAGAATTTGGAACGCGCACACCGATTCTTAAAAGAAGCTTTACCGCTGGGGGGGATTTCTGGTAAAAGAATAGGGGTTGGTGAAAATCCTCGCCTGTTGAATGGTGAGATATTCGTCATATAGTGTAGCAGCGCTTCATCAAGTTTAGTTGCTGCAGACTATGGGTACCAAGCAAATCTGAGGATGAGATTTTTGCATGCTCTTAAAAGATTGCAGTATATAATGAGTCTTTGACATTTTAACGACTTTGAACGTGATTGGATATGGATATGAAGCACGGATCGATATCGTTTAAGCCAATGATTACGCATAGCAAATAGCTTAATGTTTTATCTCGGCAGCAGCATTTTGAGTTTCAATGGTCTCATCGGAGAATTAGCAGCACTGCGTTATCTGTAACTTCCTATACAAGTTTCTTTAGCGTGCTCTTAGCCTTTCCTTGCTGTTCAGATTGGAATGTTGATTTCGAATTCCGGGCATAGGGGGGATCCAAATATCACAATTAGCCCCGACTAGCTCACATTTAGTACGCGAGCTACCAAGCGAGAGACGAGATACCCCATTGTCCTCTTTCAAACATGTATTGGCAATGATAAATCCTCGTTCTTGTGAAACAGTCACTTTGAGCGCCATTGGATAAGTTATTGAATCGCCATGAATTGTAACGAACTCCAAGAAAACACCACTGGGGAGCGATATATGATCAAGCGGCCCAAGGCGCTGCAATGGTTTCATAATGGGCGACTCGTAAAGGAAAGCGATGAGGAGCGACAAGCAGGTCGTTTTGAGCTCTTTCTCGATTTACTGTGTAAGTTGTGGCAGTCTTTGAACTGAATCAAAAGAGGTGTTGCTAACAGAGACATCAAATATTGCGATGCAGACGTTGCCATTGTAGCGAATTTCAGCGACGACCTCGCCGAAAACCCAGATGGACAGCACCTCGCCAAATACATTCTCATTTTTGCGCCTGCATGGCACATATGGGTCGATCTTCGCGAAATTATGAACTCATACTACACCGATGACCTCCTCCAACGACTCATCATCCTATGGGTCATGGCGCTCTTGGTTCTGTACGCGAATAATGCCCGCCTCGTTGACGAAGATTTGACGGCGATGCAAACGACCGCTGGTGCCTACGTCGTAGCCCGATTCACCACCATGTGCGCGTTTCTCGTCTGCTCCTTCGCTAGTTATCAGCATCGCGCGCAGGCCCGCGTTTTGGCTTTTTTCATGTTCATCGGCCTGTTCATCACTATTCCGCTATTCTTTGAACAAGTCAGCATTGAGGCCAAAATCGCCGTTGTCGCTGTCATCATCTTCTATCAGGAGATTACCTGGTCACTCACTCTAAGCCCCTGGATCAAGCGCAAGTTGAAACTCACATACAGCACGGCGGTTGACATTGCTCACGAGATAGACCGCATGGCTGCATTCTTCATCATTATTCTCGGCGAGTTTGTCTATAGCGTAATTGTTGGCGACCCAGCTGGGGTGGGCTTAACACAGGGCTATGCCAAAGCTGCTTTCACGCTCATCATTGCCTTCTGCCTCAATTGGATATATGTCAGCGGTGATGGAAGCTTGGAGGCAACACATCCAATTCGGCGATCTGCTTGGACGGCCTTTGGCTTCTTTCTGCTTCACTTGCCGTTGTCCGCGTCGTTTCTCATTGGCGGTCACATTGCAGCCATCAGCACGCGGCTGGACGAGTTTGAAGATGGGCAGCGATGGCTTCTAGGAGGAGGTCTGGGTGTTGGCATGTTTTGTCTCTGGATCTACGGCATGTTGTATCGCACGCACGATGAAGATTGCCTGATCATGTCAAAGACACCCCGAATCGGTATGCGTCTGGTTGTCGCCATTATTTTGCTTACATTACCTGCAACGAACGATGGCTTGTCCACGACGGATTTCATGGCAATAGTCATGTCGCTGTTTGCGTTTTTGGTCATCTGGGAGACTGTTGGAGGGCTTCTCAAGGGGGCTCAGGTCTTTGAGCCCTGGACTGATCGGAATCCGCCTATAAGAGATGAGGAGGGCAGCGAAGAGGATTTGTGAGGCGCTCGTGCTGCTACATCGTTCACAGTCAGAAAATGAATCGTTACGGCGATGATTTGTCAATTAGGCAGAAGGAATTTGTTCCTCTTTACATAATTATGCCATGAGTTTAATCTGTTATTTATGTGCATATTTACGTACGTATGCCTGTATCCTCAACTCTGTAGGCCTCCCGCATGGCACAGATAAGCGCCACTGTACGACACATGCAGCTATAGCCAATTACACGGCCTAAAGCCAAGGCCTGTAGGATCAAAATGTGAGACCGACACTGTTAAAAAAAAATGTTTTTTCTCCTTGCATACTGCACTTTGAAGTTCATTCTAATTGGTCTTCAAGATATTGCCGCCCAAGCTCCGCACTTACATGCAGGTAACTGCGCATAGCTTAGGCAGCTTTCAGGCTTCTCCATTTGGCCATCTTCACTTTGAATCTTAATTAAAACGGCCCATACAAGATTTTTCATCTTTGAATATCACCTGGAACACAAAGTCATGTCTTCGGTTTCTCGCATCCGAGGCGGTCTGGTGAACGCCCAACGGGAGGTTTCCAGGCGTGCCGATGCGGCCAACCTGCCCAATGCTATTCACCGGCCTGATGAAGAAGCTCCCGACATTCATTCTCGCAACGAAACTTCAATAACTTATGAAGGTGCATCTATCAACGCCATCAGTCATATAGAGAGCGATAGTCGTATTGCTGGCGACGACATCATCGGCGAATGCTCGAGCCCTTCCGTTACGACTCAAGATCATCTTGAAACAACCGAAAAGACGACACTGAACTTTGGAGCTACTTCTTCAAATGTTGAAGACATGAATGGGGCGCAAGAACCTCCTGCTCAGAGCTCCGCTGATGGAGCTCAGTCAACCACTCAACGCGTGAGTGTAGGAATCGCTATCTACGAATTTCTAAGAACATCGCATATCTTTAACACTGTTATCGAATAGCTTAGCAAAGCTGCCCGAGAGAATCCTATGCTTGCTGCAGCCACTGTGGTCACCGGAGCAGGAGTTGCTGTCATTGCTGCTCCTGTTCTCATCACAGCTCCTATTATGGGGATAGCTGGAATGGTGGGATTTACGCCGGCAGGAGTAGCTGGAGGTAAGAGCACCAATCTTCCCCATCATATTAATCACCATATTTGATGAAGCACATCTTCTCACAAATAATTAAAACGTAGCTTCTATTGCATCGGCATTGCAAGCAAGCATCGGCAATGTTGCTGCCGGAAGTATTTTCGCCACGATTCAAAGCGCTGCAGCTGGAGGATACGGTGTAGCGGCTTTGGCTGGCACGGCTCAGGCTGTTGGAGGTGCCGTTGCCGGCGCTGGAAGCATTGGCACAGCTTGGACTTGGCTGAGAGGCAAGGCGAAAGAAGATATACAAGAGGGAGAATCATCAAAAGCAAAGCCACCACAGCAGTAATGGTTACTAGGGAAGAGTTTTGAGGGGGTTTGAAGAAGCAGTTCTCATGTTCAGTCGCTCAATGTTAGATGAACATATATGATTGCATCTCAAACCAGGCCGACATCTTAATCTTTGCATCATACAAAAGGGAATGTAGCAGCACATATCACTATATAGGTACTAGTAGGTATGCACATGTAGAAGGAATATGATAGACTTCACAAACAACTCGAAAATCTTCGTTTTTATCTTTATCATGGCGACTTTAACTCTGTTTCTGAGCAAATGGTGCACAAAGTGGCTCCACATGCAACGCCATCCACTCAGTAAAAAGACCCCTTACATACATGCAGTATGCTGCCGCATTGTAGGCCTCCTGCATTCTTTAGGTGCATCAATCTGTGCAGATGCAGCTAACTGTAAGACACGCCGATAAACAGGGAGAGGGCATCGGGGGAAAAGTATCTCCCTTGCCGGGTAATTTTTGTCCATATTTATAGCTACATGCACCTCGGTGTTTTGTTTGGTGGTGCTACCCAAAACACCAAATGGTAGCTTGCAAGCTCCCAAAGCCCAGCCCAAAGTCCAGCCCAAAGCCCAGTCCAAAGCTTTATCCTTCTTACTCTCTTTGGTTCCATCCGTAAGATAGTTTTATCCAAGCAATTAGTTCACATCTTCTACTTCCAACACGGAGAGAAAAGAAAGCCAAGATGTCTTTCTTTGATCAACTCGGCCAAGGCTTGGCTATTGTCCAGCGCGAGGCCGCCAAACACATCACCCAAGAGAACATCACCCGAGCAGCTGAAGAGATTCGGAAGCACGCTGATTATGCTACGCAGCAGATACAACAGGTGTGTATTTCTTTCTTTCATAGCTGCCTGATATCCAACTGATGAAGACAACAACTAGCATGTCACTCCGGAGAATATCAACCGAGCGACCGAAGAGATTCGAAAGCACGTTGGTAATGCTACGCAGCAAATTCACCAGGCATGTGCTCTTTTAATCACATCTATTCATTGTCAAGCTAACGAAAATAACTCAGCACGTCACTGCGGAAAATATCAATCGAGCAGGCGAAGAGATTCGAAAGCACGTTGGTAATGCTGCACAGCAAATTCACCAGGCATGTGCTCTTTTAATCACATCTATTCATTGTCAAGCTAACGAAAATAACTCAGCACGTCACTGCGGAAAATATCAATCGAGCAGGCGAAGAAGTGCAAAAAGCTTTGGGCAACGCGGTGAGAGTTGCAGGGGAGACGGCCGAGAAGGCTCGACCTCATGTTGAAGGAGCCATCATCAATGTCAAAGATACAGCAAGCCATGTCGAGGAGTGGGTCAAAAACGAGGAGAATATTGAAGCCGTAAAGAATGGTGCTAAAGTAGCAGCTCAAGAGGTAGGTGACAGATTCACATTATGGACCATGGTTATGAAGCGACCTAACAAAGTCGATATAGACTGCCAATTTTGCCAAGGATAATCCTGGACTTGTCGCTGGAATACTCATGATGGTTGCTCCCGGAATCATCACCGCCCCGGTCATGGGCGTAGCCAGAGTGCTGGGCTTTACTACGAGAGGCATTGCCGCCAGTAAGAGCACCTTTTACAGCTTTGTCCAGTTCTTTTTACCATCTCACTTTACACATACTGACAATAATCCCCAAATTACAGAGTCAGTTGCGTCAGGAGTCCAATCAGCTGCTGGAAACGTCGCTGCCAAGGGCGCTTTTGCCACTGTGCAGAGCGCGGCCACTGGAGGATATGGCACGGGTGTGCTCGTCGGCATAGTTCGAGTCGCAGGAGGAGCTGTAGCTGGCGCTGCTGGGATGGGACGCGGGCTTTTTAATTGGTTGGGAGGTGGCCATCAAGAGCCTCCGCCATGTTGTAAAGAAGATTGAAGCCTACTTGAGATGCCAGTCCCAACCTTCTGGCTTGAAGAGTTGATACACGTATTCGAAGTATATATCCGTGCCCAAAATACAGCCAGAAACCAAATCACGGCCCGTGCCGTTTTGGGCAAAGGACCACATGCAGACTGTACCTGTAAAACTGGAACTTATCCAGCTAAATTATAGACTCTGCGGAGAACCGGGGGACGCTCCGCCACCGCGTGATTGGCATTTAGCTGTCGACCCGCCGCTCGTGTGCCCTGCCAACAATCGTGAGCGAGCGCAAGCGCTGACAACTGACTAAGGCGAGATGGTTGTTCCTAATCTGGGCAAAAGGAATTTCCGTCGCAATTCTATCGAGACCAAACTGTGAGGAGTTTCCACTGCCTCCCTTGCGTGCGCCGATCCCGATTGCCTGGAAATCTTTAACAGAGGCCCGGTCGTGGCTGAATGCGAATGCGACGATGGAGAAACCCGCAGAAACAAGAGACACAGCGGACACAGCAGCTGCTGCTGTCGTCGCAAAACATGCCAAGGACGAAGCGTCACCATCACCGACCTCGACGCCGGCAAAGAAGCCTCGCATCGGGTCGTCTCCTCGCGCCGGGTCTTCTCCTGCTGAGGTAGCAGCTTCACCGGGCTCGGCGGCCTTTGTCGCAGATTTAGTTCCCGATGAGATCGAAGCAGACGATGCGGCTAGCGATGCCGGCTACGAGAGCGATTCAGCGTCGCGAGCCTCAACATCAATCTGCAGCACTGTGCGCGACTACGAATTCGAGAATAACAGGCGCTATCACCGGTTTCAAGAAGGGCGATACCAGTTCCCCAACGATGAGCCAGAGCAGGAGAGAGAGGACATGAAGCACGCCATGATTGTGCATCTTTGTCAGGGGAAGCTTCACTATGCGCCGCTGGAGAGTCCGCAGAAGATTCTGGATGTTGGGACGGGAACGGGCATCTGGGCTATTGACAGTAAGAACCTCTCGTTGATTTTACGGCGCTCGCGTTACGCAAACTGCTGTTTATTCTTGTTCTCGCTTCAGAGCTTGGCAAAAGAGCGCATGAAATGACCAGTCATAACTAATCATGCAATTGCTTCTAGTGGGAGACGAATACCCGGAAGCAGAGATTCAAGGCATTGACCTGAGTCCAATCCAGCCGCAATGGGTCCCGCCGAATGTTTCTTTTATGGTTGACGATGCTGAGGCAGAGTGGTTGATACCCCCAGAATCTCTAGACTATATTCACATTCGGCACATGACCTCTTCAATACGGGACTGGCCTACTTTATTATCGCGAGCATATCGGTAAGTCCATTCCTGGAATTTGCCTCATCAAAAAAACACCATAATGGTAACCTGACACTAATGCTCTCTACCATTAGAGCCTTGAAGCCAGGCGGCTGGATCGAGCTACAAGAACTAAAGTTCCAGGTCAAGTGCGACGACGGAACGTTGCGCAAAGGCAACATGATTCAGAATTTCTACGAAACAATGGAGAGCGCACTCGTCCATTTCAACGTCGATCTGCTAGCTATGCAACACAACAAGAAGAACGTCACCGAGGCGGGTTTTGTCGACGTCACCGAGATACCCTTCAAGATCCCGATTGGCACGTGGCCGAAAGACCCACGGTTAAAGATGGTCGGGCTCTACAACAGGAGCATGATTCATGATGCGCTGTATGGAGTTGCCGTGAGACCATTTACGCGGGGGCTCAAGTGGACACTGGAGGAGCTGGAAGTCTATCTAGTGGATGTCCGCAAGGAACTAACGGACGGCAGTCAGCATGGCTACATGCCATTTAATATTGTTATAGGGCAGAAACCACGTTGAAGACGATGAAGGCATTTTTTTCACTCACTCAAGACGAGAATAAAGACACAACCCAAGCAGCATACGCTTACGTACATACAGTATTAGAATGTTAATAGTATACATAATAGACCGCACCCTTTTTATCTAGTGCGATTAGAAGTTCCCCGCGTCTGCGGAGCTGGAGAATTCCGATTACTATAGGCGACAGAGAGAGAGAGCCTAGATCGATCCATCCGTCCACTTGTGGCCTCAGCCCATGTTCTTCCTACAGTACGGATACCCTGTTGCAGAAGAAAAGGGAGGGGTGGAGACGTCCAGATGCATCGCAATGGAAATGGAGGTGGATTTAATCCCTCGACTCTATCGAGATAGTCCAGCTCTCATCCTATCAGCCAACCTCGCTTCGACGCACAGCTCCAAATTGAACAATGGCATCTCAATCCGTCCAACGGATGACGCTTCTCTCGCAGGAGATTGCCGCCAAGACCAAGATTATCACCGACCACCTTACTGCAAGGGGTCTGGATGCTGCGTCGTTTGATGTGAATGGACTTGCCGAGTTTCCCATTTCTCAGGAAGATGAGGAGCCATACAAGGCTCGGTTGGAGCTTATATCCCTGACTAAGGAGCTTCATGATATTGCTCTGGGTCCTAAGGAAGGGTTGAGATACTTGGCGTGGGATGTGAGTAGACAGAATTCATTGATTGATGTCTTTTCACATGTACAGTTGAGCTAACATCTATCCCAACGAACATAGTGTGTAGACACCCTCTCTCTCCAATCAATATGGGAATTCAAAATCGCAGACGCCGTCCCCATCGACGGCAAAATCTCATACGAAGACCTCGCATCCAAAGTCAAAGAGCTCAACAACGGTCTTCAACTCTCAGTCCTCGATCTCCGCCGCCTCATCCGCCACGCCATCACCAACCGTATCTTCGTAGAGCCCGAAAAGGGCTTCGTGGCGCACTCCCGCACCTCGCGGCTCATTCGCGAAGATGCGCCCCTGCGCAGCTGGGTTGGCTTCATCTGCAACGACCTGTGGCTGCCGGTGGCTCACGTCATACCGGCGATGAAGAAGTGGCCGGCGAGTGAGGAGTCGACCGAGACGGGGGTGAATCTTGCGTATAAGCAGGATCTTCCGTGGTTTGACTTTATTCAGCAGGATCAGGTGTTCTCTAAGAGATACAATCTAGCTATGCAGGCTCATGGCAGTGGAGAGGGATATTCCATGGAGTCTGTGGTTAAGGGATATCCTTGGGAAAAGCTTCCCCAAGATAGCACAGTCGTCGATGTAAGTCCAGGACTGGGACACCTACATAAGCACAATCACTGACTTACACGCACCTCAGATGGGCGGCAACCAAGGCTACATCTCCTTCGCCCTCGCCCAAGCCTTCCCCAACCTCTCCTTCATAGTCCAAGACACCGCTGGCATGCGCACCCCCGAAATCATCGGCAAGGTCCCCACAGACCTCCAACCCAGAGTCCAGCTCACCACCCACGACTTCTTCACACCACAGCCCGTCGTCGCCGCGGCTTACTTCTTCCGCATGATCTTCCACGGCTTCTCTGATAAATACTGCCTGCAGATTCTCAGAGCGCTCATCCCTTCGCTTAGGCGGGGCGCAAAGGTTATTATCAATGATGGAGCTCTTCCGGAGCCGGGCACGGCGGGGTACATTGAGGATAGGACAATGAGGACGCTGGATCTGTTTATGCAAGTCACGGTGAATGCGAGGGAGAGGGAGCCGGATGACTGGAGGGAGCTGTTTAGACGAGCTGATGAGCGGTTCAAGTTCAACGGTATATGGCAGCCGGAGAAGTCGAGGATGTGGTTTATCGAGGCCGAGTGGATTGGAGAGTAGCGACAAATGATATGAAGCATGAGTGTACGAAAGCGATTGGCGTAAAGTTGATACGAGTTTGGGTTCATAATACGGACATAACGGAGTTGTCCGCTGTCACAATGCGGCTGTAAGATTGGCTAGACGAGCAAAACTATGCATATATTTACCCCGTTGTCTAAAGATGAATGACGAAAGCTTACACCTTGCTGCGGCTAATGCATCTCCATCTTATCGAATCTGGCGGCCACGTCGATCTGCTTACATTGCTCCGCCATTTCCGTGCCCCGCCGTTTCTCAGTCATTGTCACAAGTAATTTCACTCTCAGAACGGTAAGAACAAATTTCTAATAGTAATGATGCCCGATGAGGGTATTGTGTATAATTTAGTAGTAGCGTCTGCCGTGTAGTTCGTTAATGCTCATTACACATCCAACAAGTCTTCATTCCCGTGTACCCATGTTGTAAAAATGAAAGTAAAAATCAAATCCCAGTGCAATTCCCGCCATATCCAATGATGCGATGCAATTCAATGATGGTCAAACAGGCCTAAACCCAAAATTTTTGTTCCCGTGCGGACAAGTCTCTTACAGACCGCAGTTTTTCACAGCGACCTGAGAGGCGGTGGCGTCGACACGTCCGTACTGAACGGCGTTACCGTTGGTCAGGGCATTCATGGCGTCGAGGCCAATGTTGAAGCCAGCAGCGCTGTGGTCAACAGCCAAGACGTAGATGGTCTTGCCGCTGTAGGTGAGCTTCCAGCAGGTGCCGCAGCTGGGGGAGTTCCAGCCCGCGACGGCCTGGACACCACCAATGTACGGGAAGCGAGGGATCTGGCCCTGGGTTTGCCAGTGGTATCTGGTGATGAGGCCGTTGGCGCCGTCGGAGCAGGAGACGACAGTCAGGGAGCGAGAAGCGTCATCGTAGCCGGTATCGTATGAGACTGAGCATGAATCATGTTAGCAAAAGGAAGGAGTCGAGTATATGTTATAATTCGACATACCGGTATCAGCAGAGACTGCGGCGGTGAAGAGAGCAAGCTTGAAGAGGCTGGAGAACTGCATCTTGACTGAGTTGTTGAGTTGTTGAGATATAGATATTATATAAAGCTGAGTAGTGAAGCGAATGTGCGGTTGAAGATGCTTGAGTAGTTGATTCTTGTGATGAAGGCTGAAGGTGATGGTTCAGAGCAATTGGTCTTTTGGCGAGGACGACTCTAGTCTTTATACTTTAGAGCACCTTGTCCGTCATGACCGCTTTGGGACTTGCCCATCGAAAACTCAGTCGCCTCTTCCTTCTGCTCCGATGGATCGTGGTATCCATTCATCGCCAAGTCCTTCCGCCTGCTGCGTGCCAGTTAGCCAAGCCCCTCTTCTTTCCCTTCGGAAGTATACTTACATACGACATGGTAAATAATCAGATACTAGTACTACAAGCAGTTAACCGGCAGGTAAAATGGGTAGCAATCGTTGTGACCAGTCAGTTGCGCTCAGGCATCATCCGGCTCTTTGCTCGTGTCCGATCATCTGATGGCGATTCTGGTCCACAAATCCACAAATAGCAACACCACATCCCTGCCTTTTCTCTTGAGCCAGCAAGCAGCCTAACCAGCGGCTCGTACTACAGTTGTACGTGCGGCACGGGCCATTTTTGATGCTCTGTTGCTGGGCTGTAAGTCCATGTCCGACAGATTGCGTTGCTGGGTGTGCACGGAGTAGGTATCACGGAGATTCTACTTCGTAATAGCTTTCCACCGAAAGAAGAGGGAAAAATAGGAGACATGAATTCATACTTGCAATTAAGCTCGTATTTTTGCCTTTGCATTAGAAATGGCTGTCAGAGGCGTCCATCCGTTGCTCTTCTCGTCCTAGTGTATCTCGTCACTCAGTCAATCCGCTCACTCTCAGTCCATGATGTCTCCTCTTCAGCCCTCGAAAATAGATTCTTACAGTTAGCTCTTTTGCCTAGCAGCAGCCCTTCTTCTGCAAGCGACCCTACCGGACCATCGGGGGATTTTTTTCCTGTCGACGACAGTCCTCCCAATCGCCCAAACCCCGGACAGGGACCCTGGAGCATCGCCACAGCCGCAAGTAGCGCACGCTTCGTCGATCCGGCTCGTATTGATGACGCAGTGTACCGGCCTTGTGATGCACCTGGTACGAGAAATGGGACGGTTGGCGGTTTGTCTAGAAGACGCCAAAGATGGGTCGGAGCGTGCATTGCATGTACGAGGAGGATGTAGGTAGTTGAAGCCCAACGGGATTGTAATACGAGACGACTGTATTTTTTTGTGTTTATTCTTATTTTTATTTTATCTTCGCTCCCTTTCTTCGTCTCTCTAACTTTGCTTCCATTTTTCTTCGAGAATCACTTTACTGGCCCAAGTCCTTCTAGATAGCATCTTCATACCTGCTAACGCAACCGAGGCCGTGAACCGTCACCGCGTGATGGAGCTGTGCCGGCATATACGAACCTCAGTGCATAATGCTTGCTAGTAGGCAGTAAAACGACAAACAGGAAATGCGGGCAGAACAGGCCAGCATCTAGCCAGTGCCGGGCATCCACTCGATCTAACGCTTGTAAGTCCGCTGCGGAGCAACGTCGAATAGCTTGGCTGGCTCGCCCAGAATTACTTCCCGGTACGGCAATGCGTGTTGGTGCAACGCCGCTGCGGCCGACATTTGCCCCGGGGGGGCCGGCCCAGCTTGACAGCGCATCCATGTCCTCGGCTATGATTTAGTAGGATCTAAGGGATAGGGCTGGCGGGAGGCTGCTGGTAGCCAAGTACACCGGGACTGGGTGCTTTGGTGAATATTGGCGACGTAAGCCGAGGAGAGGCGTCTGTCATGATTCAAGATTATCTCCTTTATACGGTGACAAGTGCACCTAATAAGTGTTATTTCTCGAGAGTCGCATCGTATAAAATTATGGTTAAATCATTGGCAAGGTGCTCAAGGACCCTGTTGCTGAGCCGACTTACACGCATACATGCAAGAAGCTGACCAGAAGACTAGCATCTCACGATTTCAGAAGGATAGCTTGAAGAAGATAAAGTTTATTATGGAAAAATCTTGTTCTATAATCTAGATGATTAAGTCCAAATGAATATTATTCATCTTTCTTCTCGCTTGCATAATAGTAAAGACTTTGAATGTTATGCCACTGTAGACATCACGAAGCTTCATGGATATTCACCTACCAGCACATCTAGTGCACTTGTACATCAAGGTTCTCTACAATTCCATCGATGCATCACTAGCTGCAGATCGTCAAAGGAAAGTAGAAATGTTTCTGTGACTTGCAGGTTTTAAAACAATCTGAAAGTCTTAAAGAAAAATGGTAATCACGTCAAGCATTGAGTACAATGGTGATGATCTACCCTAAAGTTGGTGTGATCTGTCTCAAAGCGGTGCTGGCCGTTTGTCTGGTGGTTGCAGCCATCTTATGCTACCTACAGTATACTTGCCATGCCAAGACTGATGCACTTTTCCTTCGTCGTATATTTAATTCGTAGCGATCTACCAAGCATTGCCATTTCTGCGTCAAAGGCAACATACAAAGTTTGCAGAAGCCTAAGCGCCATACGGAGGATATGGCTCTTTTATGAGCCAAGGTGCATTCTTCTGTGTACTAGGTATGCAATGGGCCGCAGCTGACTTACTTGTCCATTAAGCTATGGTGTAGATACAGCATGCAGGCACGTGCATACCATAAACGATGTCTCTAATGTAGAAGTTTATCGCGATAGCTTGTAAAGCGCTGGGGTGATGTTTCGGGATTCTCTCCCTACATGCATGCGGCCTGCCCCGCCATCAAAAAAGTGCACCAGACGCCGTTCTAGACAGAGCTCCGGTTATCGGGCTGCCATGATAGGGCGTGACTACTTGCGCCAGCAAGCCAACAAACATTTTTCACGACTCTGCACCTTTCAACAAGACAGCACATCTTGGCCAGCCGGGCCAATTCGACACTTGCTTGGCGATTGAGACGCAGACGACGCACCGCACATACCCTCTCGCTCTGCGGCCTCTACTGCTGCCCCTCCAGCCTCAGAAAAGTGCAACGAGCCAAGACCAGACCGCGGGCGAACACGAACAAAAGAACCACAATGGAGTCCTTCGTGATCAAGACGCCCTGCTCCAGCGCCAACATCGGCCCCGGCTTCGACGTCATTGGCCTTGCGCTCTCCGTGTATCTCGAGCTGCATGTCACGATTGATCGCTCCAAGACCAGGTCCGAACACCCTCTCAACTGCAGGGTGACGTACGAGGGCCAGGGTGAGGGCTCCGACGATATTAGCCTGGATCCGCAGAACAACCTCATCACCAGGGTTGCGCTCTACGTGCTGCGATGCCACGACCAGCGCAGCTTCCCCGTCGAGACGCACGTCCATATCAAGAACCCGATTCCGCTGGGGAGGGGGCTGGGAAGCTCGGGAGCTGCTGTGGTGGCCGGCGTCCAGCTGGGCAAGGAAGTTGGGAAGCTGCACCACTTGACCCAGGAGAGGCTATTTGACTATTGCTTGATGATTGGTGCGTCTATTGGTGTTTTATTCTGTTGCGTTGAAAAAGCTTGGACTCTGCATCGACATTTGCTTGGACCCTGCGCTAACACGTTTTCTTTGTTCGACTGCAGAGAGACATCCGGACAATGTCGGCGCGGCGCTCTTTGGAGGATTTGTTGGAACATATCTCATGCCTTTGAAGCCCGAAGATGCTTCTAGAGTCGAAGTGCCGTTGAGTGAAGTGCTGCCCAACCCGGCGGGAGGTGTCGATACTGGCAAGAGGCCCCCGGAGCCTCCCAATGGCATTGGCCACCACATCAAGTTCCCATGGAACAAGGAGATCAAGGCCGTGGCCATCATTCCGGACTTTATTGTGCCTACCCATGACGCCCGAGCCGTCTTGCCACCAAACTACCAGCGTACCGATGTCGTAAGTAGAGCGATACGAGGCAATTACGGCTTCAATGACTGACTCTATGGCTGCCTAGGTATTCAATCTGCAGCGGATAGCTCTGCTTCCCGTTGCCCTTGGTCAATCGCCACCGGATCCTGAACTCATCAACCTGGCTATGCAAGACAGGGTTCACCAGCCATACCGTCAGACTCTCATTCCTGGTCTGAATGAAATTGTCCAATCCATGTCGCCCAAGACCACGCCCGGATTCCTCGGCGTATGCCTTTCCGGCGCTGGCCCTACCATCTTGGCCCTCGCCGTGTCTAATTTTGAGGACATTGCCAACCAGATTATCGCTACTCTGAGGAAACATAACGAAAAGAAGGATCTTGCCTGCCAGTGGCTAGTTTTGGAGCCTGCGGAGGGAACCCACGTTATTCGATCAAGTTGAAAATAAGAAATATAGACTGTTCAGTGCAAACATTTTTAGAATTCAACTCCTCTCTCGGATGATGGTATTTAGGGCGTTTTGGATGCATGGTTGAAACAGGCCACGAGGTAAGAAAAAGTAAGATAGAATTCCGTGCTATGATACAAAGATCTTTATCCACAGATGCTTGCTTATACTATTGAGTAGAGATGATAGGATACTTCCTTAACAGTTATATAGACGCTTTTCTTCCAGCTTGCTGCTACCAACCCCTCATTGAGACTCCAGTCTCATATAATCAGCCCGTCTTGATGCATATCTTCCCTAGACTATATTCTTAGGATCAACGTGAAATGCCTTCATCACACCCCCCACTGCCTTCTCTAAATCGCCTCCCCAATTCTTCTTTCCTGCGTCAATCACGCGCTGGCGACTTTGCAGAAGCTCTTTAGCCACATCAGACCATTCCAAATGCGCTTTGGCAGGCTTGAAATCTGATAGTGACATATCTAGCTCAACGGGCACGAGGCTGCCCTGCTGCTTCACAATCCTTCCATCCACAATGACGGTTTCAATATCCGCGATGGAAGAGTGCAAGACAATTGCTGCCACGGGGTCTTCTTCAGCAGCACAGATCATGCTGGGGCTAAGACCATCAAAGATGACAATGTCGGCCAGTTTGCCTTCTTCGAGAGAGCCAAGCTGGTCCTGCATGCCGATGGCTTTCGCGCCCCCGACGGTGCCGAGCCGAAAGACTTCTTGCACGGAAAGGGAGAGATGCTTTGGTGCTTTGCTTGTCTCAAGAAGGGCGTGATTTCGGATACCTCGCTCTGCCTGCAGACCGAGGCGCATCTGGTTCACGATGCTGGACCCATTATTGCTGTGGCAGTCGATGCCGAGAGAGCTGATGGCGCTGGTGTCCTCTCGGAAGCAGACCGGGTAGCCAAGACCCATTTGGATCTCGGTATCTGGCGTTGAAGAAATGGCGGCGTTTACATCGCTAAGCTTCTTTGCGTCCGAGTCAAGGAGTTGGTTTGCATGCGAGAGGATAATGTCTGGGCCGAGAACTCCATGGCCCTCAAGCGCATCCACCGCCGAATGTTGGCCTTATCACTGTCAGCAAGGGAAAGGAATGAATGATAGAAGGATCAAAAAGCTTACCGAAAATGGCATTGCGCACGTAATGGGTGGTGATCACTTTTGCTCCAGCCTGACGAACCCGCTTATACAGATCAGCAACGACCTCTGTTGGGAGGAACAAGGCGTCGAATGCCAGCCCCACGTTGACTCGGCCATTGCCATATGGGCCGGCCTTTATGAGCTCTTCAACTTGTTCGACTGCCCAGCTCGGCAAGAAGTCTGCATTCATCGTGAGCTCGGGCTCCCACTGTGTTACCTTGTTCATAGGCGCATAGCAAAAGTGGGAGCGGATTCCTGATGATACGGTTGCCGCAAGTGCATTTGTGCCTAATGTCTGTTAGCCCATGGCAAATTAGAAAGTAGTTTTGACCAATTTACTGTGGGCGGGAGAATAGTTCATGTGGGCGTGGTCGACTATCGTCGTCGTTCCCGCATCCAGCGCCTCGAGGCATCCTCCTAGCTCGCCCCAGAAGATGTCTTCAGTGGTATAGTTGAACGACTGCATATTGCCAGTAGGCACATATTCCAACAGGGTGTGATCCGCATGCCGTCCCTTGAGCAGCGTCTGCCATACGTGGTGGTGCGTATCGATGAATCCGGGAGACACAATCTTGCCGGTGCAGTCAATCACTTGCGTTTTATCAGACGGGGCATCTATATAAGTCGCGATGCGAGTAATCTTGTTTCCCTCAATGAGCAGTGAGTGGCTTCGAAGCGGTACGATCGGTTTACCTCCCGCTGGACCGGGCACCAGGATGGTAGCATTGCGCAAAAGAATAGATTGAGCTGACATGGCGAGTTGAGAATACTGGGGTGTCTTTCGCGAAATAGCCCTTTGGTGATTTGGCGAGTTGGCGAGTTGGCGAGTTGCGAGGAACCATGCAATTTATATTACCTCGCAGAAGAGACGTTAATTTGTGTCTGCAAAGAATTTTTCGGACAAGATTTCTAAGCCGGAATTATGAAGTTGATCAAACCCCTTTAACACCGACTTGGTAACTTGACTTGGTGGTGGTGACCCGAGTTCGGGTTTGAAGCTTCGGCCCGCGAGAGGCGCGATGCAAGAATGACATGGCTGGACGGGCCAATAAATAGGCCGCACGCTGTGTGTCTCCTAAGATTCTAAAATCCTTCGCGCTTTATTCGTAGTAAGGATATTGATCGCAACACGAAATCCTATTTTCGAATGGTAAAGGCCCACCAAAAGTTATCGAGAACTCATGGCAACTCTTTTCACAACTCTAGCGCTTAGCGAGACTCAACAGCTGTGGTATGTCAACTCACACCAGCTGAGCTGCTTAACTAACGTTTACACGTTGAAACTGTTTGATCACCAACTAACTTCGATGTGAAAGAAAAGATGCAAGGACAAATTAAGGTTTTGGACCAGGCAGCTTCAATAGCAATACCCGGATTGTCGGACGAATTCACGACACAATAAAGAGACAGATGAATAGGAAGTGGGATCCCGCTCGCATGACAAAATAGGAAAATCGAACTCCGCACATCCCACTAGCGCGCCGTTATACTACTGTAGTGCTCGCAGGATGTCTTGCTCGGTTCTCGGCCGAGGCCACCGGAGCTGAGGCGACATAAGCTGAAAACCCCGGCGGCGATTTAGAAGTTGGTGATAATATCCGTTTGGGTGACTTATAAGGCTGACTTGCACGTAAAAACAGAGAATGGAAAGTCAAAAAAAAAAGAAGAGCAATCATGGCTTCACAATCTGCCGCAGAATCTGTTTTCGATCATGTTATTCTTTTGATTCCCCATTCCCAGCTCATTTCACTCCCGCAATGGTTGTCAGATACCTTTACTATCCTTGATGGAGGCGTGCATGAGGGTGGCATGACTGAGAACAAAATTGTTGTCTTTCAAGATGGTGTTTACCTGGAGCTTATTGCTTTTGTGGATGGCTTAAATCCCCAACATAGAGCCATGCACCCGTGGGGAAAGCAAGCTGACGGACAAATCATCCACTGGGCTCATACCATTCTAAGTCGCGAAGAGGAAGAGGGTTCAAACAAGTCTGAAGAGAAATTCCGCGCTGTTCAAGCTAGAACCGAAGATTCTCAAGTTGGAATCAAGTACCTCGATCCAGAACCCGGATTTAGGACAATGGCAGATGGCTCAAAGAGGATATGGGCCAATGCTATTCCCAGCTTTGACGAATGCAAAGGCCTAGTTCATATCAACCAACAGCCTTTCTGGACTTTTGATCGAACCCCAAGGTCTCTCAGAGCTCCTCTTACGCCAGAGAACACGTCTCATCCGTCAGGCGTAGTTGGCGTCGCTGGCATTTCTCTCGTCATAAAGGATGAACGGGTCTTGAACAACATGCTTCCCTTTTACAACGCCATTTTCAACAAGCCTGGCGTTAAAGAGAGCCCATCTAGCAATGTCATACGATATAGGTGGGAGGCTGCGGCGCCTGCTCATGCGGAATTTGGCCAAAGACATTTCTTCCTCTACCAGGGTACCAAGGAAGCTTTTACGGAGGAAGAGATGGTAGAAGCAAATGGGGAAGTGCCTGATATCTTTATCAAGCTGTCTTTGTATACTAAGGGAAGGGCGGGCAGTGTCAAGGGAACGCTTGTTAAGGGAACACTGATTACCTTTGACCTGATTCCCATTGCGTCTTCGTAGTATTTTGATCTAATCTGAGTCTTATAGTAAATGCTTAGCATGGTTACGAAACAAAAAAAGAAAAAAAAAAAAAAACCATTAAAACTGAAATAGTCTCTCTCATAGTAGCTGCTCATGCGCAATACTATGTATATCAAGATTGCTTTTCCTTCTGCTTAATGAGCCACGTGCGCCAATCTTGCATCTCACTCGCAGTTTTGGCCAACTCAATCTCTTCATCCAGCGTCGGGTATCCTCCATTGACTCTCGCCTGGTGAACCCTCTCCGTATCTTTAATTCTAGGCGATAAATCAGCAAAAAACCGCAATAACTAGTGTTGTAAGTGGCATAGACTTACACATGCTGCACGCCGGCGCTCAATTTGAGAGCTAGCCATGCCAAAATGGCTGGAACAGACGGCATTGTTTTCCCCATGACCTCTTTGTATGCTTTTTTGATCTCATCCATGGTATAGCTTCCGCCTGCCACGGTTACGGTCTTGTGTGTGTATCTCTCATGATTCTTGTGAGAGCAGTTAGCAAAGCTCGTCATGACTTGAGGTATGGCCGAATTACCTGGATGATCCCCGCAGCGACTTTTCCAATATCTTCTGATGCCTGTATCCAATGTTAGTTATTTCATGGTATGCTTTGGATGATGATCACGTACAACGAGTAATATCTCCGTTCCTTTTTGCAAACCCTGCGAAAGGACAGGTACGGCCAGCGCTCCCATCCAACCGTCAAAATTCTCCATGAAAAATCCAGGTTGTACAATGCTGTGTGATCATTCAGTTAGCTCAATGCTTTGCAATGCACAATTGTACTGACCTCCAATTGAGACCCTTTTCGCTCATCTTTTTGCAATACAACTCGATCTCTCGCTTCGCCAGACGAGATGCGTCAAATCCATTGGACTCATCCGGGCCGGGAGGGATTGTGCTTGAATAAACGAGCGCTTCAACTTTGAACTCAATTGCGAGATCCACAAGCGTCTATGCTCGCAAACAATTGATCTTGATCAGTGATTTCTCCAAGGGTTCATGTGCGGGGTTGGATTACTTTGCCTTGTCTCTCTTCGTCCCCGCCATTGTTTCCAAGGCCTGGATAAGGAAGCACAATGAAGACACCGAATATTCCACCCTCAGCAGCTACCTCCGTGAAAATCTGTTTGAGTCTCTCCGCATCGCTGAGATCGCCTTGTACCACTCTAATATTATTGCCATGGCTCTTTTCAACTCCTGAAAGCCGAGCTGCTGCAGGCGACGCTGTGTCCCGAGTTACAGCCCATACTCGGTATGTCAGAGCAGTCGAACCATTGGTATTCGAAGGATTTAGTAGCTCTTGTACAAATGCCCGTCCTTGCCTTCCAGTGGCACCGGTCACAATAACGTTGCGAGTAGCCATTTTGTGAGATCAACGATGAATAAACTGAGCGCACACTGGTCAGTGGATAGGGCAATAATATATGTAAAGATGCTAGGTACATGTACGTAACTTTGCGTCAACTGCAATAGCACCTTGATTACCTAGTGCTTACATACATTGATTAATGAGATTTCAGAGAATTTAGTTCAATACAGAAATAGAGCTAATGGTGTAGATTGAATCTATTTTTAAGCAAGCATATATAGATCTTACTATATTCAAGCAGAAATTCTAGATCGTTGAGATGAATGAGACCTAGCAGGAAACTGGCGCGGCCAGCATAAATTACCTAGCTTCCTACTGCAGAGTACGTAGGTGCTATATGAAGAAGTGCTGTTGATTTTATGTTATCTTCTCTTAGCCAGACTCACAGTGGTCTACAGGCTCGCTCCATGTGTCGGAAAATTCCATCATTGGTCAAAATCAACCTTCTCCCTGCTTTATCGGAAATTACCTATAAGGATATGGGTTGTACATAACACTGTCAGCTTGTAGAGAGGGGTAATTTTTTTTTTTTTTTTTGGTGGACACGTGAGGCTGGAAGCTTGGATCTCTCTACTCAACCAAGCAATCACGAAGAGAAATCTCGAGATATCACACCCGATAAGGCATCAGTCTGTATTCATGAGGAGCCAAAATGGCAATGCCAACGAAGAGCTACCGCCATGAGAACTATACCGTAGCATGGGTCTGTGCCTTACCGTTGGAGATGGCTGCGGCTGTAGCAATGTTGGATGAGAGGCACTGCAGTCTTCCAGTGAGACAGAATGATGACAACTCGTACATTCTTGGAAGAATTCTTGCCCACAATGTGGTCATTGCTTGCCTTCCATCTGGTGTTTACGGCACAACCTCTGCGACAACAGTAGCTGCACAAATGAGATACTCTTTCGAGTCGATACGATTCTTCCTAATGGTCGGTATTGGAGGAGGAGCCCCAAGCAAAAAGAATGATATTCGATTGGGAGACGTTGTAGTGAGCAAACCAACACTCAATTTCGGAGGGGTTATACAGTACGATTTCGGCAAGGCACTGCACGACGATCGCTTCGAACGTACTGGTGTATTGAATAAGCCGCCGCCTGTTCTCTTATCAGCAATATCTACGCTACAAGCAACTCAAATGCCCAGTTCTAACAAAATTTTCTCCATGATCTCGAAAATAGCAACAACACGACCAAACGGAAAACGGCTATTTGCATATCCTGGCGCGAGCCACGACATCCTGTTTGACCAAGAATACGATCATCCTGACTCAAGAGAGACTTGCAGTAGCTGCGATAAGAGAAGACTCATAGAGCGTGCTGCTCGAGATAAAAATGGCCCTAAGATTCATTATGGCCTTATCGCGTCCGGAAACCAAGTTATAAAAGACAGCAGAATTAGAGACAGATTGGCTCAAGAACATGATGTCCTATGCTTCGAAATGGAAGCGGCTGGCTTGATGGATAATTTTCCTTGTTTGGTGATTCGGGGCATATGCGATTATTCGGACTCACATAAAAACAAACAGTGGCAGAGCTACGCCGCCGCGACAGCAGCTGCCTATGCTAAAGAGCTTCTGTCGGTGGTTCATAGCCACCAAGTTGCAGATACTCCGCCAGCAATGTTGGATTGTGAGTCAAATAAAATTCTCATTCCTCGCAAATACTAAGATTAATATATTTTAACAATTCAACTTAAAAAAGTATCATGTTATGTTGGAAGCTATCCATACCGAGCGAGCACCCCCATGGATGTGATACCGCGTCAATACGGTGAGCATGCCAGGATGACATGCAACATAATTAATTAAATTAACTTGATATACAGCTGATAAAGAGTTGCTTGAGAAGATTTCTGATTATGAACACAAAAAGATCCATTGGAGGCTTTCACAAAGGCGACTTCGTGGCACTACAGAGTGGTTTCTTGGCCATCCGAGCTTTAAAGACTGGTTTATTGGCAAGAAAGTCTCAAGCTTATGGTGCTCTGGAAAAAGTACGCATGATATTCACCCTGTTTGTGTAGGATACTAATGGGCTCATGTGTATCAGTTGGATCTGGCAAAACAATGATAGCGTTCGTCTAGCCAACCATCTGCTGTTATATAACAGTCTAACAACGAATAGAACCGCGGTGATCGATGCTGCTCAAACTCAACTTTCAGAGGACAAGTTCCCGGTTGTCTTTTTTTATTGCGATTATGGATACAGTGGCGAACTGGATGCTTCATACATCGTTTCGAGCTTTATCAAACAGATATGTGAATTCCTATATCAACAGTTTGGATATTATCCAGAAAATGTTGCTTCCGACTTACGAAAGTTCTTTGGGCCTAAAAGGATTCAGCCAGACTTCGACGATCTCCAGGTTGTCTTTTCACGGCTGTGTCGCTCTGTACCTGATACGATATACATTATTGATGGAGTTGATGCCCTACAAGAAGCTCATGCCATTCGTTTCTTGAAGTTTATACAACGCTTGTTCTGTTCCTCAGATGCGTCTCAAGGGCCACGAATTTTGTTATTGAGCAGAGATCAAGTTCCTGGATATATTAATATTGGTACTTTCATCCATGGGATATATCAAATATCAATATCGACAAACGCTGAGCAAGACATAAAACACTATATCGAGACAAGCATTGATGAGAAAATGAAGTACAGAACGCTCACTAATGATGTCTCATTGTTGAACGAAATCAAAAATACGCTGCTTACTGAGTCATCTCAAATGTTTGAGGCCAGCGCCGTATTTTAATAAGAACTATTGCTAACTATATACGTAGGTTTCTATGGGCATACCTCCAATTAGAGATCTTGTGGGATACGTGCCGCACAGATGCAGACATACGTTGCGCCTTGACCAAACTACCTAGAACTATAGAACAAATTTATGAACACTGCGTTGGCAGGATAAACTTCCAGGATGGCTGGGCTCTCAAAGTACTTAAGTGGGTTAGCTTTGCTAAAAGACCACTTCATATTGAAGAACTAAGAGAAGCCGTCGCCTTTCAATCCACAGATACGAAGTGGAACGCCAATAAAAAGCCACAAAGGGACTTTATCATTGGCTGTTGTGCAAATCTTGTCGTCTTGGACCCTGTTGACAACTGTGTTCGCTTTGCACATTCGTCAGTGAAACAATATCTGGAGGAAGACAGAAAAAGAGTGCGTGAGGAAATGCTTGTTTCAGGATATCCAGCAGAAGGAAATGGAGATTTAGAATGCGGGGAGTATTGTGTCACTTACTTATCTTTCTCGGACTTTAGCCTTCAACTGACCAGCCCTTCGACCCAAAACATAGCAACATCCATTCCATCTCCCTACTCAATCGCACTATCAGTACCCGGCACTGGATTCTTCAAAGCTCTCTTCCGGAAGTCTCAAAATCAGACCAATACAATTTCTCTACCATTACGAACGATACCTATACCAACAGCTCCAAGCCGAGCGCAGTACAAATTTCTTGATTACGCAATTGCAAATTGGGCAGTTCATACGCGACATATATATTGCGAATCATTAGCGTGGGAAAATTTCGTGCAGCTTGCAATGCATGTCAACGAAACTTGGAACTTTCATCCATGGGTATCAGGTGGTCGTTCGAAAGACTCTTATCTGCACGGCCTCTTTGGATGGGCAGTCAAAGAGCGGCATAAGCCCTTATTGTCGCTTGTATTGGGTATGAAGTCATCGTTACACTTAGTTTGCAATCTTCCGATGGTCGGCGAAGGCCTTCCCGCCATTCACATTGCATCAAAGCTTGGATACGAAGACATTATTCAGATTCTCTTAGAGTTCTGCGATGTAAACAACGTTGACCAAGACGGATGCACACCTCTACACCACGCGGCTAGTAATGGTCACACTGATGTGGCACGCCTATTTCTGCATCAAAAAGGTATAAAATTTGATGTTCATTCAACAACTCACTGTACACCTCTCTGGTTGGCGGCCAGCCACGGATATCATGATATCGTATCACTGCTTATCCATAAGGGAGCCCGAATTGAGATTCAAGATGAGATTGTTGTCGTACGCCTTTATGGTGTGCGGTAGAAAACGGACATTGCGCAACGGCAATCCTGCTACTTGAACAGGGCGCCCAGATAGTATGCCAGGATATTACCGGTCAAACGCCTTTAGAGCTAGCTATCATGGGGAGAAATAATCCAATGATAGATCTGCTACTCAAGAATGAAGCTGAATTGAGATTCAATGATCCTGGAATACTTCTGGAATTCATGCAATGGGCTATTGAGAATGGGTTCGAGGCATCGACACAGCTGCTTATGAGAATCAATCAGAATCATGACTATAAAGCGCTCGTTTCTTTAGCTACTCACCGCGGGTATTCGACGGTGGTGAAAATGCTTCTCGAAGAAACTTCAAGCTCCAGTGATCAAGAGCTGCTGTTGTGGGCTACCAAAAGGGCTCATGCGGAAGTTGTTGAACAGCTCTTGGCGAAGGGTACAGACGCCAATACTGGAGATAAAACAAATAATAATGCCACGCCATTACACTGGGCCGCCCATTCCAGTAATACGGCAATCATGAAACTTCTCTTGGAAAGTGGCGCCGATGCCAATGCCAAGGATAAAAATAAGGAAACGCCATTGCATTGGGCCGTTGACCTTAGACGCCCCATGGTAACAATTGGCATGTTACCCGATAGCGATGCAGCGATAGAGCTGCTACTTGATCATGGCGCAAATGCCAATTATAAAAGCCGTGGTGGGCAAACGCCATTATACCAGGCAACCAAACGTGACCGCCTACCAATAATGAAATTGCTACTTGACAGCGGCGCAGATGTTGATGCCATAAACAACGATATGGAGACGTCACTACATGTGGCAACTAAGCATGGCCAAATACAAGCAATGAGTCTATTGCTTGAGAGAGGCGCAAATATCAATTGTGAAGATCATCTTAAGAAGATGCCATTACACTATGCAACTAAACATTGGGAAATAACGGAACCAATGAGACTTTTACTGGAGAGAGGCGCAGATATTAATTCCGAAGATCATCTAGGGAAGACGCCATTACACCATGCATCTAAAAACCGCAAATCAATAGAGCCAATGAGACTATTACTGGAGAGAGGCGCAAATATTGATTCAAAAGATCATCTAGGGAAAACGCCATTACACCATGCCTCTGAACACTGGGGAGCAGAAGAAGGAATGAAACTATTACTTGAGAAAGGGGCAGATATTAGTTCCACAGATCATCTTGGGAGGACGCCATTGAATTTGGCTTTGCAAGAACGTGTCAAGAGAGGAGCGCAGCTACTCCTTGAGAATGGAGCAACGTAGATGAATGTACGCCGTCATAAATATGCATTTGATGACTCGGCATGGTCGATAGGCAATAACGAATCTGCTTTTCACAACTAGAGTAAAACTCATTGTTGTAGCGGAAGATGGTTACTAATACTTAGAGGCTTCTAAGTTGAAGTATGGCGTATATTGAGACTTCCAGACTTAGTTGAGCTTTGTAACCCCATGATGAATGAAAACATGTATCAGTCTCTACCATGTAGCTAAAAGTTAAGCCTATGTCCCTCGGAGTCTATTATCCCGTCTTATTCCGCAAATTATGCTTATTTCTAAAATAGAATGGAGAAGCGGGATCGCTTCCCATATGCTCCACTTTCCTAGCATTAGCGAAAGACTCACAGCGAAACAGATAGGTATCTACTTCGCAATGGTAGTGTGAAAGCAGTTAGTATAATCCTTTGATGCTATTGTTCTAATGTAAGCGAACATGACCATCTAAGTGATATTAGTAGACTAAAATGACTCCAAAACGGATCATTTGCTGAATTCGTACGTAGATACATCTCTAAATTTCTGCCAAGCCCGTTGCCTGAAAAAAATATATAAAGATGTAATTCTCATAGTTCGGAGACATTCTATAAAGTTCACTAAAAAATCCAACACTTTTACTAAATAGATAACATGAAGACTGCTGCTACAATCTTTTGCTTGGCGTTTCCTCTTCTCGCCAGCGCAGCCCCAAATCTCGACAAAAGGGAAATGTGCAATGTCTTCAACGACGATGGCCCCGTGCACTGCCGAAGCAGTCCGTCTTTTAGCGCTAAATCAGTTACTACAATCGGAGATGGCGATGCCTGGGACTTCTCTTGTTATAAGTCAGGAGATTGCTATGAAGGAGTTTGGTATGTCTTTTTTGAAACCAATCATTACAGGTAGACAGCGATAGCAACGGGTATTGACAACAAATAGCTCATGGGATTACATCCCGGGATTGAAATGCTATATCAACGGGTTCTATACTTCGGACCAATGCAACTCTAGTAATTCTACCTTCCCTTAAGTGTTCCAGATGCCAAGTCTACTAACAAGCTGTGTCTTTATTGCAGAAAATCTTCGCAAGTGTTGATCTCAGTGCATATCCGGGATATAGCCATATTGAGCAAGGAAGGATGCTACCAGCTATTGCTGCAGTGTTTGTGATTACTTGCTGCGTGCAGCGCAAGTCGAATTAGGCTATGCTTTTAGCTATCAATCGCGAAATCAGATTTTTGTTACTACACCGCGGCCATTTACGTCTGAAGACCCATAATTGATACTCCACTTCAGTGAAAGGCAGTGCAAAAATTGCCAATGATGGTAGTTTTCTCATAGAAGAGGAGGCAGCGAACTCGGCTGATAGATGATATGTACATAGTTGATAGGCTTATAGCTATTCATCCAACAGCTAGGGTTACTGTATCTTACGACCTTTCCTGGCCAAGATATGTGGAGATAATGTAGCGATGTTCAAAATCCGAAAATGGCATTTATGATGCTTCGACCTCTTGCCGCATGAAAGCATATTAGAGGTCCTCCCATATTGCATTGGGATGTGTAAGGCGTGTGGCCCAGTGGAAACGAGTTCTATATAAAGCAAGCCTGGGTCCGAAATTACGGGGCCGATGCTCCCCCGCGAACTCCGGCTCGGCATCAATGCACCTGTGAAGCTTAGAACAAGTGACGATGTCGTGTTAATGTTAGAGAACCCTAGTATCAAAGTGAAATTGAACTTACTTTGAACAGATATCCGGCTCGTTACAGACTTTTAACAGCAAGAGTACCTAGGACAGATGCATATAAGCGTGTTTAGTTGTGTATCACATCTATATAAATAAACAGTTTACACAAAAGAAATTGCATTTACAGACGATGTCAGTTACAGCCTGGCTCGCATGTATCGCTCCTACACAGCGAGCCTTGGGCTGCAGAAGAGGGCTGTAGTGGGCACACATGGCAGCCGCTGACTCGCCAGCCTTGAAAGGAGGACTGCTTTGCTGGCAGCCTTTCATGCGTATTATGTGAGTCTGCCGGCCACCTCTCAAGTCTCAGGGTATAGATTGTAAGGGGAGAAAAGGAGGCGTGACGCATAAAGGGGAGGTGATGCGCATGTCGATGTTGGCCATGAGTGCCCAACGGATTTCCTCACGGATATGGCATGCTGTCTTATGCGATTTGCAAATTCCAATGACATGCCGAGTAGCTTGGAAACTCTGCCCCTCTTCTGCATCATCTCAGGCAGTAAGCGAGTTTATTGCAGCTGCAGTTTCACAAGTGTGAGCGGGTCCTCTCACGAGGCGGACCTGCAGGGAAGAAGCAGAGAACCAATACATGCCGATTAGGATATCACCATTCATTCCCAACGCTTTGGGAGATGCACCTTGAGGCTCCAAGAGCAAGCCTAACCTTTAGATAAAGAAATTTCGCTCAGTGGTTACCATTTTCTCTTTTTGAATTCTCTTTTTTCGTTTCTTCATCCCAAGCTCGTCGTCAGACAGACAAAAGCTTATCCAGCCCCAAAATCTTATCGTCCATGAACCTCGGCTTGTGGCGTCCACTGCTGACCGAGAAAAAACACTAACGGGCGCCGAGCCGAGCGAAAGGCCGCCCAGCCAAAGCAACCCCTGCATTCAAAAAGACTCGGTTCCTGGATTTTCGTTCTAATAGATCGCCCTCCCGTTCTTTGTGCATGCGCCATCTGCCCGCATTCCAGCCACGCGCGCAATACCTGAACGCCAGTTGTTGACCGAGACGCGCAGAGAGCCGAGTCTTGTGTCTGACCTTGTCTGAGACTCTGTCGCGCGTGGAAGAGCTTGCAATACAGCTGCGTTGTTGAGCTTGGCTCCCTGCATCTCCTAAAAGCGGTGCGAAGCTGCTTCGCGCGGGAAGGGGCAGCAAATCCGCGCCTCGGCTGAGAGACACACGAATTCATACAAGTCTAGAATGCGCGCACGGCCAAACGGACGGCCTCACGACCGAGCCATGTCGTCCACCAGGATCGGCGGGTTCGCCATGACGATTCCCATCATCTCTGTGGCCGTCGGATCGATGGGATACGCTGCTTGGCGCATCAACTGGCCTGCCTTGGTGCAGTCTTTTCTGACAGGGCCGGGACGAACTTCGCGGCTGCTGCTGCTCTTCTTCATCATCTTCAACTGGAAGACTCTCCCGTTTGCGTGGACTGTATGTGAACTGCTTCCTTTGCCCGACCACCCCTTGAATGACACTGATTTCCTCAACCCAACAGTATCGCATCATTTACGCCATGCTCTACCACATGGTCTTCCGCAAATCACCCAAGCTCGGTCCCCGCGCGCTCTTCAAACCCATGATCTCCGAAACCAAAGCCCCTATTCTTGAAATCGACTACAACCTTCACAAATCCAATTCCACATACTTTGCCGATCTCGACATATCGCGAACGCATCTCTGTGCCTATCTGCTGCGGCCAGCCATCCGCAGCATGTCCAACAACGCAAAAACACGGCTTGTCAAAGATCCCCGAACCGGCGAGCCTGTCAAGGGCAACTTTGCCATTGCGCTGGGCTCCGTCATGTGCAGCTTCAAGCGCGAAATCTCATCATTCCAGTCCTACGAGCTATGGAGTCGCGTCGCTACTTGGGACCGAAAGTGGCTTTACATCATCACATACTTTATGCCCAAGGGGGCTGCCAGACCTACCGAATGGTTGGATCCACGATTCCGCCGCGTAAGAACGAGAGATCACAAGGACGCTACTAGCGGTTGGCAGAAGAAGATTCATGCCACAGCCATGAGCAAGTACGTCTTCAAGGTCGGCCGCCTTACTGTTCATCCCGCAACGGTGCTTTCCGACTCAGGTTTGCTGCCTCAACGACCTGGCGGCTGGGTTAGCGGTCCCAATCAAGTGGGCGACGACACTGTCGACGTGAGCGATATTAACCTGGCTGACGATGGCGAGTGGGACTGGCGCCGCATCGAAGCCCAGCGTCGCGAAGGCATGAAGCTGGCTGCTCAGTTTAATGCCCTGGACGGGCTTCACGATTCGTTTGACGGTGGCAACTACGGCGCCATTGCCAGATTCGGACCTGGCTAATATCTCGATTACCCTGATCTCAACCTCGACCTCGACCTCGACCTGCGACTATTGTTTTACCTCCCCCCTTTTTCTACTTTTAATGATTAGACCTTGATGCATTTCCGTGCCTTTTGGGGATAACTTGAAGGGGAAACAAGATGCCTGATGATATGAAATGACACGATACACTAGACTAGAACTGCTGGTAGGCTGTTACTAGAACTTTGGAATGACAAGATACGTTTTTCGCTTAGCTGCTTATAGATGCTAAGCTTTTTTCTAAAGAACAGTCGCCCGTCTCGTTGTACAATAACATGTGCTGAGCAAAAAAAATGCGTGGCTCTTTTCCAAAAGAGCGTCTTGCTCAATCCTATATTTCCTGTCCTGTCCTAACCAAGTCCAAAGAATAACCCATAGCGAAACACCCCCCTTTTCGCTTTACAGAACAGCCATGGCTACTAACACACCAAGGGCAGCGTATGCGAATCCGAGCTCTTGTGAGAATCGTCCCGCGTCGGATTTGCTGGTCGCTGCTGATGCCGCTCCAGTGGTCGAAGTCGGGTCACTTGTGGTGGCGTTTGCGATAAGACCTGCAGATTCGCAGAGTTGCACGACAGCTCCAGCAGCTTCTGCGTGATGAAGACAATCAAAAAGCGTTAGGAACGAAAACATTCAAACGACAAATGTCACAAGGCATTGAGCTACTAAAAGACAGGATTCGAAGAGAAGGGGGCAACCATACGAGTCATTTCGTCGAGCGTGCAGCCTGCCTTTGCCATGCACGGCGAGACAGTCTTTGTGAGGTCGTTGATCTTGGAGCACCCGCAGGCGAGGTCGCTAATGGCACAGCCATCGTTCGTGACACCGTCGACGATACAATTGATGGAGCAAGGGGGCAGTTTGTCGACGAGGCTGGTGATGTTGGGGGCGGAAGCAGCTGACACAGTCAGAGCTGCGGCGAAGAGGAGGACGAGGAGCTGGAAGAGGGAGGCCATTGTTGATTTCGGTGGCTTTCAATTGTCGAACAGCAACATATGGAGAAGGAGAGATTCGACAACCAAAAGAAACGCGAACCGTCTTTGGGAGAAAAGATGTCGACTATTATTATGGATTCACAGAGCTACTACAAACACGATACGACGGATGGAAGAGACCGAGCGAGACCCATACATTGTGCCGTACAGTACGAACCAAATCTCTCGCTTCTCGCTTCCTTCCCATACTTCCACAGCCTGCACCCAATGTCCACGATGCGCGATGTCACCTCCCCCCAACACAAACAAGGGGGGGCAAGAACTCGATACTCGTGCTAAGCAGCCCGTCCCAAGCCTAAATGGAGGAGTTTTTAGCTCCAATGGACGTGTATATCACAGCCCCCAGTCGAAGTCGAACAAAACAGACTAGCCCGCCAACATGTTACTCGATGGGCTTACCGGGTCTCGCTATTTTATCCCGCGTATATATGTACGCATTTTAACCGCAGCAAAGGAAAAGAAACCAGACCGGGGAATGGAGTAGGTGAAACCCGCTACTTGATTCGGGGCTGGGCACCAGGAACAGGAGTCTGGTTGGACGGTGATGGTGGGACTGTGCTACTGCTTGGACTAGCTGGGGGGGGTTTAAATCGCAAGTTCAGTTGAGGGGACAAGGCACCCGTGTATGTACAAGTAGTACTACGATTTGAGTGTGGTCGTATGTGGCTTGTTTTTTCCGTTGTGAAAGCTGGAAGGATTTTGCTTGTAGGAGGGCGGGAAAGGGAGGCGATTCGCTGTGAGATTTTGTGAACGGTAGGGGGTGTTTTGAATGTTGAGGTGCTTTGGTTGGCTAAATACCAGCGTCGTATCATGTGTTACCGAATTTGAAATAAAGGGAAGAGAAGAAGCTGTTGGTCGACTGAGTTCATGATTCATTCTCTCGCTCACGGAGGGCGTTGTACCTAATGAATGCGCACACCTATCTTATTTGCCAATAACACAGTAACACTGCCTAATTCAGTTCCGTTCCTTCATCATGACGAGTTAATCAAACCAAGAGGGAATAAACGGACTTGGTAGTCTGGCAAAAGCTGACCCGATCTGCAGCGTGTAGCCTCTTCTGGCAAGCTTCTGGCCGCCTCCTGTCACACTTAGCTGCTGCTCTAGTCAGGGCCAACGGCGCCAAGTTATGTAATTTCTTCGGTGCCAGTAGCGTCGGGTGAGTTTGGGGAGGATTTTGGTCTTCGTCTTTTTTGGCGGCCGTTGTTGCACTTGTTGGTTGGACTGCTTGCTAGCGTTGCAGAATTTGGCAGGGGAGCTGTCTGCAGAGACTTCTGCTTTGAGCTGGGAGGATACTATGTTCATATAAAGTATTTGATACGAAGCAATAGATACAGAGCTGACAGGAGTTGATTCGATTTTCCTCCTGCGGCGAGCTGAATCCTGGGGTCAGGCTGGTACGCCCGCTATAGAACTTCAGCGACTAGGGCATGGGAAGAATAGACCAGACCGGGGTGAACTGATTTTGGTGCTTTCAGTGCGGAGATCGGTGCCGGCGGCATCGTTCCGGCTCACTGTGCCATGGAAGCAAGCTTGTATGCGTTCTACGCCTATCGATTACGAGTTTGCCGGGTATAGTATTTAGCAAGTAGAGCATCCAGCAACGACAGACTGAGCCACTTGGCAAAGCTGTAGGCTCTGGATGAACGAACTATATAAGTACTAGTACTAATCTCGGAGGTAAAACCCATCAAATGGTATTCCCAGAAGCTCATCAGTTGACATGAAAATATTTTTATCCACAACGGCAAGATTTTCTTGACTCGGTGCTTGACTCTATATTGGTCATCATCATATGAAGCTTCTGGCCATCTCCCACCATTTGGGCATCCCACAGAAAGAGAAAACTTCCAGCGAAGTTTCAGAGTGTTAAAAAAGATGGAATACCGTCATGGTAGAGACGGGGTCCCCCTTCGCATCAAGAATGGGCCCCATCGAGTAACCAAGCTTGCGCCAGGCAATCGCATAACTATCGACCTCGACAACAAATCCTCTGCACCCGATACCACAGCCAGCAGACATCACAACGTCCACCTACCATCCATCTCCATTCGGCATCGCCACCCCAATCCCACAGCCTTCCAGCACGGACTCATATCTTCATCCATAGGGGCCAGAGACGCAAGATTAGGGTTTGACAGTGCCTCGTGAGAAACGGATTTAGCAGCAGGCAGGGCAGATGCCGCAGCTGGGCCAAGGCGCAGAGGTCAGCCGCAGTGCTTCTATGGCGGCGCGTTTCCGCATGCTCCAGAAAGGAGACGTCCGGGGACTTTCTCCCAAAGCTGTGTTTGGAAGAGACGCTGCAGAGCAGAATCTCCGTGTGTAAGCTTCGAATGGCGATTTGTTGAGCGAAGGGGGATGAAGAGAAGAAGAAGAAGAAAAGAAATCGCAGCAGCTGCTCGAAGCTATGAATTTTTTTCTAGTAAATTTTAGTGGAGCCCCAACAGTGGGATCTATGCGTCAATGCGCAATTATGCATCTAGCCAGTCATCGCTGCAGCCTGCGAGGCGCACCAGCCAATCCGAACGTCGCGTTGAGAAATGCTGGGTCGCTGCCTTCGTGCCTGGAAGTCAACTTGTGTTATAAATTCTGCAAACGCGACGACGCCGCCGAGGGGATCATTGGCGACGAGCGTCCACATCGCCTGGGGCTGGTTCTGCACACGATTCTACTGCTCTTTGCTTTTGCGACGACAAGGCGAGCAGAGACACAGCAAAAATTATACACGGACGGACCTCGCGCTGTTACGCGCCAGGACGTCAGTTCCGTCTGGGAAGAAAGCTATAACCGGCTTGGAATCGATCAAATATCAGTCCCGATCTTAACACATCCGCCATCATGTCTGGTCTATTCGGCTCTGCCGCTGCCAGCGCCGCTGCCTCGACCACGGTGGGCGACCTGAAGCAGGACGTGGCCCTCAGCGATCCCCCTTCCGACAGCATCTCCGCCCTTTCCTTCTCTCCAGCCCCCAACGGACCCGACTTTCTCGCCGTATCAAGTTGGGACAACAAGGTCCGCATCTACGAAATTGCTCAAAACGGCCAGAGCCAGGGCCGTCACGCGTTTGAGCACAGCCAGCCCGTCCTGGGTTGCGATTTTTCAAAGGTAAGCGAGTGTCAGAGTGCTGAAGGAGAAAGCAGTCGATTGGACTATGAAAGATTAACAAAATGCCTTTGAAAACGAATTAGGATGGAACAAAAGTCGCCTCTGCTGGCGCGGACAAGAACGTCAAAGTCTGCGATCTGGCATCTCAGCAAGATGTTGTCGTGGGCACACACGACCAGCCTGTACGAAGCGTGCGTTGGTTCGATAGCGGCAGCGGCACAATGGTTGTGTCTGGATCTTGGGACAAGACTGTGAAATACTGGGATCTCCGGCAACAACAGCCCGCAGCTACTCTGGCTTGCCAAGAGCGCGTGTACACCATGGATGTGCAGCAGAATCTGCTGGTCGTCGGCACGGCTGATCGCTACATAAACGTCGTCGACCTCAAAAACCCAACCAAATTCTACAAGACGCTGCAGAGCCCTCTGAAGTGGCAGACCAGAGTTGTCAGCTGCTTTCCCGACTCAAGTGGTTTTGCTATTGGCAGTATCGAGGGTCGCTGTGCTATTCAGTATGTGGAGGAGAAGGATGCTACGTAAGTTGTTTCAACGCTCTGCACAACGAATTCCAGGGATAATTAAGCTAACCTACTGCTCGAACAGATCCAACTTCTCATTCAAGTGCCATCGCGATCCGGTCCAAAACAACGTGGTCAACGTGCATGCCGTCAACGACATTTCTTTCCACCCCGTTCACGGCACCTTTAGCACCGCTGGATCAGATGGCACGTTCCATTTCTGGGACAAGGATGCCAAGCACCGTCTCAAGGGCTATCCCAACGTGGGTGGTAGCATCACCTCAACCAAGTTCAACAAGACGGGAAGCATCTTCGCCTATGCCATCTGCTACGACTGGAGCAAGGGCTTCCAACATAACACTCCAAACTACCCAATCAAGGTCATGCTGCATCCCGTTAACAACGATGAATGCAAGCCTAGACCATCAGCTAAGAAGAGGTAAAGCGAGAGGGGAAAAAAGGCGAGATAGGCGGTGTATAATAATTGATATATTCATGCGGAGAAGAGACGTGGGGGCAGTTTGCCGATCGATCCAGGCGGTGGAGAAAAACGATGAATGAGAGACGAAGAGGATTTGATGATAGGAGCGACAATACCTTTCCACGACGCCTTTTTTGATGTGCGAAAGATGTTATATATAGGCACCATTGCTCCGTAGTCTAGATTGAGGAAGTTAGCATATTAGTGTCGGGGCATTGGGCCTCGAAATTACAAGTTTTGTCCCAAATACGACGTTTTTTTTTGTCATTACAATGAAAATAAAATTTGGTAGTTGACTTGATGCTCGATAGGTAGTAATTGTATGTTTATTGCATTTACTGTCCAGAGTTGAAATTCGTATGTATAATAATAAGCAGAAAAAATTGAAGTTTTTGATTAAAATTGCCTATATGTCTCGAATTCATAACGAGAGTAAATCCCTTGATCACCTTGATCATGCCCTTTTGTGGGAAATCTTGCAGAGCGAACGGCCTGCCTGCCTGCCATCATATATCGCCCATGATATGGAGTTGTGTCCATGAAGCAACCGCTTACACCAATAAAAACAAGAAAACAAAGATTCCGCATCGCATGTAAACAAAAGCAGAATATGCACACCATGTATGCATAGTCATACATGTTTAGCAGAAAAAGGCCTGCTAATTTGATTTGGGAATGGCTTGATTTGAGCCAAAGACATCCTCAACCATGCCCTTCCACAGATCCCGGATCATGCCCTGGCTCTCTTCCGAAGTGGCAGCAGAAGCAGGCTGCTCATGCACAAACTTGAGCTCAACAGTGTCCAAAACGCCACTTAGTGAAGAGAGCGGTGTGGCGGGCTGGACGTTGTCCGGGTTAACCGCGACGATGGACGAGCTGGGGATGGAAACCGGCAGATCAACATCAGGCGCGGGGTGAGCGGCGCCGTAGTTGTCGGGCAGCAGAGGCATGCGAGGGAGGGCATCTGCGAAGGAAGTGGTAGGGTTGAAGCTGCTGAAGGCAGGGAGGACGGTGGCGTCGAGGTGAGCAGCGGGAGTTGAGGTTGAGGATGCGACGCTGGAGAAGGTCTGCATCAGAGGCTTCGCGCGGTTGGCGATGGAGGGCTGGGGAGTAGGGCGGTGGGTGGTGGTGAGAGTTCGAGAGGACTGCTGATTTGATTTTGTTAGCATTTAGATTTGATGGATTGGTTAATCAAAAGGGTTGGAACATACCTCGGACATCTCGATGGGACTTCTGCGACCGCGCAGGAGCTCTGCGTACTTTGGCATCAGCACGGCGCCGGCGTTGTAAGCCGAGGCGTCGAGGAGCGGCTTGGCGGCGCGAGCTGCGGTCGTGGAGCTCAAGGCGCGGGTGAGCTTGACGGCGGGGGCAGTGACACGAGACATTGTGTGTGTGGTTGTTGAGTGATGGGAGGAGAGAGATTCAAGTTGTGAGATGCTGAAAGCTGGGAGGGAGCTTGTGTGTGTAAATGGCTGGCTGTGCAGACGCAGATGGAGAGATGAGGCAGCCGATGGAAATGTAGGCTGTTGCAAAAACAGAACAAATGGGCTTCTTCTTTTTACAATGCGGGAAGAAAGAAGAGAGAGTAGAAGATCGAAAGCAGAGGAGTAGGGGTAGCTTTTGCGAGAGGGGGAGGAAGCGACGCAAGCAGCTATTACTTATACTACGGACAGCTGCCGCCAGAGAAACAGGCGGTGCACGACTGGATACTAGATCCGATGCTTGGATTCTTTTAGGCTAGGAGAAGGTGGCCAGTCCCCGTCACCGCAACAAGAATTACACTTTCGCCTTATGGGTCATGGCCTCGATTTCCCGTTTCGAGCATCCCAGACTCAATGCTTGCTTGCTGTACATGCACCTACCAAGACAGTAGTGTAGTTCGGCAGTGCTTTTAAGCGGAGCCTGGTACCCATTTCAAACTCATGGGAATGTATGCTCAGTCTCCTCAACAAAGTCGAACATGCCAATGCCAACTGGGACCCCTTCCTTTACGAATACGCACCCGCTGTGCCGGGTACCGGTTGGGCGATTCCCGGGGGACCCTGGGGGCGGGGTGGGGGGAGACTTTGCGATAGCAGGGTACGGACGGTTTGGGTGATGTTTCGGTGAGCGGCGGAGGTAGAGGAGCATCTTTTGGGGGGCCTGGAAAGGAGGGGCTGCGACTTGTTCGAAAAGCTGTTGAGGAGACAAGAGGCACGAGCTACGCCCAGGGGCAACGGAAGAGCTCCAGCTCCCTTTTTAGCACCGGCTTTTAGTGGCCATGGCACTGCCCCCCCTGGCTGGATCTTGCTGGTGCTGTGAATCATGCCCGTTTTGATTGATTGATCTGGATCAGCTTCTCACCGATGTTTGGACCAACAAGACTGAACTGAATCCAGCAATGTTCCCGCCATTCTAACTTCATTCCTTTGATTTGCCAGTCTTAGCAAATGTTGCCGACGGCGAATTACTACCTACTTGTAGCACTGTCTCTATCTTCTTGCTTCCTACATGTGAACGTAGGCACCAACCTCTAGCCAGCTCACCTTCCTAATCACCGCCACACCCTCATCATGTGCGGCCATGCATGAACGGAACCACAACTGCCCGCCGTACCCGGAGGAAAACTGCAATCTACATCTCCATGTACATGTATGTGCGCAGTAGCCGTAGCAGTAACAGTATGTACCTAAATCTGCAGGATCTGTGACGACTTCCGCTCGGTGTGGGCGTGCCGTTTCGTGGCGTGTGAATGCGTAATGGAAACTGCAGCCATGTGCAGATTCGTGGTGTGATGCAGCCAAATTGGGGGCGGTTCTTTAACCCGCGCTTCTATCTCTTGGCTGATCTGGGCCGCTGGATCAGTCGACGAGGGGAATGAGATGCCGACATGGAGGTTCAATGCTTCTGGAGATCCTCTCTCTATTCTTCTGCCTCTTGTTCTTGATCGTCTCCAACACTATCGTCGTGTACATTTAACTAGAAGAATAGCTGCTAGCCCCTATACCGGGGAATACAGCCCCTAGGCACGCGGTCCATAGAAGAACAACGGCCCTGCTTCCCATCTTTCCCAGAAACCAGTTCGCTGGGCCAGAAACTACGCTGGCAGAAGGCATCACGCACGCACTACAGGGCGCTTGGACCGCCGGCACATCTCCGAGATGCCGGCGTTGGGATCAATATCTGACAGCTCCGCAAGGCCATTGATTGCTATTATCGCTAGTGTCTGTTTTGTCTTGCCTCGATTCGTGGTTTTGCCAGATGATTGCCTGCTTATCTGCTTGCTTTCCTGGATGTAGGTAGTAGTAGCAGTAAGCTTCTGCCTTATTTGTCTGCGGCGTTATCTAAGTAGGATTTCTCACCGCCGCGATTAAACACAGCAGCAAACGGCGAAATACACGGCTCTATTTCGCCTTGGCTCTTATGCCCAGATGTTGTATATAGGGATAGATTCCAGTCGCAAAACTACCTACTACTTCTAGTAGTAAGGGGGGTCGATGTTCAGGCAGCCAGCTAATCCCCACAAGTGGCTACTACCAACACCTAGCAATTGCAGTTGCACGAGTCGTCCGTCGCTGGTCATCCGAGTACGAAACGACAAGATACTCCATAGAATAAACTAGAAGGGCCCTAGAAACAGAAGCAACGCAAAATGCCAGGTACGGAGTCTCCGTACTGCAAGGTAAGCAGTTAAGCGAATGCGATGGGTTGAGATCGTGCACCTTGTAGGTCCGGCTTACTACAATCCCTGAAGCTGTCATCAAATTAATCTATACTCGTCCAGTGCCTACAAGCATCCTTGCCAGGGCACAGCTGAGAGAGCCCACGTGGGTATTGTGATCTGTGAGTTGAATTGCTGCTGCAAAGCATTCAACAGCCGCACATTCGAGATTTCCGAGGCCAGATTGCCTTCTTGTTCTTCAATTCTGGTAGCGAGCCACGGACGAACTTGGTCTCTGCTCCCATCAGAGTCAATGGCCCTGCAATGACGTTTGGCTCATCTCGTACCTTACTCGTAATCAAGCGTGATATCAGCCACGATATCATCTCACATGATCTAACATTGACAGCCAGAGAAGCATTTTTGTCATCTAGTTCATTCTATTCTCATGCTAAAGTGGCGATACTACTAATAGAGCCTACCCCACATCAGTAACAAACAATCTCGTGAGCTTTGTTGCCACAATACACCCCCCGCATTATCCGAGATGCAGTGCCCGAGCTTTATAAGCTTTGTACTACGTAGTATTATGCATGTTGTCTAATCTCCGATTAGATCGGTACATTGAACAGGCGACGTGACGAAGAGCTTCTTTTTGCGTTCATATAGCTGATTGACGTCTATTGGTGTATGGTAGCAGATGCTGCTTGCAAATCTCGTGTAGTATCAGTGAATAACCTTACAACTGCAAATCGCCTTCAGGTATACAAATCAACACAAAATTGTCACTTTTTCAGACAGATCTGTATTCTTGTCTCCAACTAGATATTCTATTTTTCGCGGGATGTCTATATTTGGATAGCGTTATGTCTTTCACGAGCACCAGCGAAGCAAGCTTGATATGCGTCGAGTAGTTCCCATATCCGGTTTCTAGTCCATTTTCTCTGTAATTCATATCATGTTTTGAGGCTTCATTTGCTGCAGCAACGATGCCTCTAGTTCCTGAATAGTATTCTTGTGAGAGATTTGGATACATACCTAACCATCGTAAGCTATCAATTACCCCATTAACTCCTAACTCCTTCAGTTCCCATATCCTTCTTTTATTTTTGTTTCTATCAACAAAATGCATCTTCATCTTCGTCTTCATTGTTTTCCCTTGAATCCCTACCATTGGATTATATCCAGTTAATCAGGAACTTGTGAGTAGGTTCCACCGGTTCCATATGCAAACATGAGCCGTATTCGTTTACCGGCGTCTTTGATGTTAAAATACACATGCTTAATGGAGATTTTACAACAGCGTAAATGCAGTGATCAATAGAGCAAATTTTGCCTCAGTAATGATTGACGCTGCGGTAATTAAGATGGTCGGTTATCAATCTTATCAAAATCTGATATCGGTGGAGTCCACTCTTTTTTTACGTCACCCCACATTGAAGACTCAACTACAACGACATCGGCCTCCGGCAATTGTCCCTCCCACATTCACTCAATCGCTCGTGAGAGAATTGCGAAATGCTGTCTGCTGCTGCTGTGGCCTTGAGGGCCGGCGCCCGCCCGTCTGCTTCCAGGGCTCTCTCTCAATCACTCGCGCGCGCATCCGCACCGGCGGCTATCCAATGCCTCAACCGCGCTTTCTCGACCACACCCGCTCCCGCAACAGCTTCGTATCTTCCTGTAGACAGGACCCGAGAGATTGTGGCCCAGACCATTAGCAGCATTGGCAGCAAGCGCGAGGGGTAGGTCGTCGATGCCACGGGATAACGAGTGCTTGATGGGCTTTAACCAGTTTACAATTTTCAGCCAGCAGTACCTCAAGCTCTTCACCACCGTCTCGTCTCAGAAGTTTGCCGTCATCAAGGTCGGAGGCGCAATTCTTCGCGATCATCTCGACGACCTCTGCCGAAGTCTGCTGTAAAAAACACCTCCAATCCCTCAAATGGCTGATTATGAAGGGCTCACGTATCTAGGTTCCTATACGAGCTCGGCTTATACCCGGTCGTAGTTCATGGCGGCGGCCCACAGCTGAACGAGCTGTTGGAGGCTGCGGGAGTAGAACCTCAATTCGAAGAGGGAATCAGAGTTACGGATGCGAAAACCCTTGGCATTGCACGAAAGCTGTTTCTGGAAGAGAATCTACGACTCATCGATCGCCTCGACTCCCTTGGCGTTGCGACACGCACTATACAAGGAGCTTTCGGCGCAACCTACCTCGATAAGGAAAAGTGGCAGTACGTCGGCAAGATTACCGAGGTTAGGACGCAGGCCATTGAGAGTAGTATCTCAGCCGGATACGTGCCTATCCTTACTTCCATGGCTGAATCAGATGACGGCTGTCTCCTGAACGTCAATGCAGATGTTGCGGCTGCTGAACTTGCCCGTGCTCTCAAGCCCTTGAAGGTTGTTTATCTATCTGAAAAGGGTGGCCTTTTCAACGGTGAAGGCAAGAAAATCTCTCAGATTAATCTTGATGAAGAGTTTGACTACCTAATGGCCCAGCCCTGGTGCCGTTATGGTACTCGTCTCAAGATCAAGGAGATCAAGGAGCTCCTTGACGATCTTCCCCGCAGCTCTAGTGTGGCGATTATCCACCCAAGTGATCTCCAGAAAGAGCTCTTCACAGACTCTGGTGCTGGCACACTTATTCGCCGCGGCGACAAAATTCAAAAGGCCACCTCAATCAGTGAATTTGAAGATATTGAGAAGCTCAAGGCCACCTTGATCAGTAACTACAAGGGGCTTGACACTGAGGCCACTGTCGATCGATTCGTGGATATGCTAAAGGAGAAGAAGTTTACAGCTTATTACGATGACACCATGCAGTGCCTGGCTGTTGTTTTGCCCAAGGATGAGAACCGACCTGTGGCCACACTTGCTGCTCTCACCACTACAAAGGCTGGCTGGCTCAGTAATGTCATGGAGAATATCTTTACGGCTATCAAAAAGGATCACCCTACCCTGGCATGGACTGTCAGCGAGGAGGATGAGAACCTGACCTGGTTCTTTGAAAAGGCTGACGGAAGCTTCTCCAAACATGGCAGCGTCCTCTTCTGTTATGGCTGTGACTTGCGCTCTAAGGATCTTGCCCCCATATATGATGACTTTGTGGTCAATGGACAAGCCGTGCTCGGCAACGCCAACCTGGAAACATTTCTGGGCTAGGTGCCAGTTTGTGGGAATGAAGGCATAGATTCATAATGGACTCCGGTAGTTGATAAGTAAAACAAAATATGAAGAGTTAGTGGATACTAAGGGGAGTCACTTGAGTCTCGTCGATCGAATGACTTGGCATGGCTTTACTATTTATGCTTTTGAGCTTTCATAGCTGGATCAACAGGAATTGCTTGTCCTAATTTGCTCAGACATGTCGTCTATGCCTCTTACTGTCTTGTCTATCGGGCTGCACAATGTGGTCGAAACTACCGGTTAGGCTCTGCTCTATTCACATGATTTGGACAGCAATGCCATCAACACCAATCCCAGCGTTCTGCCTTCGTGAACGTGTCTAACAGGCTTTCTCCGCAGACGAGCACCCCTAGATCTCTGCAACACACTACTTAGATCCCAGTGAATCTCATATATCGACCTCTACGTTGATATGGGATATATTTCCTTGAAAAATTACTAGCTGCGAAGAGCACAGTCACTCATGAGATTCTGTTATTGGGGATGGTATTGGCATTTTCAACTTCTGTCTGAGAGAAGCCGTCGACGATGCCCAGAAGCCCCAGCTGCGTATTCCTAGGTAGTGATCATCTCCCTGGTTGCTGTCCAATCGTCCTAAACATTGGCAGGTTGGAGATACTCCGCTGCCTCGATAGCATCTTGTTTTCGTCGTGACTCCTTTGCGTCTCTTCGTTGACGGGTCTCTGACAAGGCTCAATGGCAGTATGAAATAGACAACGTAAGCTGCAATACGCCCTTGAAAAGTCATCGTGTAATACACATCATCCACCAGAGACGTAGCTCGGCGATCGCCCATCAAAACACCAGGTAATCTGCCGTGGAAGCCAATGGAAGCCGCACACGGCACTATCGGCATTCTCACCTGCAGAGCATAGACGCTGTGTAACCCCAAAGCTCCGCTCCTCATTTCCTCAGAGGCACGGGACCAAAGGACGCATGTACATGCTACATGTTTGCCGCGTCTAGGCTAGAAGAACTTGAAGTTTTCTACACTTTGGATTTGCCGAGCTTCATTCTCACCTCAGTTCCCAATCATCCTCCAGGCATTCTTCTGTTTAACAAGGTAAGGTTTCCAATCAGACGACATAAACGCCTATACTTCACTGCTTGCAAAAAGGGGCCGGCATTGTTACGGCAGCAAACAATTACTAATAGGCTGATTGTAAGGATAGGAAAAGAAAAAGAAACGAAAATTGCAAACAAATGCAAAAGTTTCTAAGGCTAGACCGAGAATGCCTTGCCTCCAATTAAACCAGGCTCTTCTACCGTAAGCTAATGCAGGTGCTGCAAGACAGTCACCTTCTTCCCTGTCGTCGAGAAGCCTGTGAACGCGCAATGTGGAATCTATCTTGTCAGTCATTTGGGTGCCTTGATATCAGCAATCGTAACATTATCGATTGGACCTGCCAAATAGATTTTGTATCTGAGTCCAAGACATTTAATGGGCGTTGCCATTCAATATAACCCAGTCTCGATGCTGCTACAAAAGCCAAGAATATTGATCCAGCGGCCGACGAAGCCCCGAGCCTGATTTTGCTTCTTTTCAGCCCATCCCCCCTTGCATTCTATGGGTGCCACAGCATCCAATCAAAGATTTAAAGGGCCATGGTAAAAAATAACACTAATTTATACTACTGCGGCTGCTGCAGCAAAGTCTAGGGCCAGTGGGTGGCAACCCAAAATTAAGGCTGTCCTTGGCAGCCTGACCGATCCAAGACATGGTGCCGTCTGATACTACATCACTGGGAATCAGGCCATCACCAAGAACATTGAAAATTGATAAGGATGAAGTAATGTGAGAGTTCTGATGTCAGATTCTAATCTCCGGGCTGATGGATCCGTGTGGTAAATTGGGTATGACGATCTCACACATCGGTCATATTGATAGGAGAGATGCGATTCGAACTGAAATACATTACCAGGGCACACACGATAATCTAGTGCATACGTACCTAGTGATGTTCCTCCAGCTGCCATGCAGCTTGACAGCCGTTGTTTGCTTTTTGACAGGCGTAAGGATGGGGTCCGGTGCTGTAGAGCCACTTACTCAGACCATACGCCGTCTGACAATCAACCGGCCAGGAAGAATGATCCCTGCCACCTAGAATTCCTTAGAAAGTGAAGTGCAAGTGATTGCCATCTGACGCTGGAGTCACAGATAACTGAATGACTGACTTAGTAATATTTATGGCGGATGTCTGTTGTTGACACTGCCTGGTCAGTACGTGAATTGCAACTGTTTGCATCAAACGTATGGCGCGTTTTCCAAACATCTCATGAAAGAACGCTTCAAATACTGATATTTCGCTCGGATCGTTCTCTTCTCTCTTATTGTTTACACGTCTTTGTTTGTTATTCATCACGCTGCGCTATCGTCAATCTATCACCACTTCCATCCAAGTATCCAAAAAATGGCTTCTAGATTTTACGAATACCAGTCTGCCATAGTCGCAGAGAGATTCCACTCCATTGAACACACTGGAAGTGGACCTCATGGGAATGTATATAGGGCTCATGACAAGAAGATGGATACGGTCATCATTGTCAAGAGACTGGAGATGGCTTCGATTGTCCAAGAAGAAACCACAAAGCGAGAGATTCTCGACATCAGGAAGCTCAGACACGTAAATAAATCTATCTTTTTCCCCTCGCGTACCACTTAACGGCTTTGCTAACTGTAAACAGCGCAACATTATCCCCATCTACTACGCACTCATCCGCCCCGGAATGGTCCTGCTCGTCACGCCCATCAGAGAATACAACCTCCCCGCCCTCATCCCCATGCCCTACGAGATGAAGGACAAAACTTCAAACTTCTACAGCCTGACGATACAGATGCTCTCTGCGCTCACGTATCTCCAAGAAGAGGGCATATGCCACCGCAACATCAAGCCCAATAACATCCTCGTGCAGCCTACACAGAAAGGCTACGGCTTCTACCTCACAGACTTTGCCCTCAGCTATCCCCAGAGACGCTGCGTCGATTTCCTCTTCACAGCCCCAGAGACGCGCACAGACATCTATCCCGTCACCTGCAAGCAAGACGTCTGGTCTCTCTTCGTTACTCTTGCTGTCGCCTGCGGACGGATTACCGAGCTTGAGATTAATCGCAGGAGTCCTCTAGCGATTGTCCAGGATCTCATGGACACGGGCTTCTTGATGCCCGAGCTGGAGGACATGTCGCGGTACAACCCTACCCAGAGAGCCTCTGCCTCCGTCATGTTCCACAGACTGAGGCCGAAAGAGAAGCTCAACTATTACGGCGGCGTGGATTACCCTGAAGTCAGCACTGAGTATTTCGGTTTATATGGAAGTGGCCGATTGGAGACTGAGCCGATGGTGTTTATTGGACCCAACGCAGATCTTCGCGGGCTGGATGGACCTTTGGGACTGTCGCCAACGAGCGTCGTCCAACGGCCACCTGCATCTGTACCTTTAGCACAGCCCCTTCCAGCCAATTGCTTTGATCTGGGAATACAAGATCATCAACCCACACCTTTCTCAGCCGAACTTCGAGAAACTAGTGTTTCTTCGCCTCAAAGTGAATATCCGCAATCGCCACCAGAAGTGCCACAGCAGAACGAGCAGTCCCTCCCTGAGCCGCGTATCAAACGCGAGGAGTCGCTGGAATGGTTTGAATACGATATTCCTGAAGATCCAGAGCAAGCGGAGCGAATCGAGAATGAAAGGAGACGGGTAGAGTTGAACCTACGCCCCTATCTTGGCATGGATAGGAATTGCACAACTCTTCGCCCGTATGACGGTCCTGCTGATAACAACGGCCCTCTCCCACCGCTGAGAAGCGTCGTCCCGATACCTCGCAGCGCAGATGATCCCTACAATAGTGAGCTCTATCCTCATTATTCTGCGCTACTGCGGGCGACAGATCAGAGACGTCGTTCATCAGCTTCAACAGGAGCAGCGACCAGCTGGGACACATTCGAGGTTGGACCTATACACAACGGCAATCCCACCATCCATTTCAATGGTGTTGGCTTCATGGTGCAGCCGCAAGGGTTGGCGTATGTGCGGCCATATCCCATGCCATGTGATAGGCCAACTGAGCATTCTCAGCCAGTTGAGTTTTGATAATGCGTCCACCTATTTGGAAATTTGTTCTAGAGTATTGTGCAAGAAGAGAGAAATAGTTTGAATTGTGAAGGCATGGCTGAAAGGTCCATGGTTTGAAACCGCATTACAAGATTCAGTTTACTTTTTTTCCCATTTATCCTCGTTTATTATCTCTTTTTGTTCTCCTATTTCTACGTACATCAATTGAAATTTTCCTGTCTTCACATCTTCTGTTCTTAGTTTCATATCTCATTTCTCTCCATTAATGGATCACTCTGGAAACCAGTCTCTACTTAATATACCCTCCCTCTTCGTACTGAATACCAAGACTATCATCCCCACTGTATGTGCCACCTCATGCCCGTCAGCACCTTTAGCGCATCCACAGCTTCAACTTTAGCGGCTATATACAGTAGTTTTCGGGCCAGGCCGAGCCAATCCATTTCCCACGCCGAGCAAAAAAAAAAAATGACGCCTTACGTATCGTTTCGCATCATCGAAGCTATTGTGAACCCCTCCCCCACTATGAACAATTTCTAATCGTGTATCGCCTTTGCGCCAAAAGCATTTCCTCCCTCCCCATAGACTAGAACAAGTCAATTCTCTCTCCAACGCATAGAGTCAATTTTAAACTTCAATCTCCAATAATCAAATTCAAACCAAGCCCGTCTCCAACATGGCAGACAAGAAGCGCGCAGTAGACTCAGACAAAGGTTCGCAACTCTCCCAACTCTCCCAACCCTCTTCAACTCCAACTAACTCCAACTTCGCCTCCCAGTCTGGACAACCCTCATCACCAACCTCGACTACCTCCCCGGCCTCCTCACCCTCAACCACTCCCTCCGCGCCGTCTCCTCCGCATACCCCCTCGTCGCCCTCTACACAAACACCTTCCCCGAGGCCGGCCTCGCCGCCCTCCAGGCCCGCGGCATCCCCTCCCAGCGCATCGAATACCTGCTCCCAACCTCCGGCAAGGACTACTCCAACGACCCGCGCTTCTACGACTGCTGGAGCAAGCTCGTGCCCTTTTCCCTCACCCAGTACTCGCGCATCGTCCAGCTCGACTCCGACATGCTCGTCCTCCGCAACATGGACGAGCTCATGACCCTCGACCTCGACCCCCCGTCACTCAGCGAATCCGGCGACATCTCAACAAGCAAACGCGTCTTCGCCGCCGGCCACGCCTGCGTCTGCAACCCCCTCCACAAGCCTCACTACCCCAAGAACTGGATCCCCGAAAACTGCGCCTTCACGCACCAGCACAGCGACCCCGAAACCGCCCAGACCGTCGGCGCAGACCCTTCCGTCGGCCCCCTGGGCTTCATGAACGGCGGCCTGCAAGTCGTCAACCCCTCCGCCGTGCTCTACTCCCAAATCGTCGCGCACATGGAATCCGATGCCGCAAACATGGATTTCGCAGACCAGTCCCTGCTGTCGGATCTGTACCGCGGCCGATGGGTGCCTCTGCCGTATACGTACAATGCGCTCAAGACGCTGCGTTGGAAGGGCGTGCACCATCAGATCTGGAGAGACGACCGGGTCAAAAACATGCACTACATGTTGAGCCCGAAGCCGTGGGATGAGATTGACGACAAGGGAGAGTGGACGGGGACCGAGGAGTCGCACAAGTGGTGGGTTGATGCGAACCGCGCGAGAAAAGCCGTTGAGAAGGAACAGGGTATTAATGACAATTTTTGAAATGAACCAAAGGGCAATTTGGATATCGACTAGAGCTTCTGACAAGAGATGTTAATACTAATTGGGTATGGTATTCTAACAACGACGTATATATGAGATAGACCTCCTCTATGTAAATCCCCTAGACATCTAGGATCAAAAGCCATCTACAACACGGATAGGAGGATGTATTATTTACAGGCATGCATACATACACGCAAGCAGAAATTCAGTTCACAGCTCTGTATTCTGTATATATTCATAACGCGCAGGCGCTGTCTATTGTTTAATAATTTGCAAGGTGTGCTCGGGCTGCCATTCTGTAAATTTACCCACACGATATTGTGAATCCATCCATTCCAAATCATTCCAATATTACCCAAAGAAAATTATAAGACGAGAAAAAAGGGCAAAGATGAAAAACAAAAACTCAGCATCATTCTGTTCTGGTATAGTTAGATAACCCAAACGCCTGCCAAACATGAGATGAATGAAAGAAATCATCGCCATAAAGGATTCCCTTCTCGTTATTCAATACAGCATCATACCGACGTGTAATGCTTCAGAAAGGGAGAGAAGAAATAAGAAATCTAACCCCTGCGTATACTCTTAAAGAAAGAAGGTTTCATCGCTAATGAATCGGCAGCCGCAGTAAATTCGAAGCTAGTTGCTCTCATGTATGTGTTGGTGGGTATATTCAAATGTCTCACTCCTTTTTTTTTTCTTTTTTTTTTTTTTTTTTTTTTTTTTTTTTTTTTTTTTTTTTTTTTTTTTTTTTTTTTTTTTGGTAATGCCCCTTCGTTTAATTTTTTTTTTTTTTTTGATTTTTTTATCCAAACCATTTTTTACCC